TGACGATTCGACCCTTATGACATGGTGCATTATCCTGTTGGTAAACACCATCCCCCGCAGGAAAAACTGCTGCCATGAATGGGTGAACCTGGTCTGCAACTATGTTCAAGTAGCTTACAGACGTCAGGGTTTCTTCTATGAGGATTATGGGTGCTAATGTGCCCCATGAAAACATAGTTCCTGGGTGAGCCCATTGTTATAGATGGAGGGTGGTCATAATGTAATGGCTCTTCGGTGTATATACTTTATTTAAATGGTGGTATATTGGGGAAAAAATGCCATTAACCTAAAACTCCTGGTTGAATATTTAACTATTCAAAAATTATAAACGCAATAAAAAAATATTTTTTGTAACAAAAAATGCATTAGTATTTTTAGGATCCTGCGAAATTTTGAAGCGAATGAAATAAAAAGATTCATCGTTTCTGCGAATGTGTTTTTTAAAAAAACGCAATTTAAAATTACCTTAAACTTATTTTGAAGCGCATCAATAGAAAAAGCGATGTAACTTTTTTATTTACCTGATTTTTGGTTTTTATCTTTTATGATCGATAAATTTTTTTGATCGATAGATTTTTATGACTGATAAGTGAAAAATAAAGGAAAGGATTTTTCAAAAATTTTCTTGTGATGTTTCAACTAATTAATTAATCTTTCTGATTTTTTAATTTTAGAAACTGCTCTGGGTCTCGATGTGCATAGCGAAAATGAGGAGACAAAAACTTTCTTCAATGCAATCGAGAAGTTTGTATATTTTTTTCCCTATGAAGTTCGGTTTTGCTTTTTAGTTTTTTAAAGCAAGAAAACTTGCATTCAAGCTAGGCGATTAAAGCTTTCTGTGATAGATTGCGACATAAAAGTAATAACATAAGAGAAAATGTGTTAAAAGTTTTGGGCGCGCGACGTCATTCTTGATGCAACATATTAGTTAATGATTGTTTTTTCTTTTTTTTTAATCACTTGGCCAAGGAATAATTGTTTAGACTTTATTCAGTTGTTGTTTTTTTAATTTTATTTATTTATATTTTCTTAATTTCATAGTCTTTTAAATGATATTTTTAGGAAATTCAAAATTTAGAGTTTTAAAATCATAAATTAGCATGAAAAGCTTTAATAACAAAAAAGTTTTAATAACACAAATAACAGGATTAACTTGAGATATTGTTAAATCAAATCGTAAAATGATATACATTACGCACGAAGAAAAAAAATTATTAAGTTTTGCAGGCTTAAGCCTGCAAAACTTAATAACTGTAACCTTCTCTATCCTAGTAATTACTAGGATAGAGAAGGTTACAGTTTCTTACCTTGAAGAACCTTAATAATTTAAACTTAAATGTTTAGTTTACATAGTTAATTACGCATAGTAATAATTTTTTTAAAATTTACGTTTCTTGTCCCAGTACGTGACAACCTATTACCATCGCGTTTGTTTTTACTTAATTAACACGCCTTTTCGCCAAGGAAAATAAAAAAAACTCCTCAGTTTAAGTGCCTTACACATGAAGCAACGTTTATAATTTTGAACTACATCTTTCAACTTGCCGTGAAGAATTATCTGAGCTTTCAGAATGGGCAAATAACTTTATTTTAAAAGTTATTACACTTTTTAAAAAATCAACAATTTGGCGACATTTTCCACCTGAATAAAAATTATCGAAATATCAAGGTGATAATGAAGTAAGTTTTTACATGTTAAAACTTACAGTGAAGAATTATCTGAGCCTTTGAGTTGACAAATAACTTTATTTTAAAAGTTATTACACTTTTTAAAAAATCATCAATTTGGCGACATTTCCCCCCTTGATAAAAATTATCAAAATCAATACCTTAATCTTCTTTTTTGCAAATTTTTACGATCACCGATTTGGCTACATTTTCCACCTAAATAAAAATTATCGAAATATCAAGGTGATAATGAAGTATTGAAGTAAGTTTTTATATGTTAAAAAATGAGACCAAACTTTTCATTTTCACAAAACTGTTTCTTTTCTCCATATTGCAGTTTTACGCCATTTTAAAAATAATCATGAAGGGCAAATGCTAAAAATACGCTAAACTTGACCTAACACTCAAGAGTAGCAGTTGCAAACTCATATCAATTATGAAAAAAAGCGTATTATTCGCAAAAATCATACTTTCAGAGCCTTCGAGAAACAGCCTTAAATGAAAAGCAGTAATAATTTTAATATTGTAAGCAGCAATACGCGTCGCATGCTTTTAGAGATGGGTAAGTATTAGTGAGTTAATAAATACATTTTTCTCTACTCTCTTAGGTTTAGTGAGGTTACTCAATTCAAAATAACTAGACCTTGGATAATTTTAGACGTCCTATACAACCTGATATTTCCAGCAGCAAATGTAAATACTTACATAAGTATTGTCCACAGCTTCTTCAGAAAGGTAAGAAACATTGTTGCGGTCAAGCCTTTCCGGTAAGATTCAATAATGAGAAATTGCGCAGAAAATAAACATTTAAATTTTTATTAAAAAAATTAACTTAAAAGTGCTGCCGAATTGCGTACACTGAAAACTTTAAACCAAATTTAAGAAGTTAAACACTTACTTCTAGAAAATAATTGTTAGATTTTAATGCTTCAGAATAATTGAAATTAATTAATGATTTGTTCTAAGGATTTACTATTTCAAAAAGAACAACGCTTTGAAAATTGTTCGTAATTTTCTTCTTATTATTTTTAAAGAATTCGGAAGACAATGAAAATCAAGAGATTAAAGACTATTTTCATAATAAGAATTTCCAAACTTCATAAGAATTACTGGAAAAAAAAACATGTTCCATTGAGAGGCATGGCTCTATTAACGTCTGAGCAAAAACAAAATTTCTCTTTTAACTTTTGCATCAAACTTAGTTTAGAACATCATTTCATTGCGTATATAAAAAGATTTATGTTTGACACAGCATTTAGCTATTTCTAACTCGAATGCCAGCAATCATACCATTTTTAGATAACTCAAAAAAAAAAAGGGAAAAAAAAAGGTTTTGCATAATAATTGACCGTAAGAGCAGTTTATTTCACAAAATTTATTTTGTTAACTAGTTTAAATGTCACTCAAATCATATGGAATGATATAAAAATAATATATTAATAATTTCATTTAGTATATGGAATCCTAGTACATAATGAGAAAAACATGTGGTAAAAATTCTATTACGTAATATATTTTTGTATTGATGTGTTGAAATTATTTTAAAACATTCGAAGTCAGTGATAGGATGTGATTGAATGTGGAGAGGGAGAACACATGGCTGAAGTCTTTGAAAGAATTTACGTATTTTAAAACATTTTTTCCCTCTCTAATTGGGAGCTAACTTTTCTCAGGAACAACTTAACTGATTACTTTAATTATTTTTCGTAGTTGTTTAAAACAGCACTTTCTCTCTTGTACTGCGGAAAAATTTAAAATTTCGTCAAAATAGGAACTCTGTGTTTAAAGAAAGTGAATATGCCTACCTACTAATGTAATTTAATTGGATACCTGAAAGCAACGTCACGTGTGTATGTCGAACCTGATTGGCTTCTGAATCGACAAAAGTCACGATTTACCTACAATGTCGTCACTTGCAAGTATCCAATTAAAATGAAAGGAAAAGTTAAATGCAACATCGAAATTTTACATTTATGTCGTCATTATTCAATGTCTCATAAAGATCTAATCGACTTAACACAATCATTTCGCGCTTTCAGTTATTAGAGGAAAAGAAAAACAGAGTTTTAGTGTCAAGAAAATCAACAGAAATTGCGGATGATGGACTGAAAGAGANTTTCGGTTGTACAAGAAAGAAGATCAAGCATTTTTCTTCTTTAAATTTAATAAGCCACATTAAAGAAGGAACGTTGCAATGCTACACGCTACATTAACGACGTCTCCAGTGTAACTGAATGACGGTTCATATAGAAATCGCAGGTATGCGTCTCATACAACAACGCCCCCTATAGTTCGTTGCGATCGCGAATAATGTTTTCAATTTGGTATTTGCAACTCGAGAGAAAGTAAAGTGATTATGCTTAACAATGTGATTTAATTGGATACCTGTAAGCAACGTCATGCGCGAGTGTCGAGCCTGATTGGCTTCTGAATCGACAAATGACGTCACTTGCAAGTATCCAATTAAAATGAAAGGAAAAGTTAAATGTAACATCGAAATCTAATATCATGTCCTTGTTATTCATTGTCCCATAAAGATCTAATCGACTTAACACAATCATTTCGCCCTTTCAGTTATTAGCGGCAAAGAAAAACAGAGTTTTAGCATCAAGAAAATCAACAGAAATTGCGGATGATGGACTGAAAGAGGATAAAAAACAAGACCATCAGGTTTTTGGAGCAAAGAAACGCAAAGCGTTCATGGACTTGTTGTTGGATCTTCATTTCAAAGATGCATCTTTTACCGAAGACGACATCATTGAAGAGACTGTTAGCTTTTTCACTGGGGTAAGATCATGAATAATTTGGTATTGTAAGCAAAACTATAACAAGTATAATTCTCATAGAAACGAGACGGGTCCAGCATTAAAAATCAGATAACCAAATACATACATAAAAATACACATACCACGGAGCTATAGTAAAACCATAGTTTGTCTAAAGTAAGAACTCCCCTAGCCATTCATCTGGACCAATGGCTGTGACTATGGTAACGAGGTATAACTATTTCAAGTAAGGATGTGAGATCACTGTTTAGGGCAGATTTTGGGTAGAGTCGGCAAAAGAAAGAGAATATTTTTCCTATGTCTATTGTGTTAGAACTAGAATGAAAAGAAGCTACCCTCCCCGAAATGCGCTATTCATGTTTCCATAGTAGCTGGCGGTCTCAGACTTTGTGGGAGGGGGGAGTTCTTACCGTAGACAAACTATAGTCCCGTTTTCAGAGCTCTATCTTTTAACGGTCATGGTTTGATAGGAGTAGGAGTGCCACAAAAGTTTGACCATAGTCGGACAATATGGACGACGTCAGTTACCCGCCATACGGATGAGAAGAAGATATTACGGGTGTAAGATATTACAGATTACTCTAACTATAGATGATTAGATAGATTATTTTAACTATAGATTATGAGATAAATTATATAGATTATTCTAACTATAAATTATTAGATAGATTATTTTTACTATAGATTATTAGATAGACTATTCTAACATTAAATCTACCAACACTTTCACTGCCGATCCCGCACCAGCGCAGAAAAAAAACTGTCGCAACAGTTTGTGTCGATAAAACAGACAAATTACTAGCAAGATGTATCTATAATCATCCAACTATTTCTTCGGAAAAAATGAAAAATTTTCCCGACAATAATACATTGTTTATTGAAATAAACTTATTGCAAAAAATTTTAAAAAACTAAAACGGTAACTAAAGTAAGAAAATGTAACTTTGATTTTTCCTTATCAATTTGCACTTTTAATGATATATATGCAGAATAACCATCTGTATTCGGCTGGCAATAAACGTGTTAATAACTAGCAATAGGAATTCAGCCATGCTTACATTTTTATAGCGGTTTCGCAATTTCATTTAAGAATGCACAAAATAAAAAATTAAATAACTTTAAATATAAAGATCGGATTTTTCACATGCATTCTAACATACAAACTCAATAGGTCGAAACATTAAATATACTAAATAACTAAATGAACACATGAGATGATATTTAAAGAACGCATGAGATGATATTTTAAGAACACATGAAGATAATATTTAAAGTTTTTAAAAAAATCAAATTTTTTTGTTGCATAAAACTTTTTTTTTGGGAACCAAAAAATTTATAAGTAATATTTTAAAAAGCATTTATTATCTATTAAATCACTGAGCTATCATTATGAAGTACTGAGATTCTCTTCAAAACGGTGAATTGAATCCCACCCAACTTTTGTTTGATGGGTACCAGCCTATTTGAGAAGTAAAAGAGACCGGTGCGCAATGACAATCACATTTCCACCATCATGCAATTGGTCATGAAATTGTGAAGCCTTAACTTCCTCGACCCTCCTTGGTCCATAAAAGGCTGTTTCAGAAATGATTTGCTTTACCATTATTTGTAAAAATAACAACACTAGTAATTGTTTTCAATTTATAGGCGAATGTTACATTGGGAATCACACTTTCACACATATTTTATTGTCTTGGATTGTACAAAGATGAACAAAAGATAGTTCAAAATGAATTGGATGAAATTTTTGGAAATTCCAGCAGAGATATTGCAGAAGAAGATCTTCGGTCTATGACATATTTGGAGTGCTTTATTAAGGTAAATATGCAACAGATTGCTTTATTTTCTACAACATTATACAGGGTGTTCCAAAATTCAACTGACAAATTCAACAAAAAGCATCAAGAGGATGAAAAACTTACCATAGATCATGAGGTCGCAAATCACTTTGAGAGGATGAAAATCGCTAAAGCCCTAATTATAATAAGCTTCACTGTCGCATTGGAAAACAATTACAAAAGACACTACAAACTTTTTAACTACAAAAGCTTTATTTTATAAGGGTTGTTCGAAGTGGCATCCGCAGATATCATTTCACAGTCTACAACGGTGCAAAAATGATTCCTGGATACACTCGAAGATTTCATGTGTGAATTTAATGTCTGTTGAAGTGACGACATTCCTAACTATGAAACCCTCGGTTAAGAGACTTCTCATAAATAAGGCATTTAAGGTGACCCCGTAAGAAAAAGTCACATAGATGAAGATCCGGTGAATATGAAGGCCATGCAACGGGCCTCAAGCTCAAAGGTTGTGTTTTTCGCCCATCAATGTACATGGTTTCCAATTCTATGGTAAGTTTTCAACCTTTTGATGCTTTTTAATCCCCTGAATTTGTCGGACGAACTTCAAAATACCTTGTATTATAGGGTAAAATTAACAGTCGCCATCAGCTGCAGGGCGACTAAAAATTTGTTTGTTAATCGTCACTTTTTTAGAGAGTGCTAAAAAAAAAAACGTTTTCTATTTTCTCGAATTACTTAATACATCGGAAAACTATAATCCTCCTTGGAACATTGAGACTATTTTACGCTGATTCAAAATGCTAGGTGATTCGAATTTCTTTATCAAAAGTTTCAATTGAGTTAAAGTTATTTTTCTATTACGTTTTTTTTTTCAATTTATGGCCGATAATATTTAAAAGTAATTCAATATAATTTCCTCATTATAATTACAATTATTTCATATTTATTCAATAACTAACAAATTATTAGTTTGTCAATAAACTTAAATTTTACAATGCATTCTTGATTCAAAAACTCAAACCCTAAATTTTATAAGTGGTAAATGTTGCAAACAAGATTTAAATTTTACAATAATCTACTTGGAGATATTCTTCATTTTAGAAGTGAAATCTATACTTACAATATGGAAAATAATGCTTAAAAAGAAATTTTTACATTAATTTCCATAAAATTTTTAATTTTTGGAAAAGTGGCCACATTTTTAAAAGTGTCGTGTCGACTATTAAAAACTCTGCTACTGTCCGGAAATAAAATTTTCGAATTTTGCCCTATACCCTGTATATGTGAAAACAAAGGGAGGAAGGCCTGTATAATTATGGTGTCCCTGTAAGAGTGGCCAACAAATCTGCACTTCAGATGCCTGTATAAGAAAGGTCATTCTCCAGATGTGCATAAAAAAAAATTAAAAAAAAAGGCTTGTATAATTTTTGATATAAAAATCAGATTTTAATCCAATGTAACGAGAATCAATCCAACGTACAATCTTAATGATTCCAGACCAGATAGTTGTTTAATCTATATGTTCACATGTACAATAATAATATAGCATTAAGTATGTTTCTTTCTACATGAGCATGGTGTATGAAATTAGACTTTTGTCTGAAAATTTTTGCTCACACTAAACCTTTAACGGTATAAACACTTTCCCGGAAAACCAGTTTTTCTATTTAATGATATAATGCAAAACTAGTTTTTTTCCTAGGAAATCAACCAGACAGAGCAACAAAGAAAATTTTAATCTAAAAAGTATTATAAAAGAGTATTATTTCCATTGTAGGAAACTTTGCGCCTATATCCCTTGACTTACATATCTAGAGAAGCTCCTGAAGGTCTCAAAATTTGTAAGTGCCGATCAAATTTCTGATTCTAGTAACAGCTGATTTTAAAAGCATTGCATTAGTAAAATAATTTCTCAAACTGTTCGAGACGGGTGAGTCATTTATGCATTCCCAGGGTGGCTACAACCAGGGTAAAAAGAAGAAAAAAACTGGCAGGCAAAATGTTTCTATATCAGTTTATTTGGGAGAGGAGTAAAAGTAGTTTGATTTACTTAATATATCACTACTTAATTTAAAATAAAAAATAATATAGTTACACTTTGAATTATCATTAATAAGATACGTTAAAATTAAAGTGAAAGCAAAAACAAGACTGTTAAATTATAAAAAATAAGCCTTGTCCAAACTTAAGTTACCGCTTTTCATTTTTTTCCATTCTGATTCCCTACGAATACATTAATGACTCGCTGGTCCCGAAAAGGTTAAAAGAACTCTCAAGAAAATTTTCTGTAACTTAATGGAAAGTGACACTGTTAAAGAGTTTTTTTTTTGTAAAATTATCAAAATTAAAAAGAAAACTGAAACTAAAATAAAAATAGCAATAAATGAGCAAAAATATTTGAAATTTCATATGAAATATCTGATTCTAGAGGAAGAATCTAGATGATTGGCAAGAAGAAACGATTTAACAAAATTGTATTTCATGAAACAACCAGAGTTGCTCAGTGTATGTAATTTTAGAAATAGTGGATTATTTATAGCGAATATTAACTTTAATACAATGGATAGACAGCTTCCTATGGTTGCAAATCCAGAAGCGGTCATATAAGAATAACTTTTTTATTAATTCCCAAACAAACAGATTTGAGAAATTATTTTCAAATTTATAAATATAACATTCTGTTTAAACCTACTATATCAAATATAACTAGTATGTATTTCAATAACAGAAATTACTATTCAAAAATTAAAATTTCACAAAATAATGCAGGAACATAAAATTTTCCTTGGTAGTAATCCAACTCAGTTTGACGTATTTTTTTTTCTTATCTTTTTAAAAGTCTAAATTAAAATATTATTTTTGGTAAGCTAGGGCCTTTAAATCATAAATCTAAAGTAAACTTAAAAAATAGTTTTTCAAAATAAGGATGAATTTGAGCATAGAAACAACAAATTTTTTATGTCAGGGCTAATAGCTCTAAAACAAATTTTAATGCATAGATATTAAATATAGTTATCTATGTTTTGAACTAAAATCTTTAAACAATTTTAGATATGCAATGAAATAGAAATAAATATATTATTGTTGCTGCTGTGCTGCAATAATGCTGATTTTTTAATAAAATATTCTATACATTCTTACTTAAAGCGTGATAAAATAATAAATTAACACTTAAATCCTAGTTTTAATTCAAAACATAGCATTCAAAGCTTTAAATTTAAAGAATTATACAAGAAACTTTTCTGTAATGTGTATTCGTGTAAATATATTTTCTCAAATTAAACATTTTTCTAAAAATGCATTTATAGTATGTAATTGTTATTCTGTTTAGCTTGTCATGCGAAAAAACAAATATAACTTCGATTCTAAAGGCAGGGGAACAAAAATTCAAAGAGAAAGCTAATAAACAAAAGTTCATATTAAAAATATTCGATAAAATTGCCGATTTCCACCCAATAGGAAGTGCTACAACACTCAATTGATTTAGTTTGTCATAAGTACAATTAATATTCCCTGATACTTCTAATAATTTGCAATGCACTCTACTATGAATTTATAAACTATTTGTTTACAAAATTATATAATTTAGAGTATTGAAATGAGATGATTAATTTTAAAATTGTAGACTAAATAAAAAAATGCTTTCATTTTCAGATGATTATGATGTACCGAAAGAGAGCATTGTTGTGATCTTCATCCATAAGCTACATAGAGATCCTGAAGTTTTTCCAAATCCTGAAAAATTTGATCCTTCTAGATTTTTTCCAGAAAATTGCATTGGGAGATCCCCATATGCATTCATTCCGTTCTCAGCAGGTCCAAGGAATTGCATAGGTTTGTGATTTGTTTTAAAAGTTAATATTGTTTATTTAATTTCTGAATTCTATAAAGAAACATGTGGTAAAATTCTTAAATGTCTACACCATAAAAAAAAAATTCTTAAGAGCAGTTATACCCTGAAAGAAACTTGTATGGCAAGTTCTGATTCCCCAATATTATTTTAAAATTATAAGTATACAAAAAGTGAATTCAGATAAACTAAAGAGTGAACCATGAAGTTTCAAATAATTATATATATATTTTTCAAATCATTCAAATGCATATTATAAGTAAGGAAGTAATTAAGCCATGATTTATTCGCCTTTTGATATTTTGAAGAAAAATATGTCTCAGTATTTGAAGCTTCATGGTTTACCTGTATTCACTCTTTTCTATATTTTAAATTACCATTAGAAGTAGAACTGAATTTGCTATAAAAGATTTTTTCTATGGTATAGCATCTGCTTAAAAAATTTAAAGTCATTATTTCATATGCTTATGTTTTATAAAATAGTAACGTTAATTTGGATAATTTAAACAGCTTATTTGTGATTAAAAAAAAACATTTTAAGGCACCCTTTTGATTATAAAAACATAGCAAAAAGAATCTGAATGGGAAACAATTTAATGGAATCAATTAAATAGGCTCCGTATAAAACATTGCGGTGAACAAAATTGTATAACAGCGGTTGAGTAAAAATATTATTTATGCATAATTTTTTATTTGGAAAAAATATTAACACTTTTTAATAGTGGAAAAAAAGTAAAAGGTCTTTTTCAAAATCATCTTTCTTTTTATTCCAGCACACAGATTTGCAATGATAACTCTAAAAACATTGGTTGCTAATGCTCTGAGACATTTTGACATATTTTCAATGGATGAAAGAGATAAGATAGATGGTAATTCAATGCCAGATGAAAAGAATTTTGGATACTCCATACGCATGAAGTTGAAGCCAAGGACTGTAGCTGCCTAACAATTTCTTGTAAGAAAAGTTTTAAGAGAAAAAAAGAGACAAAATAAGAACTGTATAACGCTATTGAAAATTGCTTTTCATGTTTTCATAATGCTCGATGAATTAATAAATAAGAAATTTCAAATTAATAAAATATTACCTAAAGTGAAATTCAATATCCTTCTCTGCTTTGGTAAAAACCTTTAAACATCTTTTATAATAAATACAGCAATGTTTGCAAATTTAAAGATGAAAATTGTTTTTGTAATCAGTTTGTGTTGAGTTAAGAAACAGTTGAACAAACTGACGCATCACACAAGTGTTGGGGTAGAGTAGTGATAAGCTAAATTCCCTACAAAGGTGACATTTTCTATCAAAGTGTATCTTAGTATGGTTTTCAGATAAGCACTTTATAAGTTTCTGAACAACAAAACACATAGAAACATCTTGTTGCCAACGTAAAAATAAAAGTGTTTTTCAAAAAAAAAAAAAAAAAAAAAAAAAAAAAAAAAAAAACATAAATAAATAAATAAAATTATATTAATAATAAAAAAAAAATTTCAAACAACTTGAAAATTATATCATTTTATTATCCCAAGTTCTTTCTTAAAATTAATTATCCGGCAGTAATTTGGTAATGGATCCGTTAACTTGGGATGAGCATTAGTTGATTCATCATAAAATAAAACACTGGAAACAATATCTAATTTGATTAAATAATAAAATGTAAGCATATTATTCCTTTAATGCTCTTATTATCCCTTAATAAATAATAAATGTAAGCATATTATCTCTTTCCTTTTATCCCTTTTTGCACCTCTGCTCCCCAGAATAACTTAGAAATGGAATATGAATTGCAACAATTTTTTAAAGTCAAATCATATGATGTACCAACAATGCCTTTTATCACAAAGTACTTAATTATTTTATATTTTTATACCCTGCTGTTTCACTAATATAATAGAATAAATTTTTTATTTTGAAATAAGTACATATAAATTTATAAAGTTTTATCTTTTGTATAAGATTTGATATGGTTAGATTTAAAAATAATAATATAATGAATAACTATGATTGGGACAAACAAACAAATAAAGTTACCCAAGTAAAGACAATACAAAAGATGTAAAATATATTTAAAGAATAAAAAAATAATATTTACATATTTTAAAAATTTATGAATTACAATGGATCAACATTGAATAAATTAATGAAAATTTTCGAAGTTAAAATGAATGAAAACAATCTTCTTAATCTTAAACAAACAATATTTACATCCAAGGATTCCACCCAAAATATGTAAGGCAAAGTAGATACGGGTCTGTAGCTTGATCAATAAGAGATTCATTCTAAAAACAATAAAAAGAATTTTAAAAAATAAATGCAAATTAAATTTGGCAGTGATAGTATTTGGATCATTCACAATTAGTACTTAAAGCACATTATAATTTTTTAATGATTTCAATTTAGCAACTATATTAAACATTAGTTTTCTCTAAAAAGAACTATGAGTGTTTTTATTTATAAAGAAATCTTTTAAAATTTTGATGAATAACATTTAAAAAAGTACTGCTTATAATCCCTTTGACATATCATTTCTTCATATAGCACTGTAAACAACAACTTGCAACGGAATGTAGACACAAATGACAACTGCTCCAGACACGCCAAAATAATTTTTTAAAAAAAACAGTAAATAACTACAAACTAAATTTTGCAAATATTTGACTATTTTTGCTTGCTTTTTAAAAGGTATAGCATGACATAACTACTATAAATTGGTGAATTATATAAGCCTACGAATTATTTAGAAATAGCAGGCGGATAAAAATCTACCAAATTGAATTTATTAAATGAAGAATCACAATTGATAAACTACCACTTTAAAATATTTATTTGCTGTCCGGAGCAAGTTGGCATCTCTGTGTTGAAGATGTCTGAGACACGGCAATTATTGTTTTGACATAAGAAACAAATTATGTCTCCCAGACGTCTTCGTACGTCAAGGGGTTAAATATAAATAACCAAATTTTTTTTTACAAAAGTAAATTTTTTAATAAAGAGTAATCACAGTCTGGAAAATGATTTAAAGTAAAAGCAAAAATGAGATGAATCTAAATGTTTTAATCTTCCAATAAATTTTTATTAAAAAATATATACATATATATAGAGAAATGCAAAAAAAGAAAAAAATCTGGAACAATTCTGTAATTTTAAAATGAAAAGTGAATTTAAGTATTTTTAAGTAGTCTTGAAAAATCTTAGCTACTGTTCATTTATCTTTTCCAGGTGGTCAAAACCCTTATATATAAAAAATCAATCATCTGTTTTATAATGCAGGGTTCCTACTCTTTTAACAAAGCAAAAATTAAGAATTTTTAAGGACCTTTCTTTGAAAAAATTAAGGACCTTAAAAATAGTATGATAGTTTATCATTGAATATACCCCCAGTGAAAGTGCCAATTATTTACCTTTCTTAAAAAAAAATTCTAATAAAAGAAATAAATAAAAAACAATATAATAGTTATATTTACTTTTATGATGAGCTTTACATAAAATTATTTCCAGCCAAAACTATTAATAAGAATTACTTTCACATAATATTGCTAAACAATCTAGCGAAAAACACGAATTAATTTTAAAGCAATCAAAAGTTGAATAAAAAAAAAAACAGTATATTAAGTTGCAATGATAACTGAATAAAATAATTATTAAAATCTAAGTTTGAATTTTATTCTAATAGACATTAATAACAAAAAGTTAGGGATATTTTAATTGAGTGGATTTAAATTTTTATGTAACAATCTTATGCTTATTTTTATGCTTATCTTTAAGAAATAAATATAATAGTGTAACAATCTGAAACTTTATAATTACCAAATATTTAACTTTCTTGTTAGAAGCAAATCTTGCATTCTTATTTAGTACTCAGGAATAAAAATGTACACAAGTATTTTTGAAATTAAAGACTTTTAAAAACTGTGTACCAAAATTAAGTACTTTTAAGGACCCTTATTTTTCCAAAATAAAAATTAAGCAGTTTTTAAGGACCGTGGGAATCCTGTAATGTCTTTATGAATAAAAAATATGGTTCGATTTTCTAAAATTAGAAACAGCTATTGGTTAAGTTGATTTGTTTGAACTCCAAAAATGAAAAAAAAAAGAGAGAAGGACATGGTAGATCACGCCACATAAGTAAATTACAGTTACATGGGTGTATGCGTTCTCGAAATCAACCCATTTAAGTGAAAAGTTGATGATTTTTCTTCCTTACTAAGCATAATAATCAAAACTGCAATCCATGACAACATTGACAATAAAATCTATAACTTTTTTTTATAATAATTGCTTTACAATTATACTAACTTACATACTTATTAACATAAATGTAAAAGTTAAAAAATATCACCTTTTCTTCTACTGATAATCCAGACTTTTTAAGCTGGGCCCGTAGATTGTGAGATGCATCTCCAATACAAACAGAAACCATATTTTGGAAACAAGGTCGCATAGAATGTCCAAGTTCAAGTTCTTTTCTATAACAACATAGAGATAATGCGTGAAACGAAAATCTAAACAACTCAAATAAAAACTATTCATAATAAACATGTAAGCAAAATAAAATTGTAAACACCAAAATATTGTCCCATGTTTTATGACCACAAAACTTTAATTAGAAAATATTTTATGTGCAGGATGACCGAAATAAAAGTTACCCCAAAAATATCAGTTAGCAATGAAATCTGTGTTTAAATACAGTCGAACCTGGATTGATGGATCTTATACATTTTTATTTGCAGTATGTATCCTCTTAATTTAACGGTTTTCTCACAAATGCTATTTAAATAATGTTAATACTTGGTTTAGATAGTTTCTGAAACTTGCAAATTTCCGCCTCTATTGTTAAAAAATTTTTACTAGCATTTTAAAAGAAAATTGAAATTACTATGTTTTCAGCAGAAAAACAGCAACTCCTGATGCTAATAATAAAAAGAAAATAAGAATTTGTAACAGGATTACTATACACAAATAGCTTGGTTTCTGACTTTTCACAGGGCATAAGACTATTTTGTGAACAGTTTTGTTTTCACCTCCTGTTTAGAAATTCCGAGACTTATTTTAATGGTGAGTTACAATAAATTTTTGTAACAATCGAGAAACTTTACATTCGACGAGTTTCTTTTGAAAGAGCAGTTATAGGCCAAGAACTTCCGTGTCCTGAAACGCAGGATACAGTTTGAGAATTTCTATATTTAAGTGCCTTTTCAATGGATTTCCTCTTGATTTTTGTTACGTGGTCTAAGTCTGGATTTTTGTTATGTGACTCTCATAGGTTGCACCTCTATGAAGAATGGATAATACTGTCAGCTTTAACTTGATGATGATTACTTGACTAAATTAACCTAAAACACAGCAGGTATCACTTTTGCTTTTTGCGGGTATTACTGTTCCCTGTCGAATTTACCAAAAATCAATGGCAATTTGTTACAAATACTGAAAATGTATTGTTTGCTGGAGAAGAAAAAAAGGGAACAAACCAAAATTTCCAAATATTTGCAATAAATAAAATATGTTTATTCATTTGCATATTTTTGCAATGTTTGCTTAATACATGTGTTTACAATAAGTAATGTTCTCATACTTATAGCAAACATGTTAATTTTCAAGTCCATTACTTGTTTATTATTTTTCCAACATTTTCAAGTCATTGATAATTTATGTTGGCCAGCATTCAGCGTTTTCCCTTACCTTTCATTCGCAATGAATGGCCCCATGAGAAATGATAGATTGAGGTTTAAATATATAAGTTTTCACGGGTATTGTAAATGTTATTTGAGCTGCTTTTATTTTGGCCAGCCAGTAAAGCTGGTGATTCTAATTTTAAACTTCAATAAAAATGCGTTAAAAAACTTTAACATCTATCTAGGACTATTGCTTATTTATGAAACCTTGTAATATTAATCAAAGATTTTATAATTATATTTATTAAATCAGGAATTTATTAATTAATATTTTTTAAAGAGGTGATAAATATGCCTCTATTAAATATTTTCAAATATTGAACTATTTTGATAGATTATTTGTATACTGTCTCATTGAGATGAAAAAAAATCTTAAGTTCAATAAATGCATAATATAGTTTGCAGAACGTTTAGAATAATTATCTATGTAAATGAAATATTTAATGAGTAATGTTAATATCACTTACCTTGTAATATAGCAAGGATTAAATTCTTCCAATTTCTTGCGAGCAATTAATATTCTTTGCCTAGGAAACCAATCATCTTTGCCTAGTAACACATTTAAAGTCATTTTAAAAACTCAACAAAAAAAGATGGAACATTCTATAGGTCTTCAATTTAATTTTTATTTGTTAAGTAAGAAAAAAAAAATAAAGAAAAAAAAACAAAAAACAAACAAAAATTTTTTTAAAAAATTTCATTATTTTAAATGTATTTTTAAATAACAACAAATGCATTTCAAAACGTTTTATGTTTAAAAAGTTAAGATATTTTTTAAAGATATTAGATAGAATTTTAGAAAATTTCTAAACGTTTCAGATATTTTTTTAAAATCTATTTTAGAAATTAAAAACTAAGACAATTTGCAAAAATTTTAAAACCTCATTATTATTTAGAGCAATGTTTCTTAACCTTTTTTCACAATGGACCCTTTTTAAAATTTTTAAGGAGTCACGGACCCCCTCCCCCTCCCTGGGAAAAAATAATTGTGAAAACAACATCAATTATTAGAAAACATTTAATTTTATTATTTTAAGAGCACAAAATTTTTAAAATTAAAATTTTTAATGTGAAGGTTGTTGCTACTGTTCCTTAATTAATAAATTGAACTGAGGGATAGTTTTCGACAAAGCAACGCGCATATCATGTTCAACATTCAATCACAAGTTTTTATTGTCACAAGTGTGGAAAATCCGCTTCGTTAAGATACACTGTGGCTAACGGAATTATAGTTGCCATAGCTCGCTTTACAAGCAATTAGTAGGCTTCTCTCACAAAAGACCAGAACTCTCCGAGTGTTTTTGAATCGAAATCCATTTTTAGCGAGAACTTTGTTCTAAGATCAATAAGCTCATCTTTAGCAAGGTTTATATCATCGATACAGTCAATATCACAAAGAAAAGGATTACGAATCCCCNTAAAGGAAATGACAAAATAAAATTTCAGATACCTTCATTATGTGTTCCCATAATTTGCTTCTGTTTATTGGCCAAATTCTATAAAATTGAAGAGAAATAAATTAACAAAAATCATTTTAATTTATTATTATTTTTTAGGTAAAGCCTGACATTTTTAAACATATAATCTTTATATCTTAAATTACCTTTCTAACCTAATAAACAATATTAAAGAGAAAAATTGTATTTTAATCAAAAGTTATACACAATTTACATGGCAATGAAACTTTTTTAAAAAAACACTTTAAAGGTGTTGAATTTTTAAGCTGAAATTTCTATCTTTTGACACCCTTAGGCATTGTACAAAAACTCTGTTCTTAAAAATATTTAATATTTCACCCTTTCCTTGAAGGAAAAAACAATGAAGAAAGGTTAATAAGCTTAATACATCAACTGAAAGGATTAAGATGATCAGATAAGGACTAAAGAAATATTAAGTTTTATGATGAGAAACTTCAAAGGATTCCAATAAGTTGTCTCTCCCTTCTTTTGAAACAGTAGCAATCAGCTTAAAGGGCGATTTTTATGGCTTACATAACGTAAAGTAAAAAGTTCTGAGAGATTCACTTTTGCATTGAGAATGGCATTTGTTAATATAAACGAAAAATAATAAATAATTTTTTTTAATATTCAAAATATTGATATTTTTTGTAGAGTAACATTTTAATTCAATAATTAGTTTTTTCATTTTCTTAAATATTTATAAACATCACAATTTTAAAATTAAAAAACAAAATATGTTCAACAAATGTGTCAATGACAAACTTATTGACAAAAAATATTATCAGCATGTCAGAACATGGTTTTGAGTTCAATTGCTGTCAGGTGATAAAGGAAGAATGTTTGCATATTTCTTCTGTCAAAATATCTCTTTCAAAGACCCATTAATCTTGATGCTTGATTTAGAAATTACTATGTCTTCCAATTTGATATTAAATTTAAAAAATTATAGAGCTAAACATTTACAGCGATATTATGGATTGGTTGTTCATTTTTAGGCTTAAAATTAGAAAATAAGTATAACATAAAAACTAAGTAATGATCCAATTTTTAGGAAGAAATCTGATTACTGAATTTAAAAAAGAAATGAATACATTTTTAAATTCTTATTAAATTATTATCAAATATAAATTAAATAAATCCTTCAAATTTTCTTTTCTACATAATTACTACAATCAATATATATTATTGATTTAAAGAAAAATGTTTTTACAAGAAAATAAAATTGTAAGAAAAGGTATAATGTATCATAAATTATCTAAAGATTTTCATTATAAAAATACAACACTAAAATTCATTAGAAGTTCAGATAAGTTATTAATACATTCTTTTTAATAATTAAAATTATTTGATACTATCAGTGAAATGTAATATTCAACAACATGATATTATATCATATCTCAAAAATTGTGGGTAGTTCTAAATGTTTATGATAGACATAGTTTCAAAGAATCACATTCAATTGAAATAACTTTGTAACCATGATGTATTTCTTGAGATATTTAAAAAAATTAAAGGCTTTGTTAAAATAAATTTACGATTTATAAAACAATCTGTGTAGATAAGAACTTTTTCTTAAGTGAAACTCAATTGAGTTAAACATACCATCCAATCTAGTGTTGGTTCCTTAATAAATATATCCATAACATTTAATAACAAATCTCGTTTGGTAGAAATAGCTTTAAGTGCATGAATCATAGTGGCCTCGTAGATTCCTTTTACTTTCAGGGGAGCCATAAGCTGAAGATATTGAGGAGTTAATCGGAAAGGCACCAGCTCCGGCACAGGTAGAAACTGGAAGAAGAAAAAAAAATACATAAAAGTAAGTAAGAATCAAAAGTATGAACAAAAATTCTAATTACACTCTTGGTCCAATCAAACATTAGCGATATTTATGTCCTAATTAATCTATGCATGTTAATCAATCTATGCTATATTAACTAATTAAACATGGTCTAATTTGGTATAGCCACTCTCTAAGATATTTAACTCTTTTCAATACTTTCATTGTTTCTTTAAAAATATTCTTATTGTTTAAAATTAAAAATAGAGGATTTTGGGTGCTATTTTCAGCACAATTTAAAAATTTTATTGAGAAAAAAATATCTAAAAAAACAATTGGGAAAAAATTTACTTTAAAATGTTTTTGATAATGAAACATAATGAACTCTAGTTATTTTAAATTAACATCTGAATAAATTTTCAAATATCTGCTATAACAAAAATAATTTTTCACGTTGACCGTTAGAAGTTTTTTTCTTTATTTTTGTATTTTTTTTTCTTCTTATTTCATAACCGACATTAGACATTTAAAAAAAAATTTGAGTTTACCACTACCAGTGTTTAGTGCTATAGTCTTGTAATTTCGAACTTAATCCAGAAGACAAGGGAACTCCTGGATCAAGTACTGAAAAAAAATTTGCCTTTGTGAAGGGATTTTGATGGAACTAAACCACATTTGCATTATCTGGAGGAGAAAATCATGAAAACATCTCATGGATAGCCTGACAGCAAGGGGACTTTGACCCATGATTTGTTTGCCACTGAGGATACTTTACATCAACAATGTGGTCGGTGCGAGTCAGGTACAGAATTCACTTCAACCAGCCAATGCTAGGATTCGAATTCGCATTACCTCATTGGGAGGCAAGCGCTCTATACCCTGAGCCACCACTGCTCTTTATTTTGTATTGTAATTATTCTGCAGACTGTATTTGAAGGACATGAAAAGACATTAATACGCTTAGTCTTCAGAATTAAGTATGGAGTTTTATAGTAGGGGAGCACAACCCTTTTGAGTGAAGGGCCACTTGCACAGCAGGTAGATTAACGTAGGGCCGCACGCATGTTTAGTCCTGTTAGTGGCAAATATGATGATTTTTATACAAATATTAGTGTTCTAAGTACTTAATATTTTTATCAGTAAACTTAATAATATATTAGCAAAAAATTAAATGCTTTTAATTATTTGAATTTATTTAAAACTAAAAAAAATGATACATTTATTTAAAAAACTTTTTCCATTTTTCACAATAATTCATTTATCAATATATATACATATGTACCTAAATATTGGGAGGTGTGATATAAATTTTAATCAAAAAGAAGNAATGAAAGTGCAAAAAATATAGGCATTTTAGAGTAATATAAATTTGAATTAATTATTTTAATTTAAGAAAATTTATATTGTTTAAACAAAAAACAAACTAAAAGAATTTTTTTTGTTGCGTTCAGAAGTTCCCGCGGGCCACACATCAACAGTCGATGGGCCGCAGGCAGTGCACCCGTATTTGACAGCATAAAAAGCAGGTGCAGCTATACTGCATCACACACAAGGTAAATACTTAGGACACAATATATTCAAGGTAACAAAATCAAAGACTAGAAATTATATCTCACATAAAAACTAAGATAAGAAGAATGTGAGGGTCCATATAAAGAAACAAAGAAAGTTAAAAAACCACGTCAGGGTTGAGGTTACCTAAAAAGGCAAATCTACTTTGTGGGCACGAGTGATAATATCAAATGCTAAAGAATGTCGACAAAAGCTCTGAATATAAATTTAGATAATTTTTTAAATAATTAATTTCTATAATGTGACATATTCAAAAGCAATCTATTTACTTTCTTCCATAATTAATGGTTGAAGATTTAGTTTTCTATTTAATCATCAAATCCTATGATGCATTTTTAAATATCCATATCATATCAGCTCCCTGCCATGTTTCAACTTTATCTTTCTTTTATGAAAAGAATTATAATCACCTTCAAACCAAATATTCTAGGGCACCAACAATAGCCAATGAGTATTCTGTCCAGACTATAGTAGGGTGATGATGAGCTTTTAAAGCTATTAATGGAGAATGAAGGTTTGATAGGTAATGGGTGGAGAATGTATACCCCCTTGCTCAACAGTTTTGAAATGTATTATAATAAATACTTGAAATGTATATTTGAATAAATATTATTGTTTATTGGTGTTTTACAATATCTGTCAGCATTTATCATGGTGCAGCAACACCATGCAGCATGATGCAGCAACACCACCATATTTACAACAGATATAAATTTGACTTACACTTGAGAAGAGGTGAAAAGCAAGCTCAACTGTTTTATCACGGTCATGTAAGGTGCTATAATATGACATGGACACATAAAAACTGTTAAAGAATCAATAAAAGAGCGTCGACCGTTTTGATTACAAACTAGACAAACTTTTAAAATGATGTAAATANTCCTAAATTTAACTCAATTGAGTTAAACATACCATCCAATCTAGTGTTGGTTCCTTTATAAATATATCCATAACATTTAATAACAAATCTCGTTTGGTAGAAATAGCTTTAAGTGCATGAATCATAGTGGCCGCATAGATTCCTTTCACTTTGAGTGGAGCCATAAGCTGAAGATATTGAGGAGTCAATCGGAAAGGAACTAGCTCTGGCACAGGTAGAAACTGGAAAAAAAGATAAAAGTAAGTAACAATCAGAAATATGAAATAATAGGTAGATTATAAAAATTGTAATTACGATTTTGTCAATCAAGAATACAAAACTAATCAAATATTAGACATGTTTATGACCTGTTCATGGTCTAATTTGGTATGGCCACTTTCTAAGATATTTAACTCTTTTAATATTTTTATTGCTTATTTAAAAATGTCCTTCTGTTTAAAATTAAAAATAAGAGGATTTTGTGTGCTATTTTCAACACAATTTAAAAATTTTATTAAGAAAAAAAACATCTAAAAAAACAACTGGAAAAAATTTACTTTAAAATATTTTTGATAATGAAACATAATGTACTCTAGTTTTTTTTTTAAATTAACATCTGAATAAATTTTAAAATATCTGCTATAACAAAAATAATTTCTCATGTTGACAGTTAGAAAAAAATTTATTTAATTTTGTATTTTTTTCTTCTTACTTTATAACCAACATTAAACATTTAAACTAATTTTGAGTTTACCACTACCAATGTTCAGTGCCATAGTCTAGTAATTTTGAACTTAATCCAGAAGACAAGGGAACTCCTGGATCAAGTACTGAGAAAAATTTGCATTTGTAAAGGGCTTTTGATGGAACCTACCTGCATTTGCATTATCTGGAGGGGAAAATCATGAAAACATCCCAGGGGTAGCCTGACGGCAAGGGGACTTTAACTTATGATTCGTTAGCCACTCAGGATACTTTACATCAACAATGGTCGGGTACAGAATTCATTTCGATCAGTTAACACTAGAATTTGAACCCGCATTACCTCATTGGGAGGCTGAGCCACCACTGCTCTTTATTTTGTATTGTAATTATTCTGCAGACTGTATTTGAATGACATGAGAAGACAATCATACGCTTAGTCTTCAGAATTAAATATGGAGTTTTACAGCATAAAAAGCAGGTGTAGCTATATTGCAACACACACAAGGTAAAAACTTCGGACACAATATATTCAAGGTAACAAAATCAAAGATTAGAAATTATGTCTCATATAAAAACTAAGATAAGAAGAATGTGAGGGTCCATACAAAGAAACAAAAAAAGTTAAAAAGCCACGTCAGGGTTGTGGTTACCTAAAAAGGCAAATCTACTTTGTGGACACGAGTGATAATATCAAATGCTGAAGAATGTTAGCAAAAGCTCCTAATATAAATTTAGATATTTTTTTAAATAATTAATTTCTATAATGTGACATCTTCTAAAGCAATCTATTTACTTTTTTCGATAATTAATGGTTGAAGATTTAGTTTTCTATTTAATCATCAAATCCTACAATGCATTTTCAAATATACATGTCACACCAGCTCCCTGCCATGTTCCAACTTTATCTTTCTTTTATGAAAAGAATTATAATCACCTTCAAACCAGATATTCTAGGGCACCAATAGTAGCCGATGAGTATTCTGTCCAGACTATAGTAGGGTGATGATGTTCTTTTGAAGCTATTAAAGGAGAATGAAGGTTTGATGGGTAATGCATGGAGAATGTATACCCCCTTGCTCAACAGTTTTGAAATGTTCCCATAAGTATTACTGTTTATTGGTGTTTTACAATATCTGTCAGCATTTATCATGGTTCTAACAGATATAAAGTTGACTTACACCCGAGATGAGGTGAAAAGCAAGCTCAACTGTTTTATCAAGGCCATGTAAGGTGCTAATATCACATGGACATATAAAAACTGTTAAATAATCAATAAAAGAGCATCGACCGTTTTGATTAAAAATTAGACAAACTTTTAAAGTGATGTAAATATTTTTTTTTACATACATGTTTTTTTTAATGCACTAATAAAAAAATTGGATATTTTAGTTACGTGCTTACCAAGTACACACACAATATATTAAAGAAATTAAAATTATGAATTTTATATATTACATTCATAAAGGATTTGGACAGTTTTATTACAATAAGTAAATAGTAATTTCATGGTAGTTACTTGAGTAGCTGAACCAAAAGCATGACCAAAATCAATCCCAATTTCACATCCACTTGTTTTGTCAATTAAGAAATTGCCCAAATGACGATCTCCTATACCAATTATCCACTGAGAAATACATATCACAGCATGAGACTTAGCAAATTTGGTACGCAAAGCTATGAAAGCTTCAGGGGAGGAACTAAGTTTCAGAAATGATTTTCTAAAAATAAATATACAGAAAATAAGAAACGTTTTCATTTGAAAGCATATCAATTTACAGTACATTTGTAAGTAAAGAAAACAGTAATCAATCAGTAAGCAGTATAGTGGACATGGATGAAATTTTTTTCTTCTTTATTTACTATTTTCTTAATGTTGAAAAATTAGGTAAAAAAATGACTATTCAAGTTAGCAAGATTAAGATTTGATTCAGAAGTGGAAAGTAGAACAATGTGAAAAAAGTATAAACAGTGCCAGGATTAATTGCATAAATGGTTAAAAAAAATATGCATAAATACTAATATTGGACTAAATTTTGCCTCCATTTAAAAATTTAATGCAGATTGCTTTTCAATAAATAATAATGTGAAGAATCTCCTCAAAATTTTCATTTAAAAGAAGAAAAAAAATATTCTTTAGCGACTGACATTTTTATTTAATCAAAAAATATTAAGCTTTAAAAAAATTTTTTTGTTAGATATTTTTTATTAAGCTCACAAATTTTAGTTGCATTAATTTCCAATTCAATATTTGAAATTATTTAATGATTTTTAACTTTAAGTTTAGTTCTTCATATCACTTTTGACTCTTTAAACTTTAAAATAAGTCACATAAATTATTCTCTCTTTCTTCAAAGAAAGAGTAGAAAAATTATAAAAAGTAAATGAATTCCATTAATGTACTAGTATACCAGTATATTAATAGTATTTTACTAGTAGTAGTGTATTGATTCTATTAACATTTTAGCAAACTTATTGATAACCTAAATGTTTTTAACTGACAAAATAATAATAATATTTTACTTTTTAAATTCGATTTCATTTGTCATTATAAAAATGGCATCTCTTTCTTTTACATGATCATTCCTAGCATTTTCCAAATAAGTAAAATATTATATAAGTAAATATTTATACAAAGTTATGTAACCACCACTCTTAAAATCTATTTTTAGAATCATTGTCAAAAGTGAAAAAAAGTATGCATGTTAGGTTTTGAAAATTAATATTAAAGGGAGAAAAAAAAATAGCAAAAGCACTATTGAGATTTATCACTTATGAGGAACATCAAAACGTGCTTGATTGCCTGATGAAACCTGGAGGTATCTTTAACTATACTGCACCTTTCAATTCCTGTTTCTTCTAGCACTAAAACAGGTTTTGATGGTTTTAGTTCTGTATATTAAAGCTGAGCTGCATCTCATTACATATTTTCTAATATTTACTGAATTAAGCATATAACAAGAAAATAGTTCAGAATGAATACTCTTGTAACATCTGTTAAAGCAAGTAAAAAGTAATTACTGAGAAAAGTATACACTAAGAAAATTCCAAAGATTTTTTTACTTGAGGAGGTTTTTTGGTACAAAATTGACAATTTTTTCATATTTTTGAATGCACTCCTCACGTGTTTTCTTCATGTAAAAAGAATGGTACATTGAAGCAATGTTTTCTGCTTTTCTGTCCCACTGCAAGATTTCGGACTGAGCAAGATTTCCATCTCTAAAAAGATTTATACAAAACAATTTTATTATAAACATTTATACATCACATTATTAAATATCATTTTAAAATAGTCACTCATAGACACACACAATGAAATGCTGAGCTTAAAATAACTAGGAAAATGAATATTGCAATAAATGTGAAATTTAGTACCTATTTTAATAAAGGTCTGATTAATATATTTATAATAGCAATTTTAAAATGTAAATTATATTTTTGGTAAATATAAACTACAAATCCTACCCTCCCTAATTTGGATAATATGAAAGAAAAAATTTTCCCAACACAATGATGACTCTCAAGAAATACTGCTCATAAAAGATGGCAGAAGTTCCCAGTACTGTATCAATGCTAATCAGAGTAACACTCAATAAGTCTAACACAGCTATGGTAACACTCTTGAAAAACCCATATGAGTTCTGGGGAATAGCAACCCTATAACTCTACAAATCAAACTTTTATGTATTCTGATATCTAGTTTACACGTCATCACTAATGTGGCTTTAGTGAGCTAAATTTTCATATTTTCAAGACAATGGATGAAAACTTTTTTAAGTGTAGATTAACAATTACTTCTTGATAAGCGTTATTGAGATTTTTGCACCAAAGAAGTTAACTATTATTGACTGGTATGTGGAATTTAAACGTTGCTGCAAAAATGCCAATAACATTGAATGCTAAGCTCATCCAAAATCAGCAGTTATTCCAAAACACATAAAAAGTCGAACATAAAAAGATAATACAAAATAGTTTTGGAAGGAAGGAATAGTTTCTAAAGGGAAGTAGACTGAGATAGCTGATACCTTAAAGATATAGCTGATACCAGAAAATAGTGTGTTTACACCTTGTTTGAGAAATCACAACTTGCTTTTGATGAGGGTATTGCACTTGCTATTACCTGACCAAAGCCATCAATGCATGGATGTTTCAGAGAAGTCAAGAGAGGTAAAAAGGAATTCATGAGACGGTGTGTGAATGGATAAAACACGGATCCACTACAGCACACCTGAATCAAAAAGATAATCAGCTGATAAAAGTCATCCAAAGCAATGAAAAACTCAAAAGTCACTGACAAGGTCATGACATCCAGGTTATGACATTAGAATGCACATGGCATTTTGTTCATTGACTATCACAAGAAAGGTAAAACTATGAATAGCAATTATTACGTCATATTATTGGATTGATTGAGATTAGAAATTCAGAAAAACAGACCTCACATGTCAAAGAAAAAAAGTGCTGTTTCACAAAGATAATGCCTTAAGTCACAAGTCAATTGAAATAATAGTTAAATTGAATTAATTACTCTTCAAATTGCTTGAATAGCGACTACTGGCTTTTTGCAGACATCAAAAAAGATGCTGGAGAGAATTTGGCTCCAATGAAGAAGCAATTGCTGAAACTGAAGCCTATTTTAAAAGTAAAGACTACAAAAGCATCGGAAAGGAGCTTTAGTATGTATTTTAGAATGTATCACTCTTGAAGGAGAGTACATTGATAAAAAAATTAGGAATTTCTGGAGAAAAAAAACAATTCTTAGCTAGACTGCAGACTTATTGAGTGGTGTGTTATAAGCACAGGACCCTAAATGTCACTCAGCAAATAGCTACCTTTTCTAAAACAAATTTTAATTACAATAGTGTTACAGTAATGAGATAGATTTTGATTAGACTGTCGTAATTATTGACACAGATTTTTTTCAGATCGAATATATGGCCTGGAAAATATAATATTATGAAAAAGAAAACATTTCAGTGAAAATTAATAGTTTAAAAAAATTAGAATGACTTATACATTTAGATAATTACAGCATTAATAATTAAATTGAAAATCAAAGAAATCAAGTGACAGTAAATAATTTAAAGCACATTTAAATTTGCTTGATTTTGAATATGGCAGTTAACCTACTATATTCCATTCATTTATTCATGTTCAAAGATAATTCTAATTCTTAGTATATGAGAAAATTTAAATGTGAATCCCAAATGAATTGAAATGTTCTAAGAATGTTTGATAAATTAAAGATAACTAAATTTTAATAAACATCACAATATTAATTTTCTTATACTTAAGGAATAACACAGTAATCTGATTTTTTAGGTCTGTATTAATACACATAAATAAACATAAAAATCGAAACATCATTTTGAGAGTCTAAGAAAAGACAAAAATTTTCTAGGTAAATTTATTAATACAAATAAACAAAAATATATAACGTTATCATTTTTACATTATTCTATAATGTATATTTTATAAAATTTTCACACGATTATTTGTTAAATTATGGTCAATAATTTAATACTCTTCTTTGAAGATGATAGAGATGAAAATTCCATTTTTCATCTGATTTATTTGAATTTTAATAGCACCTATAAATATTTTTCATTGCACAAAAGATTTTACCAAGGAAATTATTTCGTTAAAAATATTAGCAATAATTGATGAAAATGCCTTAGTCAAAAACTCTAAAATATATTGAAAAAATCCTACAATATTCACAACTATAATAATAATAAAATAATTATTTATTCATAACCCTACAAAGTGAAGAATTTATTGACACTTCAAGCATAAAAAAGATATTTAGGAAACACTCCATGCCTTTTACATTTTTATTCACAAATATAATTTTTAATTTGACATTATTTACATGTTTTACATATTTTCAACCAAAAATATATAAGCAAATAAAAAAAATCAGAATTCAAGATTCAATTCAGAATTCAGTATTCAAATCAGAATTCAAGATAAAATTAATTTTATTACGGATATTAAAAATAATAAAATGTGTGTTCAACAATGATAAATCAGAATTAAAATATTAATTTTATTAGGTACATTAAAGGGGAGGGGGGGGGTAATAAAAATTTTATCATCCCTTACAAAATATCTACAATACTTACCGCTTATAAAATTGCTTCCTTTCTGTTTCAGACATGCCATCATTCAAGAAGTCATTTAACACAGTAGTATTATCTACCCATTCAATTAAACCAAGTCTAAAACATCAAAATTAAATATATTATAACATTTTACAGTGTAAAACAAAATACATAAACACCTTTTTTTGAATGATTATAAATAGAAAAAAAACCAGTACTGTTTAAATTAAAAAAAAATTTTATTATACTATTCATTATAAGAAAACATAATGAAAACTCAAGAAAAACTTTTATAAATAGTTAATAACAAGAAAATAGCAATCACAAAAATAACTGAAGCAAAAATCAAAATACACAAGTAATATTTACAGGATGATTTTAAAACAACTTTCTCAACACATAACTCATTGGGGAATATACCATTCAATAAAACAAAACAAAATATGGGGCAAACGTTTTCTAAGACAGCAGTTCCCACTATTTATTAGATATGGAACCTTTCTTTGATCAAACTTTTTTTTAAAGAAACCCAAACTTTATAAATAAATAAAATTGCAATTGTGAACATATTAATAAAAAAAAGACTATTAATTATTTCAAATATATTTAGAGTGAAGAATGAATTTCTTTCATTAATAATAGGTCTAAAATTAAATTTCATGAAAGAATATCGAAGTTGCATGCCTGGAACAGTATGCGATCTGGTTCTGAATTAATTTTTGGTATAATCATAAACTAAAAAGGAATGAAACATGAAACAAGATAAATTACGGCTTTCATCCAAATGAACAAGAAAAAGAACTGTTATTAACATTGATAATGGTTATCAAGGAAACATGCTTCTTTGATAAATTTAGTTACGTAATTTTGAATTGAAAAGTTAAATTAGAACTATTAATGTAATTTTTATAAAGGCATATGCCTTTCATAATTTATTTATTGCATTGTTATTAAAACAAATATATATTTTACTGTTTTCTTCCATTTGCATTTGAATATTTTTTTAAAAAATGACCAAAATATGAAATAACTAATGGGGCGATATAATTCTAAATACAAATTTCAAAAATCATAAATAATTTAAAAAAAGTAGTCTAAACTAACAAAACCCATGCGACTCCTGCATAGAATCCCAGGGTTTATTCGAACACTGATTAGGAACCTCTCTTCTAAGGTACAAATTCAAGAATCGTGATGATAAAGATTATTTCATCACAATTCTGAAAAAGCAGAATCTGAGAATTTTTAAAGATCAACATATATTTTCCCCTCTCAAAACAATAAGCCTTATGATAAAAAATTCTTTTAATGGAGTTTAAACAACATTTTTAGCACGAATTTCGGTCATGCCAGTCAGACGTAAAAAAAAATATATATATACAGTATACAAATCATCAAGCTTTCATCTTCCTAACCATTACCATCAGAACATTATGTTCAGTGAATTTCACTTATATGTTGAGAATTTATAAAATATTTTCTTTTCATATCTCTGCCTAGTGCTGTTGCCCTTTATGAAAAAATTAATTTTTTATTAATGATAGAAAACTTAAAATAGAGTTAAAACAACATTTTTGGCAACATTAGCAGATATGAAAAAAGCAAACAAATCACCTAGTTTTCTTTTTCCTTACCATTATTTTTGGCAACATTAGACAGATATGCAAAAAGCAAGATAAAGCATACAAATTACATGGCTTTCTTTTTCCTTACCATAATCGTTAGAGTATGTTCAGTGGAATTGAATTGATGACACGTTAAAAGTTTATAAAATACTACTTGCTTTATTCATCCGTGGCTAGTGCCATCTTTCTAACAAAAAATATTTATATTTTTTTTACAGAGAGGATCGCTTTTTGATAAAAAAAAAGGGTAATTTTAAATTTTCAAAATTCTGGCACTGTAACTGTACACACAAAATATGAGGAATTTTTTTTATTCATGAGCACGTATCTTAAAATACTATTATACATACTTTATTCTGTTCTCTTGATTGGAATGTTTGTCAGGGAGTCATAAATTAGAAGTTATTTCATGAACACTCTATAATTATTATTCAAAATAACTGATGAAATTAAGTAATTACCTGGTACTTAAAGGAACTACTTTATAAGTCTTAAGGTAAAGATGTCGCTGAGCACAATTTACATCTTTGGCATAGATTTCATTCATTACAGAAAACATTTGTTGAATCCGAGCATCTTGCCTTAAATCTTCACCAGATTTCACAAGAATTTTATACTCCTTTTCATCATTGCCTCTTATTGTAATACGACGAGGAGCAGTTAATGAAGATAAAACCAAAACCTAAAGGAAAAATTGGAAGTAAAAAAAAATTTACAGCTTCATTGAAACTGATAAAAAATTAAATTATAAAGAATTAGTTACGTTACTGCCTAGTTGAGACAGACATTGAATTTAGAATATTAGAAAACTCTTAAATAATGCTTTGGTTTGATAGTTATCATACCAAAGTTATATTAAGATAATTCAATGTTTATTTGAGTCAGATATCAAATATAGAATAGTTCAAAAATCTTAAATAATACTGGTTTGATAGTTAACATTATATAAGACAAAACTAATGGATATTAGCATTACCTGTCATAATAGATTACAGTAGAAAAATTTTTAAAAAAATGTTGCAGAAAATATTGTTTGCTCATTTTACAACTGTATATTAAAATATTTACTTATATATAACCAATTTCTCTACATATATATACAGGGTGTTCTATTATGTCAGTGTTTCCCAAACTTATGACTTTTTTGTACCCTTTCTAAACTTTTCATAACCTGTGTACCACTAATTAGAAAATGAATGTATTTTTTACTGTAAAAAAATTGCACGAAAGTTAGAAACCACAAGTGGCTGTTGACACCACTACTTATTAACTATTGACTCTGCAAAAAATGGCCGATAGAAAAATACGTAATCATAAATTTTCATGGCCAGCTTTGTTTTCAAATAAAATTTTTTGAAATTTTCGTTTGTAGCAAGATATTTCGCATAAGAACACGTACCCCTTTTAAACTGTTCCCGTACCCGTGGGGATACGCGTGCCACACTTTGGGAAACACTGCATTATGTCTACAAAAACTGAAGTTAGAAGAATACACACATTATAAATAGCAAATTAAATTTATATAGAGAAAATATGTTATCAGACTGAAGAATCATAAACGAGGAAGGCGAGAGTGACAACATTTAAATGTATCTGAGTGGCAAAGGACAAAAAGAACAGTTTAAAGACAATTATTTAAAAAAAACTTCCACGTTTCATCAAATAATCAAAATGGTTTTGATGCTTTTTATCAATCCTTCCCCACTAGTGATGTTAGATTTTGACAATCCCTTTTTTTCATCATTACTTAAACATATAATTGCAATCTCTTCATCTATAGAAATTCCTCTAAAAATCTATTGTATAGCTATAATAGTACCTTTCCATCAAAACCTGCTATTTTCACATGGTATTCTGGCAATGGTTTACTTCTTCCTGTGTACTGACCTACAAATAAGCATAAAACATTTAATTTGCACAGAGATAAGACTAATGTTTTAAATAAAATATTTTGAAAAAATTCATAAAAGAAAACAGGATGATTTTAAACAAGTATCTCAAAAATGTGCTATTGGTTATACAACAATTAATTCAAGAGCTTAATACTACAGAACACAACACCAAAAACCAATATTTTTGTATGCATTTGTAAGGAAATCTTTTTTAACATTGAAATAAACATTGAGTATTTTACTAGTAAAAAATAATTGTAAATTTTATTTATAAAAGTAGTTTTGTTACCTCTATTATTCATATTACATGTAAACAAATAATAAAGTTTTACCATACAACAAATTTGTTATATTAATAATCAGGATTAATTATGTTATTGGAGTTAATTAAGAATAAAAAATTTTCGTACCAGGAATCTCTATTTGAGAAGAATACTTCCATTGCTGAAATTCATATAGCCAAGGAGAGGCATCTTTTAAACTTGATAATTTTTTATCCTTTTTCTTAGCTTCTGCAACTAAGTCTGATAAAGCTTTCAAAGCTACCTATTGAGCAAATATTTATACAAAGAAAATATACTTGCAATATCAAGAAAATTCACTATTTTTACACATTAAATCAGGTACATAGAGTCTCAAAAATAACAGACAATTTCAAATATATCAATTAAAGAAACAGTCCTGGGTGTATGATATAAGTGTAAATAATTCCTGACAGTCACAAATATTTTATTCTTGCTAAAAACAAGTTAGACATAAAATAGTTTTACTATCAGCTTTTTATCTTTTTGAGAAAATAATCTTGATTGATAAAAGGGGTGCTTTAGCATTTAATTTTTTTCTTTTAAAGAACATCATATTTTCTTGGAAAGAACATGTGATGCAAAATATGTATCAGAATATAAAATAAAAAAAGGACTTTTTTAATTCTCTTAGTATTACTTAATAGTCTCTTAGTATAAGAGTTAGCTGCTAATTAATCTAGATTTTCTGGTGGATTTTATTTTTATTACCAACTTGATAATTTTTGATTGATGATTTAATGGAAACTTAGAAAATTATTTTTGGAATAAGATCAAAAATTGACGAATATGCTGAAGTAACAGGCATTGCAAAGGGGGCAAAAAGAATCATAGTTATCGTTTAGAAAATATTAATTTATAATTTTTAGAATAAACTTTTATATTTAAATACCTTAGACTCCTTCTCCTTCATTAGCTTACAGCCATCTTTTCCACAGATTGCTAGAAACTTGTCTTTAAACTCCTAAACATAAATTTATAAATATATTAATTAAAAAACATTGTAATACCACAAAAATAAATCAAGTTATTAATCTACTACTCAAGCTGTTTAACAGAGATTAATGCTACAGTATCATTTATTGATTTCAGAAAAATCATGGGCAAGTATTTTTTTTGTCAATATTATTAAATATATTGAATTGTAGTTGTAAATCAGATAATAATCTTATTTTTTTTGATCAATAGAGTTAATATAAAATTAAGAAATTATTTAGTAACATTTATTTAAATTTTCTTAAGACTTTAAAATATTGCATCATGTGTTTTTTCTTTAATTTATAATCTATTACCTTTTAAAGAAAGTATCGAAATTAAAATTCTTTAATATTTAAATTTAAAAACAAAATTTTAAATAGTCTTTCTTTCTTCCTTTTTTGTTTTGGTTTTTAGATCTTCTAGATAAATTTGAAATAACTAAAAAAGTGATCCACTGAAACCTTATTTCAGTTTAAATGGAAATATAATTCTTTTTTGTACTGCCAATATTATCATAGTATGATATCATTCTAAAAATAAACTAAATTTATCAATATGGCAATAAAAAAGCTCTTATTTATTTTATTAATATTCATTTAATTTAAATATATGTAAGACTTAATGTTTTGTCTAAAAAACTCTATGATTATTAAGATTTTTTATAAATATATATATTTAGAAAAAAAGAAAATATACTTCTGAAAATTTTTTATGAAGAGGTCCTATAGTAACTCTTCTATTTTTTTCAGCAGCATTTGGATTGAATAATTTATCATTTATTCTAGTAAAAATCTCTTTCACCTTGTCTGCAGAAGTTTTAGCACTTACTGATTGCACTAACTCATTCACATAGTCCTGTAAAGAAAAAAATTCAAAAACTATCAACACGAATAAACATAAATAAAACAAAGTTAAGGGAATAAAAGCACGATTTTAATTTTTTCAACGAGAATAAATGTTTTACTGCTAATAATTCGTAGATTAAGAATTAATTCTAGTATCCTAAAATTGGCATAATAATGTAGAAACATTTTCTTACACTGAAGTTAATATTATTATTATTTTGAAAGGAATATAGCAAAAAAGAAGAATTTGCTTAATTTTTAATTATTACAATTTTTAATTATTATGTTTTCTGGAAGTTCGCACAGTATAAAAGTCGTATAATTAAAATTCAATTTCTCAGGAACTATTCAATTGATTTTGCTCATCATGTTTCTACTTTTGCATGACTTTATAATGACAAATTTGATTTGCCGGCGGAGAAAGGATAAATTTAACTATTCAATTTTCTGAGGGTCTTAAAAGAGGAAGACATTAATAATGAGAAGAGAGATTTGCGTATCAGATTGTAAAAAAAAAGTGTTCAATTTTTTGTTCTCACCCCCCATACATTCTTTTGATCATTCACCCTACAATAATATCAATACTTGGATATATTTTTAATGTTAATAATAAAAAGTTCTTCTTTCTTTACCAATGGCCATAAAATTACCATGAAGAGTAAATGTAGGAGGTATATGCAGAAAAAGGTTAAAGTCGGAGAAAAACAAGGGTCACATTTTGACACAGGAGATTATTTTACATGAGAATCAGCAGGAATGATGTCAGTGCTCAAGTTTTCTTTTTTCAAAGCAGTTTTACTAACTTAAGAAATACTAAGTTCTGCCAAAATATTAAATTTCTCCATTAAGACATAGTCAGAAAATAACTCAATACATTTTACACATAGATGTTTTTAAAACTATCAAAATAGGCATTTAGCAACAAGTTAAATTATAAATAATAATATATGAGAAGCATTTGTTTGATTTCAAAACCAAATAACCTTATTTCCTATGAACAATTATCATTCCAATTAAAAACTCTCACCATAAAAATAACTTAAAACTATTTACCTTGAAAATTACTGAGGGAACACTAAGGTGATCAAGAGCAGTAACAAAATCAGTTATCAATGTTTCTTTTTCCAGAATTGCTTTTATTCTAAAAGATAAAAAATATTTCAATAAGATGTATTAATAAAACTATTAGCATTTGAGTTTCAAGATTTTTTTAAAAACAACATTTTAGACTGGTTATTGATTTATTAACATGTAAAAGGGTTTAAGTTTACTTTAAAATTCTTATTGCAGATTAATATTATTAAAAATTCTACTATTAACAGTTTAAAAAAAAAGTCCTTTTTAAACAAAAGATTAATGTCAACAGAAATGTAGAAAAATGAATTTTAAAAGATGAAGAAATTCTAAGTAGTCAAGGACAGTATTACAATATATGGCCACGACCCATGGCCCAACTATTCACTTTTATTAGTGTTTGCTCTTCCTTCGTAATAGAGAAAATATTTTAATTTAGCATTTGGAAAAAATTCCTTCTTAGTACTTTGAGCTTTAATGTAATACTCTTTCAGGATCATATTAATTACATCAGCAGCGCTTTAAAGTCCCAATTAAATCAAGAAGGATCATTACCACATATTAAATCAAAACCCATCACTATCACAAATTAAATAAAAAAAATAATTGTTATCACAAATTAAATAAAAAACAATACATTGAATTGGAAATGCTTCAGAGGAATGGAGCCAGAGGCTTTGCCTTACTCAGCGTACAGTAGACATTGATAAGCTTAAATAAATAGAAAAAAGAGCCAATCAACACATTAATTTCTCTATCCTGAAATGAAATGGAATATTTAACTAATTATAATAATAAAATTTCTTAATACATAAATTTTAATAAAAGTTTTTAATAAAATATGCTATTGGTTTTCCATTGGGAGTGTCTCTTTTTTTCACATTCCTAAACTTAAGTTCAGGTACCTTAAGGTCGGATCACACTGTACTAGGTGAGCATAATTTAAATCTTATTAGAGTCACTCAATAAAAAAAACTGAAATACAATTGGAAATATTAAAAAACTACTCATGACTGTTATTTTAATTTTAAAAAAACTTTATTCAAAGATTAAGAATAGTGGTTTTCTGAATATTAATTATCATAATAATTAAATGTAATTAATACCTTGGGACAAAAATTAATACCTTAAACAATAAAAACCTGGGACAAGAGTTGAAAAATTTGATTGCAAATGCATTTCAAAACATAGACAATATATCAAGTTAATGCTCTGTCCAATGTGCCTTTAATGATTATTTAATATGAAAATTTTCAACCATAATGTTTAAAGATAAAAAAAATCCTTGGTATTATAAAAAGTTGTAGCTTATACTTACTTATCAACAAATTTCTTATTAGAACTATCTGATTTCGAATTTGAAAACTTATAGCTTCCAGAACTTAAGTGAAATGCATAAATAATAGCCTGCAAAGAAAGAAATCAAAATAAAAACTTTTCTTTAGTAAATATCAGAAATAAAAAAAAAACATAAAATAAGAAGAAAGTTATTCCTGAAAATTAAAACTAGATATCATGAATGTTTGTAAGACAATTGTAAAATTATGAAATTCTTTCTTTGGAACTTTCAAGCGCATGCTTGTTAATTAAACAATAAGGATTAAATATAATTTCATCATTTTAGTATATCAAATAATTCAACTGCAAACAAAATTGGACAGCATTGTCTAAAAGCGTTCCCATTAAAAACATTTTTCCATTAAAGTTATATGGTAGCAGAGTTTCATCAGTCAAGAGTTGGAATCTAAGTTACACATACAACTAATTCAGTAGAAAGGAAGGCATTGATACTTAAGAATGGATAAGCATGTAATCTAAGCAGTTTATTAAGTATAACCTGTTAGATGGCTGATCATTGAGGGGACTTCTTAACTGCTTTATTTTCTCTGTAACAGTTTACCTAAACTTTTGTTTTTAATAAAAATCAGGAAAGAGGTTAGACCGGTTCAGTTACATAATTAAGAGAGGACACACACACTTCAAAACTGGCATTTGGTCAGATTTTGGACAAAGTTAAGGCAAACATTTACATTGTGGCTGTAAGATCAGTTATTTGTCAATTTTGCTACATTAGATAAATAAAATGTGACTAGTTATCTATTAGTACATATTTCTGAAGTTGAGATGAGTATATCCTATTTAGATGATAGGTTCAAGTTTGCTATAAGTGTTAAGGAATTCGCGATCAATAATGAATGCAGTTTCCTGCTGCTGCATGCAAATATTAGTGTTATAAAATACAAAGCAAACTTCAAATTTTTAAAAAAAATATACTTTTAAGCAAATTAATTTCTTCTCTCAATAAAATCAAAAAGCCTTTACACAGATCAATTACATAATTCTGTAAATCCACAACAAGAAACGAAAAAAAATGCAGATTTTAGGAAATAATATAACGTTTCCTTAAACTACTGAGCAACAGATGATATATTAGATAAATATATTCTAGCTTAAAGTTAAGTGGGTTTGTTGGAGTAAGCCTGAATGTTGTCAGGCAGTATAAGAAATGCTGAAAACTTTTTTGATCAGTCTCATACATTGCTACGCAACAATGGCAGTGTGCAGAAAGCCAAATTTTTATAATTAACCTATGACATGTAAGCAGATACATTTATATTATGCAATTAAAATAATCATGTAATTAGAAACCACCGACAAATAACAGTTTGAGAAGAAGGAGAAATTGAGACGATTCGCAACAAGGGAGTTGAGAGAATTAATTAGGCTAGTGAAAAAACTTTAAAATAAAGTTTTAAACTCAACAGATTAAATATTTATAATTATTTTCTTAACATTGTTTTCATTTTATGTCCATTTTAAATCAGTTAAATACTGTTTTCTTCCATGCAATTACTTTGTATTCACTTTGACATTATTTTCTAGAGAAAAAAAAAACTGATGCTTATGAAGGATCCGTGGTATCCGTTTAAAATTATAATAGAATCTTTCTGGGCATTAACACTCTTAAAAAAATAATGCAGGTCATTTTAACAGATTTCGAACTATCTAAAACGACAAAATAAAAAAATTATGCAAATAGCATAATTCAAAATACTACAGTTTACAATATTTTTTTCATGTCAATATTTCATTATTATCATATTTTTTTTGTTGTAGAAACCTTAATTTTATTTCAAACAAAATTGGACACATGTAATCATTACTATTAGGTAATAAAGCAATATAGCATAGCATGGGATTTAGGTCATACAACAAAAGGTGATATATTGTGATGAAAAGGTAGTAAAAAATATAGAAAAAAGGTGTAGCGTAATGTTTGGACAACCCTTATATAACATTTATTTCACTGATTAACACTTAAATTTAAATAAAACTAAATTCAGAGACGCAACAGCCCATAGAGGGCCAAGGCCTACTATGTCCTTCTCAGTTTTGTTGACATTGGGCTCTGGGGTGCAGGAGCAGATGTTCCGGTTAGGTGGTCAGTCAAACGCGGAACCCCCAGTGTTTAGTTCCCAAGTATTCTTGGTACTCATTTATCGACCCACTAAAGGGATGAAAGGCTGAGTCAACATTGCCCGGCCTGAGGATTGTACCCAGGACCTGTGGCTCAGGAGCGCTACCACTCAGCATCCTTAATTTTAATAACTCAACCTAATTTTCCTTGATCAAAATAAGTTCCCTTTATGAAGCTGAAAGTAAACATTAAAGATATAGAAAATCGTGCTAAGAACTGAAATATTTAAGAGAATAAAAAAAATGGGACACTATTATCCAAATCTTAAATAAATTAATTAATTAATAAAACTTACATTGGGATAGGTGAGAGCTATTTTTTCAATAATGCATTGAACTGCTTTGGCCTCTGGTTTGTCTAATAAGGCAACCATTTGATCAATCCATCCAATAAACAACCAACATGGCATTTTTGAAACCTTTAGGTAAAAAATTTCATTAGAATTACACAGACAGGAAGAAAGAGATTAACAGAAAATATATATATATATTACTTTTTCCTCAAACACTTGAAGACAAGATGGATTATTTTCAATGATTTGTAGAAGTCTGGGAAAGAGTAGATGAGCATCTGTGGATCCATACTTCAAAGCATCAAGAAGGGATTCGATAAGAATTCTCGGGAATTCATTGAATGATGGAATCTTTTTAAGATCAAAATTTTTGGCTACAAAATAAGGGGACAGAAAATGCAATAATAGTAATTAAAAAAATACAGCTAAACAAAAATACAGCTATACAAAATAAGATAAGAATTTCTTAAGAAATTTTATGTCAAGAAGTTTGAAAAAAAAAAGATCACAATAATAATAAAAAATACTAAAAAAGTATTAAAAAAAAGACTAAAAATAGATCAACATTTAAAAATGAATAGTTAATTTAAAAAACTTCAGTCATGTAATAAACATTATAGTTATATTTTTCTTGTATACAGGGTGATTCTAAAAAGATGGGCAAATTTTTAGGAAGCTATTGTACACAACCAAGCAAACAATTTTTATCAAAGAATGCATGGTCGAAAACAAAACGCAAAGGTGCTGGCGCATTTGGAAAGTTGTTTGATGCAAACGTGAAAGCTCCATTCCTGTTGCTAGTTACAGCGCTGCGTTACTTGTAGCCAAGCTTTCAGCCGCTGCAGGGAAAGTTCGTGATATGCCTGGTGTGTTTCAGAATGTTCGCATACCTTTTCTTCGCTGTTGTACTGCTTGCAAAGCCGCTGCCGGCCACTGTCTTGAACACTTATTGTAATCACATGCCATTAAGTTTGCTTTTATAACTTAACTTCATCGTTCTTTGTGTGTTTTTCCCTCATATAAGAACATAAACTTTGACTCCCTCCAGCGATTTTGCGTTTTGTTTTCGACCATGCATTCTTTGATAAAAATTGCTTGCTTGGGTGTGTACTATCACTTCCTAAAATTTTGCCCATCTTTTTAGAATCACCCTGTATTCTTCAACATGCTGGAATTTTCATGATCCTTCATTAAATTAAAGGGTTCGTTACAAAAAAACCAAACCTTTTTTTGTTTGATTCTAGAGAAGTGCAGCTGAAGAATTAATTATGGAGTAAATTTTTTAGAAACAGATTAATTAGTGTAAGTAGATTAGTATAGTTTTTAAGTGCATTTTTAAGTGGGGAAGCATTAGTTACAGTGTTAGTGTTCAGATTAGTATCAGTATTAGATTTGTACAGTTATATTAATTTTTCTTTCACATTTTGAAAAGCTTGAAAAATAATTTTTTTCTCTGCAGCAAATTCTTCAGATTTAGAATCTACTACACAGGAAAACAGGTAAGATGAAAATATTTAAAATGATAACATAATGGGAAACAAATTAATATTATAAAAATAGCATTCAAATCTTTACAAATTCCTAAAATTATATGCATACAGCTGTTACGATGTTATTGACGAACATCTATCTGCAACAATGAAGAGGTAGAATTGTCTTAGCATTATGTGCTTATGGCAGCAGCTGAGTGCACTTAACCTTATATTTATTTTATATTATTTGTTCAAAAATTATTCCTTATTAACCCATTCACTTACTAATATTTTTGTNCAGATTAGTATCAGTATTAGATTTGTACAGTTATATTAATTTTTCTTTCACATTTTGATTTATTTAATTTTTCTTTCACATATTTATTTTATATTATTTGTTCAAAAATTATTCCTTATTAACCCATTCACTTACTAATATTTTTCCTAATGGTCAACCCTATATTATACTGCAATGATTTTTCAGTTTTCCAACAGTATATACAATATAATTTCATGTCATCTATTGAGAGAAAAGAAGAAACACTAAGAAAAAGCTACAGCTGCTCAGCCCCGGCCGGCAATGTAGTACTGGACATAAAAGCTGCAGCCAGCTGCATAAGCCAATATTTAAATTATTAAAAAATGCATTTTAAAAGATAAATAAGTTTTTACGAAACCATTCATCTCAATATGCATTAAATAAATAATATTTTAAAATAAATAATTTTTCTACAATACATACATCAGTATGTGAAAACTAAAATTTTTTTAAACATATAATTACCATTTTCAGCACACAAGTATCGGTTGCAAAAATTTGCTAACTCCATGTGTGCAGCAGCAACACTTTTTCTGTTTGTGTCATTTACAGGGTTAGCAAGACCTGAAGTACCCATGGTTATATTCTTTAAAGAGGAATAGCTTTGGTCTAGAATTTCAGAAACTATCTATAAAAATAAAATAATCAGAATTCTTAATAAAATGATCAAAATATAAAATAGTATCTTCTCTAGATTGGATGGTACAATAAATAATTAAATTAAAATTGAATATAATATTTCATTATAAGCATTTTAGGCATTTATTAAATGTTTCTATTCTTATCTAGTTTCAAATACTTAACATTCATAATGATTTATGAGTTAACTTCAACTGTTATAAATTATTTATTCTTAGTAATTTTAACTCCAAAGTTTTTTTTAGAAAAAATCAAAATGGTTCGGAAAATTGCTGTTTATGATACCAATCTAAAGTTAAGCGTAATTTAATTCTACTATTACATTGAATCAAAAAAGCAATGAAAAAAATAAAACTTCTTACAGGACTTGCTAATGTAAAAGTAAACTTAGCTCTTTTTTTTAATGATTTCTAGAGAATTATAATAAAATTAAAACTTACTGGTAAAATAAAAACAGACTTATTTACATTTATTATTATTTTCATAATAAAAATATTAAAACTATGGATACAATTAGATTATATATAAATAATACCATTAAAATATTTAGTGAAAAAGAAATCCAAACAAAAATTTAAAAAAAATCACAATATTTAAGTTTATCTCACATGAAAATATGCAAATTTCAACTAGGATTATGAATAAAACTAAAAACAAGAAACTCTAAAATTAATGACAGAACACAGGGCTTATTTTAATATTGCTCAGTTTTACTTTCTTGCAGTATTTAAAAATAAGATTAAAGATAAAAAATGTTTTGGTTTTCATTTTGTAAATTAATTTCTCAATTATTTTCTATTAACTAAAATACAAATATCAGCATTAAATAGTCCCCCCTCTTTATATAGTGTATACAGAGAAAGATTTTAAACAAAAACATATACAGTACAAAACATCAGGAAGGCAATAGATATAAATATAAATACCGATGTAAAGAACGTACAGCAAAATAAAATTTAAATATCACAAAATGGAAATATAACAATAAAGTAGAATCAAGTAAAAAAAATCACAACAGGTAAAGAATTAAAGGTTAACTAAAATATAAATGTACATTTAATATTTACCTCTGTTAGATCTGATTTTCCATTGGATAAGGATGAAATAACAGCCATGTTTTCATTTGTAATAGTATCAAATAAACTTTTATCTTTCATAAACATTCTAGCAATGAGCTCTAAAGTTTCACTAAGCAATTTTTTTTGGGAAACACCTGAACCGCATCTCTTCTCTAGCTCACCTGCATGGAAAAAGAAGTAAAATACGTCATTTAAAATAAATAGTAAGTTAAAAGATTTTATAAGAATAAAAAAAATAATAATAACATAACAACAAAACAATAAGAAAGGACAATAGATGAATTTCACAGAAGTGACATTACAATTGCAAGGTTGGCAAAGTTGCTACTTCAATTTTTGCTCTTTTATGTATAAAATAAAAAATAAGGACGCCTTACAGTTGCTATTTCTAATTCATTTTCACGTCCAAATGTAAAGCCTTAATCGTTGACTCAACTTTCATAAGTTATATTTGTCTCTTGTTTTGCATTTTTTTTGTAGACAACTTGTTTTTTAGACTCTTTCCATATTTAGAAATATATAAAATAGAAATCAAAATAATCTCCATAAAGAAAGGATACATCCAAATTAAAATGAGATACACTTTGCGCTACACATGAATAAACAAAATTACAAAAATAAAGCTCAAATAATTGCAAAAAAGAGACATTATGTAATTTTGGTCCTATAAACAAGCACCTTTCTCAGTATGGAAACATTTAATGAAAATTATTTATATTACAACAACATAATCTTGTTTTGAAATCTGATAAAATATCCATAGCTTGGAGTTATCTTATAAATGATAATATAGGATGAAAACTTAAATTTTAATCACAATTAAAATATTGGATGAACTGTTCCCACTTTGCCTCATAAACACAACATTGGCTGAGGAATACACCAGAAGTTTACCATGTTTTTTAATTTTTTAGTATATTTGTTTAAGTTTAGTCATTATTATAGTTAACCATCCATAATGCTCTCCAAACATTGTATTTGGGCAAAATAAGGAACACACATTGTCTGTGTTGTTTCCGGAAATAAAGTTTGAAGCTACGTTTTTATATTTTTAAATCTCAATTTATAGTTTTTCTAATGTCTGATTTTATGTAAATGATTACAGCTTATTACTAATCAGGGATATTGTTTGTTACTACAGTGTTGATATAAGCATAAAAGGGCTTTTCAAATTTTAAGTAGCGAAGGTTAAAGGGTATATCACAACTTTTTGTAATAGTATCATGTTGAATAAAGTGACCATAGAGATGCATATGTAAAGTTCTTATGTGTACTTATTTTACGAATTTAAGACTCATGCTGTATGAATCAATTTAAGAAATGGTCATATTTATAAAGTGTACTTAAAACTTAGATAATGCACTTAGACTGTAGAAAATGTTTTATTATTTTTACTGAATGTAAATTACTTTGATTTTAAATAAATTTCTTTATTATGTTCGTTCGAAACATGTTTTGGTTTAAAAAAAAGAAATTTAAAAAAAAAAAATTTACAATGTTTTTTACATTTTGTTTTTTTCAGTACATACCTCTACATTTTAGAACTTTTTTTCCAAAGATATTGAAATTAGTTTGAAAAAAATAACATTTCATAAGTTAGTTGCACAATTTCGTTTCCAAAGATTTTGAGTGAGAAGCTGGATGTTTGATATTGACTATTCAAGTGCTGCAGGTTGTACACTCCCATGTTATTTCAATTTCAAATCATAATTCAATAATATACCGATTTTAAATATAAAATGTAATAAATAAAATAAGTAGATTTATTCAGAGTTTAAGGAGACTTCCCTATACCTAATTGTTTATATGAACCAACAGCTATATCTAAGCTTTTCTCTGAGTGAGATTGCAATACTCTTTGATTGTTAACAGAACAATAAGCTTCTATGAATTTTGACCAGGTCGATCCATCAAGAGAACGAGAATCCTAAGAAATGAATACAAAAAAGTAACATTAATACAGTAGTCTCAGTTATTAAAATATATTTTTCAAAAAAGGTTAAATATAAATATAATTTTACAGTATATAACAGGGGTTTCCACCTTACATGAGGCCGGGGGCCACAATTAAAAACACAAATCAAATGGCGGGCCGCAACTTTATCAAAATTTTATGTAGGACTCTTTTATGTTTGAAGGAACATTAAATATTACCATCAGATTTTTATCAAGTTGTACAAAACAAAAGTATTGAATTACAAATTAAAATAAAATGTAGACTTTTAAAAATATTTGATTGCATATTAAAAAATTCAGGCTACAATAACTTTAATGTGCACCCATGTATTAAACAAATATCTAATTGTTAAAATATAAATCTTTAAAAAGGTTGATATTAAAACTTACATAGTAGCACACAAAATGTTCAATGACAAAATTGAGGTTTGTCTGCTGCAACCACCAGAGAATAGATATTTACATTTTAAATTTACAAATGTGTTTGTGTATATATTTTCATCCAAAATGAGTGGTTTCAGAAAGTTAAATCGGAGAATTTCTTTGAGAAAATTTCTGATTCACACATGCTAAATTATATTCACAAAATACAAAAAAATGAAATAGAAAGAGCAACATACACGATTATTTTTGTATTTGAATAAATATTTTCTTGGATGCAAAACCTGAGCAAAATTTTTTTTTGCACCGTTGGTATGATAAATTTCACAGAAACGAAGAAATTAGGTTTTTATTAACGAGAAAAGTATTCTAAACCCATAGAGATTTTTTTTAAAAATTGCCCGCAAAAGAAAGACAACTAATATATTTTAGCTCGCGGGCCACACAAAAAGGTTTCACGAGCCGCCAGTTGGAAACCACTGGTATATAATATAGTAAAACCAACTATCCTTATTATGGGGTTTAGCACAAAAAGACAAAAGATGAAAACAATTGTTCCGCTTTAAAATATTAGCTCCGTAAAATGCTCATCTTGATAGATTCTATGGCTTTTCAACATTTACTATTGGGTACACATACATTTCTAACAATAAACAATGAAGAAAATAAGGAAAAATTATTAGAATTTTACAAAAATTTGAAAAAAGTGGAGATTTTTATTGTTAAGCTAAGTTATGTTATGAATAACAAAATGAAAGTGTATATATATACTTATTAAGTACAATTAATAAATAAAAAAATCAGATACATTATCATAACTTTTATTTATAGCAGTTTAGAAATTTGCCCTGTTAAAACACTAGTCACTCAACGTTATGCTTCTATATTCACACTTTGACTTATCACTCCTTTGAAACAGATTTCCTTACAGGGCTTTTTCTACCTCATAGTAAACAAAGAAATTGGATACACAGATCTGGACTGTAGAGAAAGTGACACAGGACTTTTTACAGATGTGGACTGCAAAGGATTCCTTATTTCCATGGCAGTGCATGGTCTGAAACTATCATAAAAAGTTTAATATTTTTCAATTTGATTGCCTTTCCTGGCTTTGCTAACTTCAAAAAGAAACACCCTTTGCTATTGGTCCTAAATTACACATCACTTTCAGAAAGGGAATGGATTCAATATCATCCTTTTATCACAGCTGGTATGACAATTACTGCTACCAAGCGATTGTAAGGCTTACAAACCCATTTCAGGCACACTTTTAAATTAAAATATTTGGTATTTAATGGCTTTTTTCCTCAATAATTATTGACTGTGCCTAATATTTACCTAAGCATTCCAAATAAGATTTTAATAATCAACTTAATAGATTTAATGTTATAAATACAAGTTATGCAGTAACCATAAAAATCTAATGCAACAGGTTTAAATTTTTAAGAAAAACTATAATACGAGGACTACAAAGGATTCCTTATTTCCATGGCTGTGTATAGTCTGAAACTATCATAAAAAGTTCAATATTTTTCAATTTGATTGCCTTTCCTAGCTTTGCTAACTTTTCTAAAGACCTCTGATAATTGACTCCAGCACCATAGCTTCAGAACATAGAAAATAAACAGCCCTTTTCTATTGGTCCTAAATTACACATCACTTTCAGAAAGGAAATGGATTCAATATCATCCTTTTATCACAGCTGATATGACAGTTACTGCTACCAAGCGATTGCAAGGCTTACAAATCCATTTCAGGCACACTTTTATTATTTAATTAAAATATTTGGTATTTAATGGCTTTTTTCCTCAATATTTATTGACTGTGCCTAATATTTACCTAAGCATTCCAAATAAGATTTTAATAATCAACTTAATAGATTTTATGTTATGTTTTGTTCATTTCTAATCCCCAAGAGGTCCATCCCAATTAGACCAAATCCATAAGTCCAAAAATGTCCAGAAAGTCAAAAAATAGATAAGGGGGTGCAGGGGAAAGTGTTACAGCTTCTGTTGGCCGAAAGGGACCTGGAGTACCAAAGGTAGAAGACTGATTTAGCTCCATAGTTTCACCTGCTAGCCTTAGCTGGGCATAATGGAATGGCCCTCACGCCTAGGGTGGCCCTACCAGGAGCTAAGCTTTCGACGTACTTTGCCCATTCCGCCCAGTGACACCCCCTCGCCATGGTGAGGCAGCTAGCAGGACTTGAGGGGGTTTAATGTTATAAATACAAGTTATGCAGCAACCATAAAAATCTAATGCAACAGGTTTAAATTTTTAAGAAAAAATGTTCTAAGAATTCATTATTTCATCAAATTATGTTTTATGAAAATAAATAATAACTTACTCTATATATATTTTTCAAAGTGGATACTGCTACTGGAAAATTTCCTTTTGCAGCACAGTTTTCAGCAAAACGTATCTTCATGTGAACTGATGTATTTAAAGCAATCCTTTTAAAATCATCTTCATGTATGCTGTCATTATTCAAACTATCAGACAATGAAACTTCCATTTTTTCAACTTGATTGCCGAATTTATCTCCCAATTTCTGTATATACAATTGTCTAAAGAAGACAATTCAAAATATATATGTAAAGAAAAAGACAATTAAAGGAATTTTATAATAAGGAATTATATAATAATTTACAATGTAAATAAATTATCTAGTATGATTTTTTTTAACCCTGAGGGTAACGTGAATGTAAATTTTACATGCACGTTACCTTCAACGTTAAAAAAATATGTATAATTATTAAAATCAGAAAATATTTTAAAAACATTTACTTAACATTTTAGCTTTTCAAAAGTACTTATGAATTGAAAGAATCTATTTTCTTACCAAAAACAAAAAAAACCAACCATTTNATATGTATAATTATTAAAATCAGAAAATATTTTAAAAACATTTACTTAACATTTTAGCTTTTCAAAAGTACTTATGAATTGAAAGAATCTATTTTCTTACCAAAAACAAAAAAACCAACCCTTTAATCCTTGCTTGCAACAAAACGTTCCTTTTTTTTTTGCTTTTACACTTTTTAAAAAAATAAATAAATAAAAAAAATAAAAAAACAATTATGTTGGAAGAAAAATATTTAATGCAAATTTGTACAGCCCACTTAATGCAAAGGAATGACTAAAAAAATTCTTTTTTCACACAACTATCTATATTAGAAACATTTTGGCACTTCGAACAAAAGTTGCAGCATTTATTAAAATCATAAAAGAATTTTTTTAGATATACAAACCTATTTGCAATTACATCATCCCATATGTCAACTGGATCAATTGCATTAGGTAGTCGTTTTTGCCAGTACTTTAAAGTTTTTATTGCAGATTTATATTGATAGGAGTTGTCTATAAAAAATAATATAAAAAGCAGTATTAGTTTTAAGAGTGCCAAAACCATAAAATAAACCAATTATTTAAATGCTTTCAGAATTTACTTAATTTTGGTACTGACAAGAAAAGTGTCACATATATTAGATATATATAATGCAGAATAAGTGTATAAGTCAAACTCATTTATCATACTCAATATTAAAAATACTCAACATTCACACATTAAATAAGGACATTCTTTACACCTCAGTTGAGAAAAATTATGCACACTAATTACTTAAAAATTCAATTCTGTAAACAACTAACAATAATGCACTAGAATAAAATAAAAAAATACAATCTGCATTACAGTCCTTTTTATAATCTGATTTGACTTTAACACTTGTTTTACGAAAATCGATATTTTATCCATTTTATAAAACAGGTTAACCAAACATTTTAAAACACAAATTTAAAAAATCAAAAATATATTGAAAATTTCAATGAATGAATTTTTTAAAATTCACTTAGTGATGGTGAAATCAGCACTCCTTTGAGCATGAAATAATTTTAATAAAGTCTAGTCTATGTCTTCCTTATTACAATTTTTCAAATGTTAGAAAATGGAATTTTAATTCTTAAAAGTTGTATTAAATGCAACACTGCATTTCAGAAAGAATAAATTTTTAGTGTTGCGTAAAACTGATGTAAAATTGAAGTCTTATTGAGGATATAAATCAAAATGTGAGCTATATAAAAATACAAACTTAAGATCAAATTCCTTGGTTACATTACTAAGGTTACATTGTAAATCAGTTGACCATAGAAATGTTATCCCCTTTAAAAATGAAATGAATGGGAATGGAATTAAAATATTTTACCACATACTAGTAGATTCCACAAATCCCTAAATTTACCCATTTTCTTTTTTTTCTTCTTACTTTTTAAGTTGTGATAGTTAAAACAATGTATACATTTAATTTTTCAGGTATTTTGAAAACATGGATTAAATAATTTTTAATCGATAGTCTTTAAGAGAATTTCTGAAATATGAATGTGTTGTAAAAATCCTTCCAGAGGAAAGATTTAAAAAATTTAACATCTTATGTTGCAAAATTTTTTTAATTAAACAATGAAAATTTATTTTAAACAATCTTTTAGTTCGCTAATTAGCAGGGCCAGGACAGCTAGATCAATGACAAATACTGTCAGAAAATTGCTGTTTCATACATTTTGATTAAAAAATAATTTTCAAATACAATAATTTAAATTTACCAATTCCTATTAAATTAAAAATTTACATTAAAATTACATTACAATTACAATTTTAAATTACATACTTCTAAATACTTAATAAAAATCACACAGAGTGTTTATTAAGATTAATGAATATATAGCAAAAAAATAGAAATTTTTCAGAACATTGCTGTAAAAGATTAGATAATTTTTATATTTATATATATAGATATTTTAATTGTAAAAGTTTAATTCATTCTAGAGTTTTGTCATACTATTAACTAACTCTCATATTTTTAAAGTTTAAATTCTACAATAATAGATTGCCTTTTTAATAAGACACATTTATTATACTTCCTACATGCCGAAATAATAATGAAATATACCAGATTTGAGTATAGTAATTTTTCATAAAATAAGTCATTCTGAGTAATACTTAACCGACATATTTTATTTCAAATAACAAAAAATTCCCCTGTGGAGAAAAATTTGATAACAGTATAATAAATTATGTTTAGAGTATATATATGTTGTAAGTGTTAATTTTTCTCCAAGAAAATTCTTGCATAAATAAATAAAATTTTTGCAAATAACACATTCAGGTGTCGTATGTTTATTCTTTTTCAAATAGTTTAACATTTACTTTAATAATATAATATTTTGACAAAAAAATAAATCGATATGATTATAATAAAAGATATATAACAGTGTTAAGATATATAACAAATATAACAAAGATATATAACATACTTCGATCTATTAAATTTAAAAATTCATCTAACTCAACATATTTTTGCAAATTTTGCAAAACTGAGTGCTGCATTTCTAAAGCTACTTGACTTAGGGTTTGCCATTCCTAAAAAATAATTTATAAATCAATAATCAACAAATTACAATTAATTTCAAGTTCTAAAAAATAACAAGAGCAATTAGATCATAACTACCTTCAGAAATTTGTGTAAACAAGATGAACTGTACTGCCGAGCAATTTTAAACTTGTCTTGCACTACATATAGTAATGCTAATTCTTCATTGAAATGAATCTAAATAAATATATTATATTAGAAAATTAGATTATCTATGGCATTTTGTAATTAAAACACAGATTATGTTCAGTGATGGCAGATGATTTTTTGAACACAGCATGTTAAAATTATAAAAAATGCAACGCTGTCATTTTATTTATAGGAATAATCATAATTTACTTATAATTGCAACTGAAATGAGAGGAAAATTTTTTTGCTATGGATCCAACTTTACTAAGCATGATTTTTTCTGAACTATATTTAAAATGAGCTTAGATGGATTTTTCTGAGACATTTGTCATAGATTCGCCATTACATTCAGTAAAATATGATTAAATGCATTCTGAAAGCCACTAAAATATTATTATTTAAAATCAATTATTTAAAAGAAAAATAAGTTTTTGAACTTTAATTATAGAATTCAAAATGAATTTTTCAATACAATGATAATTTTTGCCAGAATACAATTTCTCCAAAATTAGATACGAATAAAAGTTTCCTAAGAGTGCCCTACATCTCGTAAATAATCAACAGATCAGTTGCAAAAATATCTTACCTTTTTAAAACTAAATATTTTCTAGTAACAAATTTTCTAAAAGAAATCTATAAATTCATGAACTTTTACATTTCTTAAAAAGAAAACTTTTGGTTCCTTACCTCTAAGTGTGTTTTATTCTCGTCATCTTTACGGGATTCATCAAAAAAGTTTAGTAATGATGGGTCACTCTTGCCATTTAGAAGCAGTTTTAACTTGGAACGAACTAAGTATGGTAAATAAACATCCTAAAATATTTAAAATGTAAATTTACACTTCCGGTTAAAATTATATATAATTTTATAAAAATTAATAAGTAAAAAATAAATAAAAGTTTCAAACAGAGCCCAATATAATAAATGAATACATGCAAGATTAATATAAAGTTAATTATTTAACTCATAGCAAGAATGGAATAAAATTTTGTGTAAAAGTATTAACAGATATGTGCTCAAAATTAATATTAAATAAACTTATCAAGAGCTGAAATTTACGGTTGAAAGGACATAATTTTGAAATTCTAGAATGGCAGGGGTAATTGTGAGTCCAACTCAAAAATCCGGAAAATTTCTTGAGCAAAATCATTAAAGATGCATAATATCTTTATAAATTTAAATCTTTGATAATTTCAAGACATTGAATTCTAAATAAATTATATACAGCATCATTTAAATGAATAATTATGTATAAGTTTATTTTTTATCTCTAATCACATTTATTATTTTCCCAGAAAAAATATTTACAAATGAAAGATGCCAAGTATAAAGTCTAGTTCGAATATTTTTAAATAAAATGTTAAAGAATTTTTATATATAAATATGATCGATGATTTCTTGATACTTTTGGACCTAAGATTTTTGGAGCGCAGTTAGGGAAAAATCCGGAATTTTTCCAGAGCACAATCACCTCTGGAATGGAAAAATCTCTTTTCCCCCATCAAATAGTTTAATTTACAGTAAAAAAACTTAAAATAGAATTGGAATGATTTTATTAATATGAAAAATAGTGACATTAAGTCAGGAAGAAAAAATAGCTATTAATTTTGGTTTAGCCATTTAGCCACATTAAAAATTTAGCCCTATTTTACCCTGATAAAAGAAAACAGGAAGGAAGAAGAAAGTGCATTAATGAGTATGCTGCATCTTGCTCTCTCCTTTTTTGTTCAGCATCACTTCAATTAGTGCTATGAATATCTTTTATTCAGACTTAATTTTAAATTTTTTAATGTGAGTATTACATTTGGTGAAAAAGTAGTCAATGGTGTGGTTTAAAATTGTGGAATGATATGCTTGCAAATAGGATCGTAAGTTTATAAAATAAGTTAAATAATCATTCAAATTTCAATGTAAAGAATCATATTAATAAATAGGAATTTAATAATATTTATTAGAAAAAAAATAATAAGACAAATTGATTTGAAGCACATAATTTCAAACAAAAGAGAATTTTTTATATCAGGGTATATATTATTTATATTATTTAAGGATTTTTATTTTTGAATGCTACAGTACAGAATAGAAAAACTGAAATTAGATTTAAAATTTTGAACAAATTATTTCTGTGAAATAAATTGTTCCGCTAAAAGCATATTTACATGTTCTATTTCATAAAAAAAATAACATATTTATGAATGAGAAAAACAACATTTTAATTTTTATACAAAGAACAAATTTTTCCATCAGCCTTCAATTTAAAACCTTTTTTTTTTATGATGATGTATTTTGAGGCATATCTGGGCTTGGGTTATATATTATTATAGAAAAAAATTACAATAAATTTAAAAAAATCTTTAAGACAGTCTTATAAGGAATGGGAATGTAATATTTATTGTATTCCAACATTAGGGAACATTTGTCTTAATCATATTTTGTAATTTAAGAATAAAAAAAGATAAATAAATAAAACACTTGAATATTTAATAAAAACAACCAATTTATTTGGAACAGAGCAAATAATGAGGGGCTTTTATTTTTCTTTCACTTAAAAAAATGGGTATGACCATTTTAAGTAAAAAATTATTTTTTAAGTATAATAAAGAAGAAGTTTTCTTCAAGCATAGTAAAAAAAAAAAACTTTATCCCAGTTACTTATAACTTTATTCCAGTACTGAGAAATAAAATAATACTTTTTCATTCAATGAACTAACAACAACAAAACGTCATTAATATTTTAATGTTATGAAAAAAAACCATTAAAATACTAAGTATTTGAGATATTATGAATGAATCTAAAATGCTGTTACTTAATAGTTTAATGGCTACAAAATAATTGCAAATATATAACATATCTTTTAAAATGGCTAAAAGATCTATTAATTATATAAAAGTTCACATGAAAAACTTGAAACAAGTAATTATCTTAATTGATTTATCAATTTTTTATTTCTTACTTTCATGTATTGATCTTCCCATATTTGTAATAGACTTGTTGATTCATCCATCATAAAGCGAGATTGAGCAGCACTTTCCAAATTCTCCCATTTTGATAACTTATTAAGGCACTGAAAAAAATATTTTTGCGTTGATGATCATTGCTTCAGAATACTTTCATATGGTACTTTTATTTTATAAATGATTAAGTTTTTCTTTAAAAAAAACTGATTAGACTATTATTTTAAATTTAGAAAAATGATTTATAATACTAGAATAAAATATAAAAGTTAGGACAAAGGATAGTTAACACACATCCGTCCAGCATCATTTACAGTGATTAACCAAATGTTGGTATTTTTTTAAAAATCAATTACTGCAATTTACAAATAAACTTTCGTCATTTGGCAACTGAGTGGTTGATTGTAAAATGAGAAATTTTCATCATGCAGACAAATATGTGTTAAAATAGTTACAACTTACAACTGATAGAATATATTGCCCTAGTTTTGTATTTTTGATAGACTATTTACGATAAAAAATTATATTGGTACATACATTCAAAACAGATTTGTCCCAAAAATCTTTTTCAGCCTGATCATGCTCATCTGATGCCTCTTCATATAGCTAAAAAAGAGGGTAAAAAAGAGATCATTTGCATAAAATGATTCATAATGTAGGAGGATACAAAATATTAACATTTTATTGTTAAAAGGCATTCATGAAGTCAAGGTTGGCAAGTTTCTGCCAAAGTGGTTAAAATTACTGGTAGAAACCGGTTAAAACCGGCATGGCAGAAACCTTTTTCTACCACATTTGTGTCAGAAATTCAGAAAATGACATAAAAGTAAGTACTGAGACTGACATACAATGGATAATTCATAGAAAAAAAAATTAAATGTTAAGCAAAGTACAATTTATTTACAAAATTATCACCATTCAAAATCAAATATTACATTGTTTGCACTCTGCAGTTATCTATAACAAAAGACAAGTTTTGATGCAGTTTCTACACCTAAACAATTTCTCAATTTGCTATGCACGAAAGAGAAATTTGAGAAGATTCTCTCAAGTCCAGCAGAACTAGCAGGCATTGCCATCCACAAAAGATTAAAACTGTTACTGTTATAATAATTGGATTGTTGCCATGCAAATTATGTCTTGAAAAGAAAAAAACTATTTGAAAATAGCTCTATTCAGTTATGTTAAGAGTTAAATGATAATAATTACTGAATTTCAGAGTTTAATATAATAAACTAAAATCTAGTATTTATATTTATTATTACATTACTTTATTCTTTATTTTATATAAATATTTGATATACTGCACTCTTTATATTTAATATAAACAAAATAATATATATTTACAAACAATGAATTAAAAAGTTTGTTACAGTTACATGGAGTTACATTTTTCAGTTTACTTAAACAAAATGTCATTAAGCAATTACTAGAACTAATATAGACATATTTTTAGTTTCGGCCAGTTTTAGCCGGTTTTTACCAGTTATAACCAGTTTCTGCCACTGGCATGGCAAAAACCAGTTTCTGCTGGCAAAAAGCCAACCCTGCATGAAGTACAAAACTGTACTCTTTCAACTTTTAAAACTTTTGCACTATAGCTCCTATAGATTTAGGTTTGGTTACAGTGTAAATATAAGTTAGTAACAATACCTCAATCATCTAGATAGAATTGCAAAAGCTTCACACCTCTTTGATCTCTTACCCCACAGTAAATTACAGAGGGGTGACTAAAGTTAACTTCGATTGAGGAAAGAAAACAACCGATATTTATATTGAGCTTAAAACACAACTTTTAAAATAATACTTACGCTAGCTTTTTTCATATTTGTCTACTAAGAATCAGGCTTGAAAGTTAAGGGTCACATTATATATAAGTTTATAAGTTAAAAAAGTTACCATGGATCTGAGAATAGATCTTATTTCCACTATACCTTAAGGCACCTTTTCCAGCATATTTTAAATTTGTTAATTTTTGGAGAAGGAAGATAATGCTCTGGAAACTTAGTTAAAATTTCAGTTTTGTAATTTTAATATCATGAAAAAGTGCATTCCATATCTTGCTTATCTAAGTAGAACCTGTTAGTATGCAGTCACTGAAATGTATACCATTATGGTTCATTTTTGCTATAAATGCATTTTGATAGCCCAAATCTAAGATAAAAGTTTTATTTGAAAGAAAATTGAATGTCCACTGTGCCAGATCAACTTTAAATATTTATGTTCTGGAAAATATAACAATATAAAATATGTGTAAATGTTATGGTTCACTTATCATTAACAGAATTACCATACGTAAAATGATGTATGTTACTTAAATTACCATATTCTATTCAGGTTTATCCTTCCAAAACTGTTAAAAAAATATATAGTTGCAAAAATTCAATTTTTTTTTCTTACATAACATTTCCTACAAATTTTATTAAAATCAGAAATGTCAATAATCCAAGTATGCCATTTTAACATTAAAATAATAATAATAATTGGATTTTAATGCTGGTTGCATGAAATGCTGTTAAGAACAGTAAGACAATACTCAAGATGTATGAATATGAAATATCACAAGAAATATGGATGCAATCAAAAATATAAAAATATGTGCTAAATATTTTCAAAAAATCCATTTGAAGATAATAAAAATAATCAAAAAATCCATTTGAAAATGCCAACTTTACCACCTAGATGTAGGCAATTTTAAATAAGACTTCCTTATTACTGCAGATTTGGATTTTCGACGAAAAAATTACCTAAATTTGACTTGCAGAATTTAAGATTTTTGTTCACAAAAATCTTAATTAACATTGATTAATATTGTATAAATTATTGTATTATAATAAATTAACATTGATTGCAAAATCAAAATAGGGAATAATATGTTTAAAGTAGAGATATCTCAAAAAATACACATCAGATTGAAAAAATAAAAATAGACACATTTAATACGTAAAAAAAAAAAATCGATAACAAAAACGCACAAAAGAGTTTTACCTTATTATAGAGCATAGCAGCTTCAAAATACTGTCCTAAGCACTCATGCTGCAGAGCTCTTTTGTTGTCGTCTCTTTTGCCCATTGTCAAAGAAAAAATTCCATTCACAACATCATAATCATTTATGGATCTATATAATCTAACGAGATAAACATGAAATACATTATAAAAGGTCTGAGAAAGTAAGTAATCAGAAAAACTATATCTTATGTAATTTTGAATTAATAGTATACGAGGAGCATCCAGAAAGTAAGTCTCCCTATCTTTTTTAAGAAAAGAACTCACACTTTCAGGAACATATTTATTGGCAACAAGTACAGCAATGCTTCAACATAGCCACGACCTGAATTGAGACACTTGTCGTATCGTGGGATCAACTTTTGTATCCCTCTGTCGCAGAACTCTGCCGCCTGTGAATGGAACCAGNAACTCACACTTTCAGGAACATATTTATTGGCAACAAGTACAGCAATGCTTCAACATAGCCACGACCTGAATTGAGACACTTGTCGTATCGTGGGATCAACTTTTGTATCCCTCTGTCGCAGAACTCAGCCGTCTGTGAATGGAACCAGCGTGCGACAGACATCTTCAGCTCTTCGTCGGTGCCAAAACGCTCACCGGAGGACAGGAAATTCTTGAGGTGTAAGAAAACGTGAAAATTGCTGGGAGCAATATCATTGTCATGGAGGAGCACAACATCTGCAGTAAGCATTCCATGCCTCTTGTTTTGAATGGCACGTCACAATTTCCGCAGTGTTTCACAGTAACGGTCAGCATTTACTGTTTCACCATGTGGATGGAAGTCAATGAGCAAGAATGTCCACACCGTGCATATCACTTTCCATACCGACAGCGTCCTAAGCGTTGAATTTTGTGTTCGGGTGTTTTTCGGCACATGCTGGTTCCATTCACAGGCGGTAGAGCTCTACGACAGACGGATACAAAAGTTGATCCCACGATACGACAAGTGTTTGAATTCAGGTGGTGGCTACGTTGAAAAATAAGCTGAAACGTTGCTGTACTTGTTGCCAATAAATATGTTCCTGAAAGTGTGAGTTATTTTTTTTAAAAAAAATAGGGAAACTTACTTTCTGGATGTGCCTTGTACATTGGTTATGCTTTTTGACAATCGGCTTGATCACCTTTATGAGCCTGATGCTACAGGCTCCACAATGCATTTTATGGTATTTTAGTAAGGAAGACACTTAAATAATAAAAATAAAAACTTTGAGAAACATTATATGCAATTATAATTGTATATTAAGAAATATATAATAATTATGTATTGAGAAAAATTTCAAGGCATTAGTTTGACACTAAACTCCGCTTCTGGAACAGGGGTTATAGAGTCTGAATTCAAAGAAAAGTGAAAAACAAGAGCTCCTAAAGGATGCAGGATGTTTCTAAAATATGATTTAATTGATTTCTCTGAAAAAAATAAAAACAAATGCATAAACCATAACAATCTTTCAGTGTGCCCCAAATCAAACTACAGAGAAAAGTTACTTTGTTATAAAGCTTACTTTTGAATTAGACAATAGAATAATTACCAATACTTATTTATTTGATACATTGCAGCTCAAATCTATTTAATACTTTATGAATTTATTTAAATCTACATTTTGTAGTTGGGTACTTGATGTTTTAAGAACCTAGTGTTGCCCCTATTTTTTATACTATCTATTTTTTTTATATTTCGATTATAACTCGGGAAACAAAAAGTAGCAATATAGGTATTTTATGGGGAAAATTAAATAAAAAATTAAATAGAAATTTTAGAAGCATCAAATTTCTAGATTTCTTAAGTAATTGGTGTATTTACATATTTTTAAAAGGCAACAATAAATCAAATAAAGCTATGTATGATTTATAAGTGTTGCCAATTTACAAATATCTATCTATCTATATATATATATTCCATAATGTTAATATTATTTTTTGCGTATTTCGCCAAATCCTGAGAAACTTTTAGCAAATTGAAAAATTTTTGCACACAATAATAGAATTCGTTTATCCTTATTATTAAAAGTCGCATATTTAAAATCTGATTTCTCAGGAACTATTTGTATAATTTTACTCAAATTTTGTATTTTGCCATGTAAAATTACGCCCTTTGCAATGATGTAAAAAATTTTATACCTTTTAATTAAAAAAATTTCGTCTCTTATTAAATAAAATAATAAACAATAATAAATATTTACCATTATTTATTTTGCATGGAATTATCTTTGATAAACGAAGTATATAACTGTGTATAAGAATTTTTCGATTTGCTTTAAAAATACTCAAGATATGGCACAAAGTAAAAGTAACAGCATGAAGTCTAAACTTAGGATTGCTCTCTTGACCACACTATGGAGACCATATTTTCCAGATTGAGACTACCCCCTATAATTGTGGGTCAAAAATCTGACTCTGTCAAAAAAAGTTGTGTTTATTCAAAGAAAGTTCGTTTTTGTATCTGATTTCATAACTTGAAATATCGTCTGCACTTATTAATTAGCATATTTTAGGCCATCCCTCAAATTATTAAGATTGAGTCCTAGAATGTGAAGGTTATTAGATCAAAAGTTTTTCAGGGTGGTCCGTTTTTTTTTTTTTTTTTTTTTTTTTTTTTTTTTTTTTTTTTGGAGCACTGTACATTCTCTCCATTCATTACTACTATAACATCTAGTTTTCTAAGCAGGAGAGACTGATACTCAAAATGTGACATTTCAAACTGAAGATCACCAAAGAATTAAATAATTTTTATTATATAAAAATTACGTAAGTAAGCTAAGTTATGAAGTTCTTAATACAAATAGAGTACACTGCACATTTAAAGAACACAATTTTTCTGAAATTTTCTAAAATTTTTGATATGCAAAAATCTTTTTTGCAGAAAGTAATGGCATTTTTTAATTTTAATTCCTTAATTAATTTAATATTGAACAACTCAACAGGCATAACAATATATTAGTAATAACACATAAAATATGCATAACCTTAACAGATTTTTCACTTTCAATACATTATAAATAATAAATGTCTTACTCTTAATACTTACTCAGCTAACTTCATCCAATAGTTGGATTCTTGAGTAAAAATGTGCTTTTCATGACGGATTTTCTTTTGCTTAGGTTCAACTGTAAGACCGTCCAATAACTGTGTCTCCAATAACAATATTCCTGATTGAATAAACAATTTTAAAAAAAGATGTGTTTTAAAACCTATTTTATCTAAACAATGATTTATCAGGAAAAACTGTAAATTTTAAACCTGAAATTTATAAATTTTAATGCACATAGAAGTATAAATTTCTGCATTTATCTCGAATTATTTTATGAATAAAATACGAGCATTCAAGCCTAGTTTAGTTAAGTTAACACTCCAGTTTAGTTAAGCCTAGACAAATGCTCTATCCCCTGAGCCTTCATGGCTCAAACAGGTCTATTGTAAAATGCCAGACTTTCCCCACAGGTCATCAGACTACCAAAATAGGGAAGACATCCTTTCTGCAGAGGATCAAAATTCTTATTGCACGTCTTTGGATCATTCTCAATGATGTTTCTCAGACCATCATCAATAACCCATTGTGCAACTCTAGTGACAATAACTTTAGTAAACAAATAATGTAATAATATTTTATTCCATGACCAAATTATTTCTTTTAAAATTTGTATGCAAAACCTGTCTTTTAAACTCTGTGTCACATTTGTAATGGTTTTCACTAAGTAGGATACAGTAGGAACAATCAAGAAACTAAAATTACAGAAACAGTCTATGTTATTATTAAAAAATAATTCAGAATATAATAAAGTATTGCACTTCTTTAAGAACTGAAAACAGAGAGATTTGAGGAATTAATTCTACTAGACAGTTTTATTTCTTACACTTTTTAAGTATTTTTTTATAAAAACAAAACTGTAATAATGAAATAATTCAAATCTGGTAGAGACAAAATTTGTATTCAACCATTCAATTAGAAACAGAATTAAAAGAAGAATAACTGCTTTCATTCATTAATGTTACAAACTAGAATTTAAAAAAAAATGTTTTGCAAATAGAAAGAAATATGTACATTTGAAACGTCTTGAAAGAAAACTGCGATAAGAAGTAAATACATGGTAAAATTCATAATTCTACTATGCACATTTCCTGCATTGTTAAATGCTGAAATAGAACAGGAAAAATTGCACACATTTTTTTTTAAAATTACTCTTTCATAAATATTTAAATAGTTTAGATTCAATGGGAAAAAATCAAAATTTCTGATTTTTCTTGCAAAATTGCTAGAACCAGAGTTTTTAAATGCAATGTAAAATTATTTATAAAATTTACCTATACTTTGCTGACTGCTTCCAATACAAGCATTGAACACAGTTTCCACATCAAACCTTATATTTGGGAAATCATTCAAGGTTTCCTATGAAAAGGCAAAATAATAAGTAAATAGCAAATATAAATTAAAAATAAGTTTTAAAGTGTATACAAAAAGGATAAAGATATTTACAAAAAATATACTTTGAATTATATGATATTCTATATTTTTAAATGATATAATATATTTCTAAATAATATAAAAGTCATAAATAAGGTAATAAGGTAAAAATGCTTACAACAATTAATAGATTGAATTAAATAATGAATTTTAGATAATCTCAGTTTCAAATATCAATAATATTCAGGAACATGGCATAAATAAGTAAATTATAATTTAATTCACATCTTAAGTGCCACTCTTATTTTCCAGCCATAAATATTTCAATATAATAATTTAAATTAAATGTGTGGCAGAAAAAAAACATAGAAAATGTATAGACAAAATATTTAATGGGAATATATTCACCACATTAACTACTTAATTTTAAGAAATTACTTAGGACAACGTTTAGTGCTTAATTCCAAAAGAACTGTTTGATTTTAAAGATAACTTAACCAAGTTTTTCGAAGTAAAAATCTACAATGCTTTGTCAACTTAGCATTTCCTTAAAAAGAGAAAAGACACATTTTAAAAATGAAAAGCATATATTTAATAATACATAAAATTACAGTTTTCACAAATCACGTAAATATTTATATACTAACCAAACAAAAGGACATTAAAGGTGGGAAATACAAATAGCTTTTTTGAAGAATGTTTTCAAAACAAGAGCCAATTTGTGCACAAAAAGCTTCAAATCCTTCTGGAAAATCTTCTTTAACTGATGTACATATGGCAGACAAAAGTGATTTTAATAAAAGTTTAGCAATACTGACATCATTCTGTTTAGAATAGAAAAATAATTATTACTTTAAGTAATGATTAATATATAGATTTGAAAAAAAAGACATGGCTATGAATAAGGTACCATTGCTAGAGCTTGCACAGGCTGAATAATTGCTGAATTGCTGATTTCAATATCAGGTAACTCTCCTATACGATACTGACGATACATTGTAACTTGTGCATCCCTATGACTTCGCTGATCTTTCAAAATTTCCTGTCAGAAAATTAATAATACAAAAGATTACGTCAAGTAAATAAACAAATAAGTGATATTTAATAGTTTTTAACAATTTAAAAATCTACTTTATGGAGAAACAATGAGAATTACATTTAAAATGTATCTAAAATAAAAATAATAATACTTAAGAATAGTTGTAAGCAGGAGTTAGGCATTTTCTAGAGGTATTTCAATAAAAAAATGACCAAATTTAGTTTTAAAAAATAGATTCCTGGATCTGCATGATAAACATACAGTAAACAACGTTTAATATTAGATTTAGCAGATTAAAAAACTAAGTAAAAAATAGAAGATTGAAAAACTTAGAGTATTAGAAAGAGATAAAATAGTAAAGTTTATAAACGTTTGAAAAATTAATATAATTTAAAGAATTTAAAGGCGTTGAAAATGAAATAAATAAAAGAAATAACATACTTTTCGCCTATCTTGGCGTCTTAGCTCTTGGCGAGCAAAAACTTCAGAATTTGCTTTGTCTTTCAGAAATCTTTTTTTCAACATCCAAGTAGTTGATTTTTTTTCTTCTGAATCAAATATAAAAGCAGAGATTAAAAACCTTTTCTACGAAAAATAGTAATATATTAAACGATTAGTTACAATAATTTCTGATAAAAATGAAACATGCTTAAATATTAAAGTTTTTTACAATCAAAACATTTATGATAATGCTGGAAAAAAAATGTTTCAAATGTTATATTTTCAAATTTTAACTTAAAAGAAAAAAAATGAGAACTTACTGTTCTTCTCATTTTCATCTAAATCTATTTGAAATTTGGTTTTGGTAGATTTGTTTTCATTTTTCAATGCAAAAAGATGGGTCTTGACTGGAGAGTTGGTAAAGCTACTGTAGCCAGAATCACCTGATGACATTTGAGGTGCAAATGTATCTAAACTTTTTTCTGTCAGCCAGTTATATGTATCTCTTTTTTTAACATCTACAAAGTCAAAAGTAAAAGATAGTGCATTAAGAAATAGAATAAGCTAAATCTTTTTACTTACTACAGGGTATCTGCTACATTTTAGATTTTCAAACTCATGACTTTCCATGACTAATTCCAAGAATTTTTCAAGATTTAACGAAGCTACTATTTTCTCCGACAAAAACACAACAATAAATTTAAAAAAGCATTATAATAACTTTCATTGAAATGATAGGTATAACCAAAACTGTTTTACTCTGCATCATCATATTTATAGATTTTAAATTTAAAAAAAAAAACAGAGTAAAGAAAGAGTAGAAGCAATAAAATAGCTGCAAAAAATACAAAAGTAAATTTTTTTTTTCATTTTCTCTGCAGAATTACATTAAAAAGATACTTTTCTTGTTCATCGGAAAGGAAAGAAATACTCCTGATTCTTCTGTTCTCATTTCGGAATAAAAAAATTCGCCAATGATTGGCTTGCTTCAGCCAGAATTTTAAATTGATAAAATAAAAAATAAAAAAATAACAAAAATTCTGAAATCACACAAGTTTAAAATATAATTCGCTCTAGAAGTGATATTTTTAAAAAAATTTTTGAAAGAACACCATAATTTTTAAGAGGACATGATAAAAAAAATTTATATTTTAATAAAATATGACTGTGGATGGGGATTTTGTTACAAATTCAGATATTCGGATCACCATGAAATTCGGGAGAAGGGGGTAAATCCAATTTTAAAATTGAGATTTTGGTTTTAACTATTTTTAAAAAAAAATAGTTAAAATCATGACATTTCATGACANATTTTAAATTTAAAAAACAGAGTAAAGAAAGAGTAGAAGCAATAAAATAGCTGCAAAAAATACAAAAGTAAAATTTTTTTTCATTTTCTCTGCAGAATTACATTTAAAAGATACTTTTCTTGTTCTTAGGAAAGGAAAGAAATACTCCTGATTCTTCTGTTCTCATTTCGGAATAAAAAAATTCGCCAATGATTGGCTTGCTTCAGCTAGAATTTTAAATTGATAAAATAAAAAATAAAAAAATAACAAAAATTCTGAAATCACACAAGTTCAAAATATAATTCGCTCTAGAAGTTATATTTTTAAAAAATTTTTTGAAAGAACACCATAAGTTTTAAGAGGACATGATAAAAAAATTTTATATTTTAATAAAATATGACTATGGGTGGGGATTTTGTTACAAATTCAGATATTCGGATCACCATAAAATTCGGGAGAGGGGGGTAAATCCAATTTTAAAATTAAGATTTTGGTTTTAACTATTTTTTAAAAAAATAGTTAAACTATTTTTTAACTATTTTTTAAAAAAAATAGTTAAAATCATGACAAATTTTGTTCAATACTGAAATTCATAACTTTCCAGGTGCGCAGATACCCTGTAACTATAATTTCATTTGTTATATTTCTAAGCTTTTTTTATGGGTTTGGAATTTAATAACACTTTAATACCATTGTTGGTTTTAACTTATCTAAATGAGAAATGAATAAAATAAATATGTGGCTACATAATAGAAAACTTAAAATAAATAAGGCTCTCACTAAAAATAGCATAGGATAAAATAAACAAATGATGAGAATTTACAATGACATAAGATCATAGTAAATTCCTGTACAGAATGTAAGAATACACTTTTAAAAGGTCCCAAATTTTTAAAAGGTCCAATTAAATATACAAATTTTTATTTTCAAAAAACACTACACTTTATATTTCTAAATGTGTAAGATTTAAATGAATTTTTAAATATGCTATATTTGCAATAAAGTAACATGCTAAAATTTTACAAAATTATAACTATTCAACCTGCAAGATAATCATCAAGTTCTAAGCAATTCAACAAGGGGAAAAAAACTAATAGGCAATTTATTTATACAACCACTTGTATTATTTATACAACCATTTGTACAACCACAAGGGGAAAAAAACTAATAGCCAATTTATTTACACAACAACTTGTTTTACATTTCAAGTTTAATAAGACTTTAAGAAAACAAATTTTTACAAGAGCTACCTGAATGAATAGAACAAACGGGAAAACCTTTAGTAAATGGGGAAAAAGAAACTTAAATATTGTTATCTAAACAAAAAAAGAATTATGTCCAGTGTATTTTTTTTTACAATGACCAAGTTTGAGGCAATAGAATTAATAATTTAGAAACTATAATTGTTTTCAGCACAAAAGCACAATGGTTAATTGACACATATTTATGCATTAGTCATTATTGTATAAACAAATGAATAGTTTCCTGCAAATTTTTAGGCTGAATTGATTGAAATCAAAGGCGAGTCTATAGGGCAAATAGACCAAAGGTTTTTAAGTACAATAAGCATACTATTTTCCGAGTAAGTTATGCAACTTTTACCTACTTACTAAGAACAAGACATAGAACAGTTTTTTGAAGAGAACTTTATTTTGGAAATTGAATTTTTAGTCCCATTTTTATTGTACTATTGGTACTTTAATACCAAGGAACGCATATGTTTTAAATGCTTACTGTCGAAAAATATTTCATTACCTATATAAATTGTTTTACATTTAAAATTGCCTTTTTTGATAATTAGTTCAATTATATAAATCTTATGTTACAATATGCTAAATTTTTTATACCTAAATAGAACAATTCATATTTTATGAGTAAATCTTCTACCTGCTTTCTAAGTTGCATATAAAACATTCTTATAATATGAATTTAAGAAAATGAGAGCTTTTAAGCTACAATAAACACATTTTAGTGAATCATACTCAAAATTGAAATGAAAAGACAAAAATAGCTTGACTAACAAAAGTAAAAAAGCATTTAGTAAATAGCATTTAGTTAGCATTAGCAAGCTTTTAGTAAAAAAGCATCCTATCAAAACCTCTAGTAAAAAATTTACATAATACAAGAAAATTATAATCAGGAACTACATTTGAATACTATTAGCATACATTAGTTACATACCATCATTAACATCTAATGTTTCAGGAAAATCAATGTTGACTTGAGTGGCTTTTAATTTTAAATCATGCCTAAAGGAAGTTAAATCAGAGGCATCTAAAGACATAAGACTAGAATAGATTGAACTAGTCGCTGTTTCTGTAAAAAGAGGTGACATAGCCATATGCCTTTTACGAGCAGATGTTTGTATTTTGTAAGCCTGTGAAAATCAACAAAGAACAAATCATATAAGCTTCACATATACAGAGAAACAATGACTAAGCTTCAAATATACAGAGAAACAACAAGTATAATAAAAATGAAGCAAACAGAGCAAATAAATATTGATTAATCAAATAAATATTGATTAGGTAAAATAAACAAGTTAGAATAACATTTAAACAAATAATTAGTGAAAGGTAAATCGACTATCTATTTTTCATTTCACTATGATTTTAAAATCAACTAGGTATATTGAAGAGAAAAGTTCCAAGAAGGATTCTGTGTGCAGGGATTAAAAATGGAACATGGAAGCACTAATAGGATAATGATCTAGATAGGCTGTATAAAAAGGCAGATATTATCAACCGCATTAAAGTAAACTGCATAAAATTTGCTAAGCACATCTGCTAAATGAATCCATCCTCCTTAGCATCCAGAATCTCACATTTTTAAACTTATTGGAACATAAACCAGAGGCATGTCTATACTAAAAGGTGAGTTGACTAAATTATAAATTGAATGGATGAACCCTAATGGGGAAGAGAGCAAAATCGAAAAAGATTCTAAAGGTCATAAAGAAGTATCAAGTCAGTAAAAAAGACAAAACATTGATGGTTTCTGATATAATCATATTTGTGGTAACAACTTTAAATTTGTAACAAGACAACTGGAGTGAGTGATAGTCCATTGTTGTTGCCCAATTTTGAAACCTATTTAGAGTAATTGCTTGAAGCATAGGCAATGCACACTAATTGTTGTTTTGTCAATATCATTCATCGCATTTGCATGGATTTATTTTAAAAGTGTAATTTAATGCATCATCACTAGAAAGTTTTTGAGTTGCTTCGTAGTAAAGTATAAAAACGATCCCACATCATGTCATAATAGATTTTTACTGATTACATAGTGGACACAGCTAACATATTTTCCAGCTCTTATTTGGCTAAATCATTAGATTTCGTTTATGTTGACGTTAGACTACTAAATTATGCATTTATCCCACCAAATGCATATTATCATACTGTTACTAGAATGGAAATAAATTATCTTTCAATGATTACTTTTGAGAAGCTAAATAATATCCACCTCATGTCCTTACAAAAGAATTTAGGGATAAATAAAAAGTAATGTTCTGCTACGAAAAAAGCAACTGTGTTACGAATTAAAGAAAGTTCATTATTCATAACAAAAAATAAAATACATGTTTAAGAAAAAATATCCATATCATTGCAACTTTTAAAATAATACTTATAATAAAATAAATTATTATGAGATCTAAAAATTTATTACCTGAAAGTTACACTGAGACAATGGATATTCGAAAATTTTTCTCTTGTAATCTGGACTGTATGAAGTTCTTTCTAATAGAAGGAAGGTGGAGTATTGCAAAAATGACTCTTCTGTAACTGGTGAGGACATGTTTTTCATGAGAGCAATCAATCTTTCTACGGTGCCCAAAGGTAATCTCTTTTCATTACTCCAAAAGTTATCAACTATAAGACTAATATATAGTGTAAAACATTCGTCAGAACTCTATTTCACTTTGACAAAAATTTTGTGATTGACTTATATAAATAGTAAACATTTAGCATACAAAATTTAGATCCTTAAAGTCTAATTGCAGTGTATGGGAGTTAAGTCTAATACTTATTTTTCTTCTTTCTTTTTTCAACATTAAGCAGTTTGAGAAAGAGTTTTAATACGAAATAAATTTCTTTTAAAAAGAAAAATTAAATTTAAGTAACTTTCATACTAAAAAAAGTGTTTCTGAAAAAGTTCAACAGAAGTAAATTTTATAACAACATGACAAATAAATTTTTATGCTTCACAAAACAGCCAGTTCTATATAATGATATAGAAAAGATCAGTGAATATGAAGTCAGAAAACTGTGATTTAGGAATTCAATTATTTAAAAACTTTTATTTAAAAAATGAAAATCATTGTCTGTTTCAAAATAAGTTAAAGTAGAACATGGCAGCTTTACCATACAGCAAAAGTTTTTTCTTAAAACTCATAATAGTAATAGACAGGAAACTTTTGTACAAATACTTCCAAGTATTTAAACTTAATACTTAGATAGAAAAATTGAGAGCTGAGAGTTATACACATAAAAAGTATATATAGATGAAGTATCACATAACTAATATGAAACATTAAAAATATGTAGGGAAAAAAAAGAAAAAGAGAAATTGGAACAATTTTGTGTAAGAATTTGAATATATACAAGCATGCATGCATGTATGCATACATACATACGTACGTATGTATGTATGTACGTATGTACGTATATATATATATATATATATATAATACCTGAAATTAATATGAAACACAAATGATGGAAATAAAGTTATAAAATATTTTTTTAAAAAACACATGAATATACTTACATATACATTTAACAGCTTTGCACTCAACAGTCATATTTAACAGTTTTGAAACAGCATTTTAAAAACAATAAAAAATATCAAAAAATTATAAAATCACTTCATTTGAAAACGTATGGGTTCTCGTTAATGATGGAAAGATAAAACGGATAATAAATATTNAATGATGGAAATAAAGTTATAAAATATTTTTAAAAAAAACATGAATATACTTACATATACACTTAACAGTCATATTTAACAGTTTTGAAACAGCATTTTAAAAACAATAAAAAATATCAAAAAATTATAAAATCACTTCATTTGAAAACGTATGGGTTCTCGTTAATGATGGAAAGATAAAACGGATAATAAATATTGTAATTGTATTAAAATTTCAAGAGCAAGAATACAAAAACACAGTTCATCTTTAAAACATACTTATAAAATATCAGTATATTTTTAAATCATTAACAAAAAATTATGTTGATTACTTGACTTGATGAATATGATTACACTCACCGAATAGAAGGATCAGGGTCGGCAAGGCCATTTAATAAGGTTTCCCGAGAATACCTCGTGATTTCTTTTTCTTTAGCACCAGAACTGTCACTAAAATGTAAACGTATTCTTAATAGTGATAAAACTAACCTGAAACAAATCTATAACTATTAATATTGCTTAATTAATAACTAACAATTTTAAAAATGATAAACATACTGATCATAAAAAAATATAAATTCATTTGATATGAATTCAGTGCATATTTGCTTCAGATTGTATCAAATGGGATAATGGTTTTAGCACCAGAACTGTCACTGAAAAGTAAATGTATTCTTAATAGTTATAAAACTAGCCTGAATCAAATCTATAACTATTAACATTGTTTAAAATAATAACTAACAAACAATTTTAAAAATGATAAACATACTGATCATAACAATGTGAGGTGATAAAATTCACATCATCAAAAATATTTGAGTTTATTTGGGTTGAATTCAGTTCATATTTACTTCAGATTGTATCAAATGAGTGTAAGGTTGTTATAAATAAAATAACATTATTATGAAAGGTAAATAATAATAGTTAAAAAAAAATTCAGAAATTATTAGTTTTGTGAGCAATAACATAATTTATGGAAAAACAATCAAAGCAGATTTGTACCTAAATTTTTCAAAAAGTAGAAATAAAATTTTAAATAATGCAAGACGACTATGAGAATTTGGTTGAGTATGAATTCCAACAATGCTTGGCAATATGTGCAAAATATCATCACATGATAAATTAGGAACAAGCTTCTCTAGTGTCTGAAGTGATAAGTGTTGAATGATGTCATTCCTAAAATAGAAATAGACAAATGTTTATAGAATGTTGTTAATAATATGAAATAACAGATTCAAACTAGAATAAAACTATAATTAGTATAAAATCTGCAAGAAACTAATGAGACTAAACAACATAGTTGAATACTTAATAAATCAATAAGTGTTAAAATCACAGTTGAATACGTTTTAAACCACTGCTATGATCATTAAGCCCAAAAAAATGTAACTTTATATAGATTATTAAAATTATTTATGTAAAAGAAATATAACATTATTTATTATGAGATTCTTACTTGAGGCGATTACACTGAACAATTTTTACACATACTTTAAATATGGGATTCTTAAGACAGACCTGGTTTTCAGGTCAAACACGTGAAGTTTTTATATATAATTTTTCTTTCAAAATCCATCATACTTAGAGCATTACTTTATCTTTTTTAGCAATTTAGAACTTCATATGATCAATTAATTAATTCTAATTCAAGTAAAACTGATAGCTCCCTATTTTACTCAATAAAAGAATGAAGCATATAATAATAATAATTAATTTGGACACAGGTTTCAGACTGTTCAGAATTTTACTTACCTTGGTTCAATAGTTACTGCCGACAATAACATACAGGGATGAGAGTAGTCAGAAAGTAAAAAAGAGGAAATCCAAGAATGAATATCTATCTATATATATATAAACAAAAATTTGACAAAAAAAAGTGCGATTTTTAAACTTGTAAACCATGTGATTAAAAATACCGATATGAGGCTTTTAAATCACGTGAATATGAATTTCTACATCGAATTTAAAAAATGCAAAAATACAAATCATGATGCGTAATTTTTAGATCAAGATGCATAATTCTAAAATCGCGCGATATTACAACCACAAAAACGAAACACGACATTGGATTTTAAGCTCGCGTAGCTACGTAGGGTTTTAAAAGCTCGTAAATACAAATCGCGATATTGGTTTTTTAAATCTCGTAAATAAGAATCGCAATGTACAATATTTAAATGGCCTGAATAAGAATCGCAACGTTCAACTTTTAAATCAGGTAAATACGAAAATCGATGTTTGATAATAAAATCGCCATTTTAAAAATGCAAAAATACGAAACACGATATTAGATTTTTAAATCTCGTAAATACGAGTCATAATGTACGATATTTAAAAAGCGTAAATAAGAATTGCAATACGCAACTTTAAAATCAGGTAAATACGAAAATCGATGATTGATATTAAAATCGCGTGAATAAAAATCGAGATATTTGCAGAGTCTGGACTTGGGATTTCTAAAAGGCTTGTTTGAATTGTTTTTCGTTTACATAATAAATAAAAATTTACAAGATTAATTGAATGAGCAAATAAATATTTTCACCGCAAATCCACCTCTATTTTTTTTTGCTCTTTTTGTTTGCTTTCACTCCAGAATACAAGAAGCAGCGACGTCTAAATTACGCTATCCCGCCGACGGTTAAAAAATACGGAAAATCTTATTTTCTGTGCGTGAAATCGGAGAAAATAGCTAATATAAGTAAACATGAGGAAGGGTTAACAGCTAGGACGTAGTTTGAATTTTCTGTTTTTCTTTAAAAATCGTAAATAAATATAATTATTTGACTTCAACGACTGAATTTTTTTAAAAAAAAAAAACGGAATATTTATAAATAAATAATTATTAAAAAAAAAAAAACGTAACTTTTAAAGAATCTGAGTTTTTGATAAAAAGGCTGAAATTCGAGAGACAAAAGCAAAAAAAATCTCATCCCTGTACAAAGGTCAACCAGTTTTATCCCAAGGAAATGATTTTTAGAGAAACTTCAGAGGGAGGAATGAGGACTTCAATAATTTCGCTCAGCGGAAAATTAAATTCGTCATAAAATATTTTAACTTGTGCAAAAAAAAATTTCAGCGGAAATTAGCGGGAAAAATGGAAAAATCTGAGAAAAAGCCGAAATCCGCGAATCCGCGGAAGAATCTCATCCCTGAACATAGACAATGAGATTCAGAGTCGTATAATTTGCTCAAATAAAGCTTTTTATGGTTTAAAACGTTTTTTCAAATCCTCTCTTTTATCAAAAAATACAAAACTTTTACTCTATAAAACCAGTTAGGCCAATACTTACCTATGGCTCTGAGACCTGGAACCTAACTCAAGCTGGTGAAAATAAAAATGCCATTTTTGAGAGAAAAGTTTTGAGGGCCATCCTTGGAGGGATAAAAATAAATAATTCCTGGAGAAGGCGATATAATACTGAACTGTATAAAATCTACAGAGAGCCAGATATTGTGAAATTCATTAAAATACATCGAATGAACTGGGCAGCTCACATTTTCAGAAGGAATGATGACTCAAATTTAAAAAAAATCCTGTTACACAAACCCCTAACGAACAGNATTAAGCCCAAAAAAATTTAACTTTATATAGATTATTAAAATTATTTATGTAAAAGAAATATAACATTATTTATTATGAGATTCTTACTTGAGGCGATTACACTGAACAATTTTTACACATAATTTAAATATGGGATTCTTCAGGCAGACCTGGTTTTCAGGTCAAACACGTGAAGTTTTTTAAATATAATATTTCTCTGGAAATCCACCATACTTAGAGCATTACTTTAACTTTTTTAGCAATTTAGAACTTTATATGATCAATTAATGAATTTTAATTCAAGTAAAACTGATAGCTCCTTATTTTACTCAATAAAAGAATGAAGTACATAATAATAATAATAATTAATTTGGTCTCTACAGATTTCACCAGATGTTTAACATTCTTTGAAATTTCTGTTCGCTTAAAGTAAAAGTGTAACTAAAGATAATAGTAAGTAAAATTGTACAGAAGAAAATTTATACACTAGTTATGAATAGATATAGGTAAGAAATGCCAAAATATTGATTTTTTCAAAAGACAATTATGGATCAGTGTAATTCTTTGTAAATAAAACTGAAAAATAACTTTATGTCAGTTAACTAAACCAGATACTAACAAACTATGTTAATATCCCTAAAGTTTTTTCATAATTCATCCAGCTTAACTGAGATCAAAATACTAATAAAACAATAGAAAAACTTTTTAACAGCATCAAATTTGACTGATTGCCCATTTTATTACATAAGATTTGAATGAATAAGCTATACCAGACTTATACACATTTAATAAATTTCAACAATGAAATCAGAAGCCAAAAATAATATATCAAAAGATGTGTAAAGCAACTGATAAAAAGATAATGTAAAGCAACTTAAGTATATGAGCATGCAAAAACATTTTAAATAAATAATTTGTATGATGCAATAAAGTAAAAAGTGTTAACTGTTTATTATTTCCAAGCGAAACTTTAAAAGAAAGTTTAGTAAATAAAGTACCAAAATAACACTCAAAATGAAATAAATAATAATGGTAATAGAATATTACTTTTTTTCTAAGTTTTCAAACACACCAATATGCTTCAGTTCTTGATAACTATTTTCAAACTCTAGTACTCTTGAGTAAAAAATTTCTAATATGTAGTTCTTGTAGATTCCATGGACTCGAGAATACAAAAACAACAGATGAGGAATAAACCTATAAAAAAAAATTACAATATTTTCAAAGTTGAGAAATTACACAAACATCACTTAAATCAAAAAACTTTCATACTTATTTGCAATTTTTGGACAGGAAGAATGGATTTTATTGAGACAGTAAAGAAACTTGCTCTCTTCTTTATGCTTCATTGTGTCCAGCACTTGAGAAACTTTCAAAAAGAATTTGTTCTTCAAAATATCTGTCTCAGATTTAGAAATATATTGAAGAGTTAAGGCAATCACTTCTGCAGCAGCACCATATACTTCTTTGTACTTCATGGATAAATTCTTTAAGAGTGTAGTGAGAAAACTAAAATATAAAACAGGATATAGATAAATGAATATTACACTATAAGTCGTAAAGATTAGAGCATAGCAGTTCCAACTTTTTCTCGGCTACAGAACCTTAAATGAACGAGCTTCTTTTAGCTGAACATTATAAAAAGAAAGTTCATTAGCAGGTATGAATAAACTTATAAAAATAATAATAAATAAATAAAAACAACTAATTATTTTCAAAACATTTTATGCGAAGAATGAAATATTTAGTATATTATAAATTTGTTCTTAGTATGAGCATTTGCTGAAATGAATTTAAAAGAAAATTGCTACAAATGTTGAGAATGAATTATTTAAGAATGACTTCCTTATTTTTAAAATTAGATATTATATTTTGAATTGAAAAGCTCAATGGAGAATACTTCGTTTTTGAGAATGCATATTCTTTTCATAATTTCTTTAATAAATTATCTTCAATAAAAAAAAAAAAAATTTACATTTTGCTACTTTTTTATTCATTGGCCTCATACATAAATATACTACAGCATAAGCAACTAAAATCTTTAAAAAATTATGAATTGTTGATTGAATATAAAAGTTATAATTATTGGTTTAAAAAAAACTCTAACTCTTGAAGAAACTATCATCTTTCTGTGGAACACCTTTAAAAAACTACTGATAACGAATCTGAAATACATTAGAACAGTAATTGCGAAGGCTTGCTGGTAAGAACCATAAAGGTATAAACAAAACAATTTTTTGAAGAAAAAAAAACTAAGCTTGGTTTTTCATAATTAATAAAGCTTCTATTATTTACATATTTTTAGTTTGATACTAACTGAATGAAATAAATTAAATTTTATAATAAAAACTAAGTTCAATCGCCAATATGAATCTGTATTCCTTCAAATAAACTTGAAGAAGAACTTGTTAGAAGACACATTATTAGAGTCCAAATTTCAATTAACTAAAATATCTCTTAAAAATACCCTGTTATTTATGTTAAAATATTTGACTAAAACAACATTTTCTCTTCAAAATTACTTTCATTCATTTTAAAATATATAAAGCAGTACAATGCATGTTCCATGTTCATCAAATTAAAAAATAAAATTTTTATGCAAAAAAAAGGAAAAATATTGAATCCTGAAGATTTTCTTTTTGTCTTGCATTTAATGTAATGAAAATAATCCAAGGTTAACAAATTGCAAAAAATGAACCAAATGGACCAGAATACCCCTAAAAACTCGAACAAAATGCTTTTTTCGGAGGCCTTATATGTTATGCTTAGAAAAATGGAAATGAAATGCTTTTCTAAATTTTATATTTCATTTTTTTTTCATTTACCAATGTAAACTAATTTATAATATATTTATGGAGAGATTTTATACATCCTAATAATTTCAATCTACATTTTTACTTGTATAAAAAAAACATTTTGACAAAAGAAAAATTAAAAATTCATTTAAAATATTTCAAATGTTTCTTGTTTTATTTAATGCTGCAATATATTTATAACAGTCAAAGTACCACTATATTTAAAAAAAAAATTTTTTTTACTCATCATTTGCTATAAAATCCTTAGTACTAAAGTATAACTTTAATATTTTTTGGTATATACATATCAGTTAGGCCAATACTTACCTANTTTTTTTGACACCTATTCGACTTTTTTGGTTTGTATTCGAAAATGATATTTTGGAATCAGCTGCGTGCCCCCCCTGCTGCGCGCCCCACAGTTTGGAACACACTGATTTAGACGCTCCAAATTTAGAACAAATATTATTTAATCTTTTTTAAATAAACAATTTTAAAAAAAATGGTTTAAACTAAATAAGCTAGGTTTTTAACAACAAAAAAAACTTTTTTTTTTAAAATAAAACTTAATTTTTTTTTAACCCTGGTAATTGCTACAACAATATATTAGTAAAAAGTAAAGTATTCTTGCAACATTCCATTGAGTACCAGAAGTGTCATGGGGTTCAGACCACAATTTTGTAACCAACAGCATGATTATGGTGCTAAAATGTATTATGCATTGCTCACTGACCATCATTACTTTTCATACAAGCTGGTACCCATCAGTGATGGGTGGCTTCAAGCCAACAATGGGGAATGAACACTAATCCTTCACAAACAACATATGAGTAACAAGAGACATACATTTTATTTATACATAAAAATATTTAATTTAAAAAGAAAGTACCTGTATCCTTCTGCTTCATCTTGAAGATCATAAGGAGGAAAATCACAAGATAAAACTACACCCAACAATTGTATTCCAAAATGATTCTGTTTACTTTCTGGAGAAAAATCACTCATTTTCTCATAAATTACACTGGAAGTAAAATAAATTATTTTTATTTCAGGTATGGACTGGAACTATTACTTTTTAATCAAATATAGAAAACAGGCATAAATTTTTCTTGGAATATTAGCAATAAAAGTTTTACTTAAATAGAATTAAATTAAAATTACTGCATTAAACAAAACTATTAAACGAAATATCAAAGGGTATGGTAGCAAAACTGATCACAAGAAGCTTAGATAATATAGCAAATTCTAATAACTTTACAAAATAAATTAGTAAATGATTCCATAGTAAACTACATTTAAAAAATTCTATTTTCCAGCACCAATCTTACAATTTTTAAAAGTGTAGTTATTTTTCATTATCTTTAAAAGAAACAAAAACAAGCAACAGATAATAAAAAAAAAATAGTTATAATAAAAAATTTTAAAAAAAAAGAAAATAATAAAAAAGCCAAAAATCGTAGATCTGAGAAAGAATGTCATGCATGATAGTTTTCTCTAGCTGTAATTCAAGGTAAATAATTTTGAAACTATTAAAATAGCATTTAAATCACCTTTTTATTATTTTTCAATATATATATTTGCGGATATAATCGTGTGGGCTAATGAAAAGATTATATCTTTTATTTTAAAAATTTTATCCTCCCCCCCCCCAGTTGCTTGTTATTTTTTTGATTATTATTTTTCTTTTCCCCTCCTTTTTTCATATGCTTGTAATTTTCCTTTGTTTTATCTTCATTTTGAACTTATACATATATCTAAAATTGAAAAATCTTCAACAAAAAGTGTAAAAATGGACTGGTAATAGGGTAATCAAAATGTCATCTATTTTTCTGTTTTGAATTGTAATTTTTAAAAAAGTGTGAAACTACCATTCATTTCATTGTGGATTCTTTGATCTAATTAAGAAAAAAGAGAAAACTATGGTTGAATTTAATTTGCTGAATCAATGCTTTTCTGACCTAAGTTTCAAGAATTTTAGAAATATTCAATGAATATTAAAAAATTAAAGAATAATTGAATTTTAAGAGGATCAGATTGAGAATTTTTCTCTGAGTCTTATGTCACATGTATTTTTTTCTAAGTAAATGTTTAATCTAATTTCAAAAACTTTACTAGAATCCTTTTGTCATGGTGCACATTTTAAGATAATTTTCTTTTTTAAATTTGTTGATTTTTGACAAGGAAATTTAAAAATAGTTTTGTCACTCAATAGATTTTGAGAGCATATAAAAAAAACTTTATGCTATAATTTAAAATGAAATCCAACAAGAGAAATAAAACATCAATAAAAACTGATGTTATTAAGTTAATCTTAAACTAATGAACAATTCATAGAAAATGATTAAATATAGTACATTTTTATATGAATTCCGTAATGAGATCAGTTGTTGGGTATTTTCCAGCTGTCCTGAACAACAATTTTCGTTCGCTTAGACCAATTTAGACAAGCCATTTTTCAGTTTTTGAAGCAGTTTTTAGTGATAAATTCATAAATCAGTTGCATTTTTAAAGAAAGCCCATAAAACAAATTACACAATCATTGGTAATTTAAATGACATATAAAGGATACAAACTTTTCTATAACAGATTTTGAGAGAAAAGTTTAAGTACAAATTTGTAAAAAAAAAATTTCTGTTCTGGTTCAAGTTTTAAAAAAATTCACCAAAATGATTGAAAAATGTTGAATTTAAAAGGAAAAAAGTTAGATAGCAGTAGCAAACACATTTTTAATGACATATATATACAAAAAAAATTAGTAAACATCAATAATTTGGTAAGTTCGAAATGGTATATGATGTCAGAAGCAAGAATAACAAATTAGAAAATTACTTGTATGGTATTTTTAAGGATTTCCAACATTCTAAAATTGTCTTAACCAATTCTAAGTTATTTCGAAATATATCTCTTCTAGAGTGTTCAATATTCATCATAACAAATTTTAACACTTCAGATGCCTTCAGCATATCATTACCCTTTAAAGAGAGAAAAGATAAAAAATATTATCTAAAATTAAAGATATACATTAAAAAATGAACAAATTAAATAATAAAACAAGTGTGAAAAAATTAGTTAACTTTTGTTTAGCATGTAGCAAATCATAAAATAAGAAATATGTTTAATGTTTATCAAGATAGGACAAAATTTTAATTTGAAATCAAAGACAAAGCACTTAGTTACAATCATGACAATTAAACACAAAGAGTTAAAAACATGGTTTTTGTAATAAAAATATAAGACTTTCAGCTGAATTAGTAAGTAAATATGCAAGTATGCTTAAACCTCCATAGAATTTAAATAAATATTTATTTTAATTTAAATGCATATTTCAGTTCAAACAAATAATTTCGTCAAACTAAAGCTATAAAAATTATTTAAAATTAAAAAAAAAAATTAGAATTTATTTTAATGTTATGTTAGATTTTTGTTATTAAATGCTTAAGTAAGTCTTGATAAAACAAAAAAAAATTTTGGAAATTAAGCAAAAGCAATTAAAATGTTTTATTTACCTGAGGAATGGCAACAGATGCCCATGACAGAGTGGTTATTATAACATCCAAAATAAAATAATTTAGACTAAATCCTGCTGTGCCTAAAACTATTAAATTTAATATAGGTCCCATCAAAAATTCAGCATAAGGTTGAAACAGCTGAAAAAGAAAGTATGAATCAGTAAATGGAAATAACCAATTTCATAGACTTTGTTAGCCTATTTAAATTTAAAATAAAAAGCATTACAAATTCCATTAATTTACATAATGAAATAAAGTGACAGCAAAAGTTTAACTAAAGAAACAAATGAATGTCTAGGAAACAAAAATTGAGGGAATGAATAAAATTTTACCCAGCATACTCTATTTTATTACTGAATTTTCTCATTATCATTAAAAGAATAAAAAAAAGTTAATGAGTAAATCCTTGAATAACTTAATCATGATTTTAAAAAAAAAAAAATTTTCAGCAAAATATTCAGAAATTAAATAATACATACATAAAAAATACTTTATAGCATTGGCTTCCTTCTGATTATAAATCATAATCCTCATAAGATAAATGCTTCAAAAAGTATAAATAATAGAGAGAGAAAAACAGTTGTAAAATTCATTTGAACTTAAAACAAGAGACATTGCTTACATTTATAGCAATAGACAATTTGTTGGAGTTATCAAAATCTAAATTGCATTATTCGATATTAATAATCCAATGCTGTATATATTAGCATAACAATGTTTTCCTAAATAAATATTTCAAACAATTATAAGTGACATAGTAAGAAAATAAATTTCTTTAGAAGCTGTATTTTATTGAAAGAGGAATAAGCATAAAATGGACAATTACCTCTGCATTATTTGTAATAAAACGTCCCAAGAACAATTTTACATTATCACTTGATTTCCTGTCTTCCAAGCTCTGAACAATTGCAGACAACCAAGCAGGAGGTGCACCAGCCTTAAATTAATCAAATAGTTTTTATTTTAGCCAAATGAATCTAGCCAAATATCAATATTATGAAGAATCCAGACTTTTAAGAACTTTAATTGTTTAGATTCTTAATTAATAAAATAAATGGAGTTTGACGAGGCGCGTTAATTTATATTATTAAATAGCCGAATATGATAGAAATACAGAGGTATGCAACAAGAAAGGGCAGTAAATACAAAGATGCAAAAAATACGCCCAAACTCATATTTGGGTATGTAAAAGCTAGCTTTGACATCTAAAAAACAACAAATAAGGCAATTTTCATAAATAGATAAATAAACAATACAAAAATGACATGAAAATATTACAAAAAGCTCATTTCAATTTACTAAAAATGAAATAAAATGTATAATTTCAATTTGTTTTTTTGAAAACTGAAGATGCTTTAATTTACAAAAAGACTTTAAATTGATTAATAGTATAAATTATTATTGATTAAAGCAATTACAAAATAAATAGACTGTATGTAAAACACGCATAAGTATTTTTTAATTATTTGTTTGATCAAGAATTATCTAATTTAGGACATTAAAGATTTTCAAAGCATTCATTCAATTTATTAATTAAAATAAAAAAGGAAATAAGTGCAAAACATTTATAAAGATTTAGATAACATCCCAACAAATAATGAAACTGTATGAGAATAACAAGGGATGAGAATGAGAACATGTCTTAATAAAATTAAAGAACAACATTATTTTCTTTTTGAAGTCAAAAGAAGAAAAAAACACATGTAATAAAAATTATTAAAAGTCCATTAACCTTTTCGTCTGATATAAAGCTCTTGTTTTTCATACTTCTAATGAGAGACAGCATACTCAGCATGCATTCATGTTGATTCAGCAAATCATCAAGTTCAAGGTAATCAGCAACATATGTATTCTAATGAAAGAAAAACATCAAACAAAAATTTTCAACTTAAATTTTTTTTNGCTGTCATCTGTTACTAAAATAGCTATAACTAAAGTTCTGCTTGACGTGCATTCAAAAACAAAACAGTTTTTAAAACTAGAAAAATTGGGCATTATTATAAAGCAATAAAATAAAAAACTGATTTTTTGTGAAAATCCTCTTTTTTAAGGTAGTCGGATACCTTAACAAATGTAACAAATGGAGATATGACAACAATAAATGCAAAATTTAGTTCTTAATAAAATTAGTAGTATCTCCGCTTTACACGGATATTCTGCATAAAGATTTTTAAAAAAATTTTAAATACTATAACACCTCACTAAAGAAACTAATAAATAGATAATCACTATGAATTCAATTGTAATAAGAATATTATTTAATCAACTGAATGACAACAAAAATAAAATACTCAAAACAGGATAACTGGATAAGATTGTTCTCCTAGCAATAAACGATATTTTTGCCTATTTCTATTTTTGTGTATCAATAAAAAAACAAAAGCAATTTTCAAAAATAAAAAAAATAGCATACAAAAAAAGATCTGGTCCTATATAATGAAGAAAAAACAAAAATGAAAATTACAGAGACAAAAACATTAAAAACTTATTACAAATTCATGCCTTTACAAAATAAAAGTGCTCAAAACAAGAGTAAAGGAATTTTTTTATTAATTTTTATTACAATATTAATAATGCTAAAATTAAAAGGAATGAAACCCATTCAAAAGTAAAATTAATTAAAAGTAAGCTTTATCGTCTTCAAACCTCGTCGACAGGGTATATATGAACTGTAAATTACACTACAACAAAAAACTAGAATATAATATTAAAAAAATAGCAATTTATTTTACTCTCTATAATAAAATGACCAATATATTAGAGATATAAACATAATTGAGAGATATAAACATGAATTAAAGTGAAAACAAGATGGCAAAAACATAAGGGAAAAAATGGAAAGAGCTAATTATTTGACTATTTCCTATTATCTTTAAATGTTAAAAATAAAATAGAGTAAAATAAAAATAAAGGATTAAAAAAACGCTACATATCTGTTAATTTATTATAAAAAATAAAGCAAAATTTTTAGAATACATATCAGTGATCGATGCATATGGAAATTAGGGGCTGCTTTGCGCCTTCCTAACAACATTCAAACACTGAAAAACAACCCATACATAAAATTTTAATCTGTAAGAATGGTGCCTTCACAAAATTCAGATTCGTAAAAACGGCCTCTTCAAGAAATTTCCATTTGTAAAAATGATCGCGTGAATTTGTTCCACGACGGATTCTCGGAAAAACGACCGAAAACGAAATGATATTATGACAGCATCCTCAAGAATCGAGCGTGTCTAAGCTCAAATTCGAGTGTTAATAGAGCGTTAAAAATATCAAAGTTTGGATAACCTTGTGAGAAAGATAGAAAAAAATGGAGAATGCAAGGCGAAAAAATTATCATCCAACGTCGTGAAGTTACAATGAAATTATCAACGCATCAAAGCAGAGTAACACAAATTTGAACAATGTAATAACATATTAAAAACATCCAAATTTGAAAAACCATGTGAAAAAGGCAGAAAAAAGTGTCACCAAACATCATGACATTAAGATTGATTGAATTATAATGAATCGAATGCGTCAGAAAGTGATAAATTTCTGACGTAAATAATTCATCGTAAACATCGTAATAACATATTAAAAATAACTGAATTCGAAAAACCAAGTAAAAAATTATAAATAAATTCGGTAAAAACTATCATCAAACGAATTGATGGAATTGTCACAAATTGAATGGACCAGAAAGTGATAACTCATATTCAAACGTCGTAATAACATTATATTAAAAATATCAGAACTTGAAAACCCATACCACGCGAAGATGGGCAAAACAATGAAAATTTCGTAAAATATTATCACCAAACGAAGTGAAAATCCGATAGAATTGTCAGAAACCAAACAAGCCAAAAAGTTATTTCAAAATTTTAACGTCGTAATAACATAGCATTGAAAATAACAGAATTAGAAAACCCGTGTTAAAGGAACCAAAAAAATTATGAATAACGGCTGATAAACTACGGAATCGTCACAAATCGAACGCTTTGAAAAAAGTGATGGCTCAAATTCAAAATTATCATGTCACAATATCATATTAAATATATTGCAATTAAGTTTATAAACCGTAGGAAAACATCCGAAAAACACGTGGACTTTAAAAAAAAAATTTGAATAAAAAATAGTGATTGTTAAAACTAAATGTTCTCATGGAGAAGACGAATTTACTCAGAGCTGCATAAAATCTAAAGGGAGCCTGATGCTGTTAAGTACATAAAAATACAATCACTAAAATGGGCTGGACATTTAATCAGAATGTTTTTATCATAACCTATGGGAACAAGACGAAGAAGAAGTCCACATCTTAGGCGGATCAACAGTGCTGAAAAGGACATCAACACTAACACTTAGAAAATCGAAAACTGGAGGACAGTCACCAAACAGAGGGACAGTTGGAGGAAACTCCTAGAGAAGGCAAAGGCTGTTGCGTGGGTGAAGAAAAAGAAGCTTCTCATCTAAATACTTCGTGAAGTTAATAAACAAGTATCATTATTAAAAATTTTGAAACATCAATAAAAAACATCCAAAAATTTTATAAATTATAAAAATTGTAAATTTTAAGATATTTTTCAAAGTATTGAATTTCTTACCTTTGAAGACATATTATCTGCACTTTTATTCAGCTCATTTATTCCTTCCGGTTTAAAAATCTACAATATATACAATATATAAATCTACAATATATAATTTCATAATACAGTAGGGAACCGATTCTCCGGAACGATCGGGACCATCACTATTCCGGATAACTGATTTTTCCGGTTTTCTGAATCGCTACAAAAAGTCGTTTTTTTATTGTTAAACCCAACTAAAAAAAATTTTCTTTTAGGAAATAATCTTGAAAAGAAGAAAAAACGATGAAGTAATACACTAATGATTATTTCCAAAATGATGGTAAGGTGAACATCTTTCAAAAAAGAAAGAAAAATCCTAAAATCTTATAAGGAAAAAAAAATTTTGTTTAAAAAATGGCGGGAAAATTTATCGAATTTCGTTCTGGTTTTCTGGTTTTCCGGTTTTCTGATTTCTGGATAACGGGTTCTGTACTGTACTCATTTTAAAAAAAGATAAGAACAAAATTGTATAGGGAAAAAGGAAACTGCATAAATAAAAAGTTTACCTGCTCATTTGTTGTAAAAACAAATTTACTAACATCTTCAGCTAAACTGCTAAGTTCCAAGTTTTCAGATCCAAAAATTTGTAAAGAGGACTGAAATCCAGATATGTCTCTTTCAGACTCATCATTATCAAACACTTTTCTGATTTGATGTCTTATTGCAAGAAATTTATTCTTTTTTGCAACAGAATCCTATAAAACAAAAAATATAATGCTGCATTAGTATAAAATTTGGATGGTAATTCCTAGCACTATTGTAGACATAATGAAGGACAAAAGGTGAAAATAAAAACAGATATTGCAAGACATAAACGAGCACAATATTTAAGGTGATTGAGTTTTGTTGTAAAAAACTATTTAAATAATTTTACAAATGATGAGGTTTGACATGATTGCAAAGCTTAGTAGAAGAACATTCAAAGAGCAATTTAAGTAAATTTGAGGCAATCAGATTTATAATGCATAAAAACTTAAAAAACTCATTCGCTTAAAATAACATTTTTTTTCCCATTGAAAATTGCTTTATTTGGAAGTATGATTAGATTTTCCATCTTTACATGGGAATATTTAGGGGAAATTTCGACAGAGTATATAGTTACAATCTTTAACAAACTCCTCTATACTGCTAGGCCTTATAAGGCTTACCAGTTGTATTATAAGCAATTTGTTTCCGTCCTAATATCTATTCTTTATGGTGCTTTTAGGAATATATGAGAGCTTCTTTTAAGCTAAAGATAAAAGGAAGTACTCATCCCCGTTATAAAAATTTACGTACACATGCTTCCAAATTAATCTACTAAAACTGACATTTTCGAATTAACAAAAAAATATATTAGTATTTAAAGGATAATAAAAAAAAAATCTCTAGAAACATTTTTGCAGATCCAAAAAATTTTACCATACACAGTTGGATAAAAGAAATATGCCCACAGATTGAACAAACCTGCAGAATATGTAAATTGAATTTTACATTAAAATAATAAAAAAGAAAATGTTTTCACAACACTTATTTAAGATACGATTGCCATATCCTTAGTTGAAAAGAGATTTGAAAAATTCCTTTGAAACATATTTATGGAATATTTGAATAGAATCATAATTAGCTCCCCTTTATGGTTGACTGCAAGATCAAAATCAAATTTTAAAAAAGCTAAAAGAAGCTGTATATTAGGCTTTGCAGACAAACAGAATCTAATCATAACATACATATATGGTTTATAGATATACATATATGGTTATAGATATACATATGGTTCATACATATATGGTAATAGTCACACTCAAAACAACTGCCCTGCCATCTAGTAAAATTAAGTAATGTAAACAACTTTCTAATTATATTTTGTCATATATTTTTAATATATATATACAGTGAAACCTCTTGGGAGTGACCACTCTATGCTTCGCAGTATAATGGTCATGAATGGAGGTTGGTTGTTCTTAGGGGTTCTATTCATTGACTTCAAAATGTAATCAAAGGTATATGATTTTTTGAAATCAATTATAATTTCACTCAGTGTCATTCTTTTGTCAATTGTGTTGGCGTCATTAAAACCGGATTGATGAATAAAATTCATGGTCAATAAAATTTACCTTTACTGATATAATTGTATGGTGAAAACAAATTTATCAATTATGAATGCTAGAAGTATTTTAAACAAATAAACAATTATGCTTTTTGCTTAAGTTTGCATTTAATTTCACATCATAAAAATTAGTTAGCTTTTAAAAATGAGAAAAGCTTTGTTTGTTTGAGATGCTTAATACTTTCTACCAAAACTTTTTTCTAATTTAACTTTCAACTTTAAAAATAAATCATTGATAGCATCATCTATAATGCACTCTGAATGCAAAATGAAGTTTTCAATCTCTTTCAGAGATCGTCAAAAAAAGCTCTCTAAATAAGAGACACTCACAAATATTTTGAATACATTTGAATCTACTTATTTGTTTTGTTAATACTTTTTGTTTTGATATTTTTTCACGTTTGCTTATTTGACTTTCTCTGCATTTGGGGCAGAGGTTTGGTCAAAGGCTGGGAGAGGTCTTGATGGTCGCTCCTAAATGTTTTCTTCAACACAAAGCCTATAAAAAAAATTCAAAACCTCCCAAAAGTGGTCGCAAATAGAGGAGGTCGCTACACAGAGGTGGTCTTTCCTGGAGGTTTCTTTGTATATGTATTTAAAGAAAAGTTTGTTTTTTTTAAAATGAAACACAAATTAAGTTATTACCTTGTAAGATGAGAAATCCAAAAAACATTAACAGGAAATAACTTACTAAATATTACCTTGGGAATAGCACAGCAGTTTCTTATATTTTATGCTTTTTTTTTAATTTTCATTATTATTGCATTTATATTGAATATATATCTATATATACATGTCTTTAAATACTACATACACAAAAAATAATTGAAATATTTTATTCAAATTACATTATAACTATTTAGGTTAACTTTTTAAAAAACTAAATAAAAACATCATTTAAGTTGTAAAGTTAGACCTGAGTATTATATTTATAAAGTGAATAAATCAATAGCAAATTAGCAAAAGCATAATATTATGACAATATATACAAAAACAATAGTAAATTCTAATAACTTACATCAATTTCCATTGAAAATGTTAATTTTATGTCTTCATCAACAATTCGCTTCCATATATATTCATTCTGAAAGTTGATTTATTCTTAATTAATAATAGTATTAATAGAAAAAAAAATTCTACAATGTAATAAAATTATTTTTTCTGGAAATTATTTTTAAAGATCTAAAATTACACAGTACTAAAATACACATTGGCAACTGTTTCAGGTAACTTTAAAGCTCGGTAAAAGAGTTAATTGTGCATATGTTTTACAATTCCATTAATATACATTTAAGAAACTTAATGTTAAATAGGCTGAAAAATTTAGAAAGTAAGAAGCACAGATCAAGCAAAATAAAGAATTTCTAAAGATATGTATGTTAAGAAAAATAGCACTTCATCAGGAGACAAGGGAGCCTTTCTGTTGTCAGTGGCAATACCAAAAACTGACTGTGCCCCCGAGGCAGCACTTTATTGGAATTTTTAATCTTCGAATGTTTTTGATCTATTTTTCAAGTTTTTCGAAAGGGGTCAGCACTATAAATATTTTTTTAAAAAATTTATTTCAGATTTGGCAATTTATATGTTATTTTATTTTCATTTGATTATTCTAACTGCAACTTTATCTTTATTTACTTTTCTTATATGAGGGTGTTTCATTATGAGTTTTTCTTCTGTGTACTTTTGACTTGTGTTTGTGTATCACTAAATTTTTATTTCAAAATTTGAGTTTGTAATTGCTTTTTTCTTATTTAGTTTATTCATTATGGCACCACAGGGCACAGTCAGTTTTTGGCAGACAATGTGTTCCCTGATGAAGTGCAGTTTTTGCTATCATACATATCTTTAGAAATTATTATTTTTTTTTTTTGCTTGATTTGTGTTACTAGCTTTCTAAATTGTTCAATGAAAATAGCACCTTTAAGGGCTTTTAAAAAACGAAAATAAGCACCTTTAAGCGGTTTTTAGAAACGCCACACACCATGTACGATGCAAGTTTTACTCATAAGAATCAGTTTAAAAAATATAAAACTTATGTAAAAGTATACAAAACTAGATAAAGTTTTTTTGTTCCGCAATGATTATTTTGAACTTTCTTAATTATCTGTTAATTTCATTTTATGCATATTTAAAAAAATAAAAATATATAATATTTACTTTAGCAGGATTTTCTTTGAAAAGAAATGCATTGTAAAACTTAAGTTCATTCTGGGTACATGATACTACAGCAATCAGTGCACAATATTTTGCACAATTCAATTTTCGAAGTAAAACTTTATATTCTGGCTCGGTCTCATAGCTAAATTTTTTGAATTCCAAGGTAAGCCTGAAAGAATATAATGATAAAATCAATATTTTCCAAACATATTTAAATTAAAATAAAATTATTCAACTAATGGTATAATATGTTATGGAAATCAGTTATCAACACTCAAACATTTTATATCCTGTGTTAAATAAGTTTGTATTTTAAGATAAAAAACATTAAATTCTTGGATACCCTTGCATCCTAGGATAAAGATTATTATTAATATTTCTAAAAATAATAATGCTGTTTCTTGCTTGTTTTATAAGTATGTTCACAATAAATATGTATTTAGTTTTGATACTTAATTTTAATTTAAAAAATAAGTGTTAAAATAAAATGAGATACTATTAAGAAAATAGTTAAGTATTATTTACCTAATTAAGGACATGATTTTCAACTTTTGCTACTGAAGTAATTAAAGAGAAATTATAGAAATGAAAACCTATATCTTTTTTTTAAACAGTAGTTATTTACAAGCACTAGTTATATAAATGAACAGTGTTAATTTATTAACATAACAGATTTGCAAATGATTGTTAAAGAATACATTTAAATATTTAATAAAGACAAACTATCAATAAAAAAATTTAATTCAGAGTATTATTTTATGAAGCTTTGATTAGGTATATTAATTGATTATTATAATTTAAATAATGTTTTTCGTAAAGAATTTGAGACAAATTGTTATCTTATTAATTTTTCTTTACTTTTCTGTGACTGTTTTACTAAGCCTCTTCCGATAGAAATATTATACTTGGCTACTTTCTTAAAAACTATTTTTACAGCATGATTAATTTGACTGCTTTTTAAGAAATGCAAGGCATCAAACTGGCACTCTCTTGAACTTAATGGGTAACAATGAACAATTATTAAACAATAATTAAAACAAAAATCAAATCCATTATTTTTTAATAAACACTAACAATTTACCATCTCTCTAAAATTCCTTTAACAAGCTTGAATATATATATTTTTTAATTAACCTATCACAAAAATAATTATACATACTTAGTTATATCAGTGCTTAGTTCATTTCCAACTTCAGGTTTCCGACCCAAATACGTCTCAACAATTTGAGATTCTTTACTGTGAAGAAGATCCTTGTTTAAGGTACTGTACATCAATTCCAGAAGCTTAAAACAACAAATTCTTTTAACCAAGTGAATGTCTTTTACACCAGATGCCTATAAATAAATAAAAAAGTATCCAAGTATAAAAAAAAATACATTATTTCAAAAAAGTTATTATACATAATACTCAATTTTGCTTTTATAAAACTTACCAGTGATAAATTTTCTTTTACTGTTTTCATAATTTCTTTAATGTGAGATAAAAAGAAATTGATGAAAGAAGTTAAAGATATATTTTGCATCACAAGTATTAGAACTTTATTCACAATCTTCAGCAAAACATCTGATTTTGAGTCAAATCCACTCTTCATGATAAGAGAGAAAACAATATCTGCATAAAGTTGATGATGGCTTGAAGATTTGCTAAAAATAATGATAGAAAACAGTTAAAAACAATAAGATAAAAGCAAATATCTTTTTTAGAATATTCTCAATAGAAGAATCACAAATATTGATGTTTTGAGAAACAAACTGTATTAATTTAAGTTTTTTAAGTACACAATTAAGAAAAGAAATAAAATTCAGTTTCATTTACATCAGTTTTATTCAGTTGTCTGTTTTATCATATTAACAATAAATTGTGGTAAGAATAAATTGTCTTTTAAGTTGCTTCAAAATTACAAAGAAACAAGTGCCAAAAGTAAGCATCTATGTTCTGTTCTTAAAAAAAGCATTTAAATTATCTACTGTGTAAAAAGGAAAAGAAAGAAAAAAGGAGGGGCAGTGCTACTTTTGTCACAAAAGAAGAAAGTTTTGCGAGCAGAAAGATTTTTTTGGAGTAGAAAGGTTTTTCTTCTTAGAGTAGTTTTCAAACATTTATATAAAAAAAAGTTTACTCAAATTGTGCTAAATAACAGTGAATTAATATAACTAGTAATGTTTACATAGAGGGACTAAGTTAAAACTTTCAAAAGGGGTTAGCTCAAATAACTAATGAACATATTTCCATCTCATAACACTTTTTAAGATAGTATTTTTCTTTTCTTTTCAAAAATAGCGTTATTCCAAATTAGTCTCCTTTTGGAAAAACACTGGACATAGTTTTGTCTGCTAGCTATAAAAAACAACTGTTCTGTTTCTTATCTTATAAAGGTATGATGAATTTTTAAAAAAAAAAGATTTTATCCTTTGATCTTCAGTTTTAACTGCCATTTTGAAAAACTGCTAGCTGACATTAAAGCCACGAGATATGTAACAAATTTGTTCCACTATATCAATATCTTATATGATAAATGCTTTGTTACTTTAAAAATTATAGTGAAAGAAACAACAAAGTTTGCACATTTTTTTAATTTGCAATAAGATAAAAAAAAATTTTTTCCTCATTATAAAGAAAACTCTTACTTTGAGAGATAATTTACTTACAACTTCATAACTTAAAAGAAATTGATTTCTACTATTCTGTTATNAGATTTATATATATATATATATATATTGTATATAAAATTATTAAAAGTTATTTCTAAGGTTTTATTATTATTTGCGAAAGTATTTAAGATTTTTTTAAAGCCACAAAGAGGCTAAAACTACTGTATCCTTTTCTTTGGCAACTATCTTGCTTTCATAGGCAAACTCGAGAATTTCAAGTTCATTACTGATTCCTTATGAGTAAAAGTAATTGAATTATTATCTCTACATTTTAGAATTTTAATGTTATTATAATATTATTTTAATGTTGGGTTATTTTTTCAAAATTTATTGAAATCAGTTTCAATCAAGTTCAATTCAGAAATCAGTTCAAAGTTCTGAAAACAATTTACAATTTTTATTTTATTTTTATCCTAGTTATGTTGTGATTTCGACTTTATCTTTAGTTGAACTATTAAAGGGTCACATATATCTTCTAAGGCAGAACTTGTACATTATCAAGAAAATATGATTATTTTACAGTGATACCTTTTTAACATATCTGTAATGCACTGGAGAAAATTTACTTCCAAGACATGTTCACTTTCTTTACAGAAGAAGGAGGTTAAAATTTCAAAAAGAAAGCCACATCCAGTCAGAGACAAAGCAGATAGCATCTTAAAACGAAACATATAACATTTATATATTATGTACTAAGTATAATGAACAAAATAGCTCCAAGAACCGAAAGTTATTAATTACATTTTTCAATGCAGATATGTAAGTATGGTAAGCAGAACTCCCTGGAACAAATTCAGTACTTTGCAAAGGAAAGTGATTGACCATCATTTCTTCTAAGTGAGACCTAAAATTGCAAAATAACACAATCAATAACAAAATGGGTTTTTTTTCTTTTTAATTAGTTTAAAGAAGAAAAAATTTACAATAAATTCAATCATTAACACAAATAAGTTTAACTATTTAAATATTTTACTTTTTTTTACTCTGATGTTGTTTTAATAGTTTTAAAATGATATTCCTCATTTTAATGCTGTACAAACAGTCCTTTCTTTTCTTTCTCAATATAATTTTCACTCTTTTAGATAAAAATTCTTGATAGCTAAGCATATTTTTTTATCACAATTTTCTAAACATATTAAATACAACTAACTACTAATTTTAAACAACAATGTTCTTAATTATGAAAATAATTATTTACCAAACACCAAGTTATTCCGAATTATTTTATTTTTTTTACAGAAATATTTTTTTTCTTTTAACGAGTTTTATATTATTCAAAAAAGAACGCATTTTACGTTATTTAATTCCACATAATTAACTTAATGTGAACTATGCAATATAAAGGAACTTATCAAAACATCATGTTTGCTAATACAGTCGAACTCGCTTATAACGAGCACAAAGAGACCGTAACATTATACTTGTTAAATCCGAGTGCTCGTAATAAACGGGTCCATAAGGCAGGCGTGCAACCAGAAAAGGGGGGGGGGCTTGAGAGGTCAAATGATTGACTTTACTTAAAATTTAATTAATACTTACTTACTTTAATTACATTAATTAATTTAATTAAATACTTTTCTTAATTTAATGGCAACTGCCCCCCCACCAGCAAAAAATTTCTAGTTAAGCTACAATCTTAAAGGGCAATTAAGCTTCACTTCGCAGGTTTTTTTTAATTCGCGCTCATTTCTTATCATTTTGAAAAAAAGATGAGAAAAAAGATAGCGAGACAGAAAAATATTGCTCGCTAAAACTGGATCTTGTTCGTTAAAAGCGACTTCTGTTCCATAGATTTAACAATGATCCAACCAAATATTCTCGTTTCCCTCGGTAAATCCAAGTTCTCGTTAAATCCAAGCTCGTTATAAACGAGTTCGACTGTATGAATGTTAACAATGTTAGCATGCATAAGACTTAAGTACAAATAATGTTATCATCCTTATAAGCAAAGATAAAATATCTTTAGATTGATCAATCCCTCCTGGTCTGAATTAATATAAAAAAAATTATTAATTACCTTGATTAAAAAATTCAAAATAGGATGCTTTTCAAACTAACGTGTATAACGAACCAAGGCTCGAAAAAACTCAGAAGGGGACGGCTTGTCCAACAATATACCCGTCCCCCTTTGAAACTAACCCGTAGTTTCTAAATAAATAAAAATATAATTTTCTCTTATTTAATACAAACATTTATATAAACTGCACAATGAATTAGTAGTTACTAGAATTACATTATTCAGTAATAAAAGAAATACTAGGTTACTAATAGTAAAACCTAGTTTTCTTTTATAAAATAATTTAAATGACAAAGGTCAAGACGGGAAAATGGTCGTCCACGCGGACGTCGGATTCGAGAAATTCGTTGTCCGAGAATTTTTGACCGCCGAGCACAGGTGGTTTTTCGAGCCCTGCGACAAACTATCACCAAGAACTCAAAAATTTAATAATGGTTGCAGGAGAAATAAATAAATAAAATGCAAGATGCAATAAAATAATTCTGTAAATTATTTGCCCTCTTTAAGTTAAAGTAAATAAAACCAAAAATCAGTTTCAGTAGTTTAAATAATGTTATCTTGTACACCTTTTATTCTTAAAAATTTCTTATCACAAGTTAGAATATTTGATTAAAGAATTAATGAAAAATATGATTTCGATGAACACAATATACAAGGGGGAATTGGAGGGAGTACACGGAGGAAATGTATAACCTCCCAGTTTTTAATTGAAAATCAACGAAAAGTGTCACACTACTTTTTCTAAATTTCCTAATTTTTTATAAATATTAAAACATTTTTATTTTTGAAAAATTCGATTATTACTGTAATTATTTAAATACAGTATTTTGCTTTGTTCTTTTACTGTTAATTAAAAAGTAAGAGATCTGTATGTAGCATAGTTCTTGCTTCAAGCATATTTGACGTAATATACCGAAACTTCCTGCCACAGACTTTCCTAAATAAAAAAACTTACTTTAAAGTGATTGAAACGTATAGAATTTTAAACAAAATGTAGTTAAAGAAAAGTTTTCATAACACATCAAAATGTCATTTTAAAACAGTAAGCTATACCAAACTAATTATAATTATTCAAAAGAACTTTTTAAATCATTCTCTAATAAGTTTTTCAGTGCAATTTTGACATTAGCAGACAAAACTACCAAACAACTTACCTTAAGTTTGTACTATTCTCAGAACTAGTGGAGCTTTCACAAAAAAAAGGTAAAATATCCAAGGCATGAACCTAGCAAAAAACATTTGTCAGCATGGATATGGTAATAGGTGAAAAATATTAATAAAAAAAATATTGTATTTAAGATATTGCAAAATAAGACATGTCAATGTTAATTATTTATTCGCATACTATCTTGAAATATTATTTAGAAAGTGTGTAATCATGTATAAGGTCATATTGTAATAATCCATCACAAGATAGTGAGTAAATTTTTCATTACAAATGAAATAATGACAAGAAAACTGAAAATAAATTTTGAATTAAATAAATGAGTGTAAAATAAAAATAAAATTTACAATCATCAAAAAAATATATATAAATAAATATTTTTAAAGCCCAACATATAGTGAAACAATGAATCATTTACAATGGTCCACATAATAGCTGTAATCTTCATTTATCTGATAACTTGCCTATATCGGATAACTTTGCATACGTAATTTTTCCTCCTTTTTCAATTCAGAGAATTCAATCATCCCCAACTACTTTTGATATCTTTGCTAATAGATTGGATCTTGACGATAAACTTATTCTAGCTTTTGATTCTACTAGATATTGTTTTAGGGTCTATACATAGAATATGTTAAAGAATGTTCTAACCTAGACTTCAGATCAGATTTTGAAAGGCAGAGATAATCTCAAAGGGAGTTAGGGCAGCATATAAAGAGCTACCTATGCTGCCAAACTTAGTAAACTGAGAATTTTTTTTATAGTCAAATATTTACAAAACTAACTTTGAGTGAATATTCAGCTCTTGGACTAACTTCATTTTAATAATTGCTTGTAATGTTGAATAAGGTAACTTAACAAATTATTTTTTCTATAATAGTTCAAAATTTGTAATTAAGGCAGGGAAGAAAATGAAAAGTTAATTTTTTAAAATTTTTTATTAGTTTCTTTTTGCTTTGGTAGTCTTCTTGGACAACCGCAATTTCTTCTAATAATTTAAAAAAGTTATTGAGTTCTTGTTGCATGATTTAAAAAAAATTTACGCAAAATTTATAAAGCCCTAGTAATGTTATATAGCATTCATTAGCTATCCTTGCTTTTACTTCACCATAGTTCACAATATTTATACTCTTGGTTTAAGTTGGGCATGCTTTCAATTGTTATGAAGAGTATTTAAATGGTAAGATCTCAGAATCTGAGAGACTAAAAAAAATATTGTTTCATTACATTTTAGCTTTTCATAATCTCTACTAACAGCAAAAATAATTCTTTGTGAATATTTGCTAGGTGCTTACCTTTTTCAATAAAAAAAATAGTAGGTTTGAGTACCCTTTCAATATGGTGAGATTTAAAACATATGGTAAAATATTAAATGGTGAGATATTGAATAGTCATTGAAAATGTATGCTCAATTAGAAAGAAATTATGTTCAACAATTGGGATAAAACATCATCACGTTAAAAGCTAATGTTACCAAAAGTAAACCTTTCTGTCTACGCACAATGTATCTTATTTAAACTATCATTATAAGTGGATGCAGTATTGACAAGATTTACACAATTATGAAGAATAAAAACACTGGTGCTTTATATGAACAACAGAACAAGCTATAAACACAAAAATCTAATGAAACAGTACCATGAAACCATAATAAGCTATAATAAAATAACACATAAAACTTACAATAAAATCCATGGTGTTATTTTCTTTTGACAACATAGTCAAATATGTTGGCAGAATGGACATAGAAAATTGATTGGACTCATTTAGAGCCACCTAAAATATAAAGAAATAATAAACTAAATAACTTATTTAAAAATATTTTTCATTTTTTTATTTATCCAGATATTAAATTAAAATTCTTTAAACAAATTTAAAATGCAGCAATTTTTCACTAACATTAAAAAAAAATAAGAAAAAATATTACTGAAGTCAACAAAATATTTTAACAACAGAACCAATTTGTAACTATAAAAGGATTAAAGACTCAATTCTCAATCAAACACATTTACTAGATAATAAAGAAAAGAAAATTTGAACGTAATTTAAATCCAAATTAAATTTAAAATTCTAATAAATTATTTAAATGTATTTATTGTGATCAGATAGATAAATATAGGAGAGGAATGATAATTAAAACCGAATAAAGCATACATAGAAAATTAGTTATTTCAATACCTAAAAATTTATGAAAAATTGGGGCTAATTTAAATAATCTAATTAAAAGATAATAACTGAATTTCTGATACCCCTTCTGTACAGCAAATAAATATTAGTTTTCTCTACTAATTATAATTTTAAAAACTCATTTTTCAGTAATATTTGAAACTTATAAAGTATGAAATATTTTAATAAAGGATAGTTTAAAGAGTTAAAAAAATAAAGCTATTAAAAATTGTGATGTTCAATGAAAAATAGGCACAAAAATGGGTTGAAATAGCTTTTCAAATTTAAAGAAAGAAAGACAGTTTATATGATTATGTTAAATAAAATAACAAAACAAATTTTAAAAAAATATATTTATATACATATTTTTAAAAAAATAGTTTATAGAGCAGTAAAAAAGTTTCTGCAGTTAAATAGTTTTTGACATGCTGATTTAAGAGATAGTAAAAGTTACTCAAAATATTGCACTCAGTGTAATAATCAAAGTATTCCTCATTTCAACCAAACGAAGAGCAAGAAAAAAGGAACATTGATTTGAAAACTTGGTTTAAAAAGTTTTGGAGAGAATCAGCTCTTAAAAAACTGGGATTATTGCGGAATTTAAGAAAAAAATTAACACACATACATTATAATACACAAATAAATGATTTTTATAAGAGCGATTCCAATAACAAGAAGTATATTTCTTGTACTGTCACTTCTAAAAATTAGAGGCAAAATATTTAATGTGGTAAAAAAAATTAAACACTTATTTTGACAGAATAAACAACATTTAATTTATAAATTAATTTTAATTATAAACTAATATTAAATAATTTATAAACAAATAATATTTTTAGACAAATATCATAAACAAATTATTTCCGAACTGTTGTTTTGCTCAATAAAAATTAGTGTGCAACTTTTTTTCATTACCTATAAATAAGAATTTATTTTTTTTAGATACAATGCTAATGATTTTAAATTTTATTGTTTCTTTATACAAAAATAAATTCAAGCATTATTTTAAGAAATATACAATATAATATTAGACACATTTTTTTAGAAAAAGTAAAAGTTACTTTCTTTAAATTACTATTTGAAATTTGTCAAGTATCTTATCTTTTTGTAAAGTATCATTATGGCTTTTTCTACTTTTCATTTACAAAAAGAAATCATTAAATTTCCATAACTTGCTTATGGACTCATTTATGTAATTATTTATTCATATAATGACGGTTTATTTTTAAAAAAATTAGTATGCTAAGAAAAGAGGTTTTTCAATCATAAGCAGTAAAATTACATATACTTTTCTTTCTTTCTTTGTATACTTTACTTCAGAACTTCCGCTAATGCTCATTCTGAATTATGAGGTCACAACATACCACTTTTTCTGACATTGATCTGGAATTTTAAATGGGGTAATTTCTTTCGTTGTTGTGGATTTTGCATTTTGAAGTTGTCCCTGCGAGGGGTTAGAGTGTGCGGCAAGTTTGGTCTCATTAGATGCCTCTTTTAAAAAAATAACCTAATGCATATCTTTTGAGATACAGTAAAACTTCCTGAAAAGACCACATCTGTGTAGTAACCTCTTTTATTTATGACCGTTTTTAGGAGAAACAGAATTTTTCCATAGACTTTGTGTTGAAGAAAACCTTTAGGAGAGAATATCAAAGCCTCTCCCAGCAATCAGGCAAATAAGGAAATCCGAAAAAATAATAAAATAAAAAATATTAACAAAACAAATTAGATTCAAATGTATTTAAAATATTAATGAGTAGCTCTTATTTAGAGAGTTCCTTTTGACAATTGCTGAAAAAGATTGGCAATCTCATGTTACAGTCAGAGTATACTAAAGACGATGCTATCAGTGATTTAGTTTTAGAGTTAGAAGTTAAATTGAAAACAAAAGTTAATTTATAATAAAAAACTATGCATCTCAAAAAGACAAACTCTCATTTTTTTAGTAAACTAAATTTTATGACATAAAATTAAATGTTAAATTAAACAATTTAACATTTATTATTAAACAATTAATTAAACAATTAAAATAAACAAAAAGCATAATTGTTTATTTATTTAAAATAATTATATCATTCATAATTGGTAAATATATTTTTATACATATTTATATCAGAAGGGGTTATTTTTACTGACGCTTAATTTTTTTCATCTATCTGTTTTTCACGAAGCCAAAACAAGTGGCATTTTTGCATTAAGAAAAATGACAACAAATAAAATCGCTTGCGAAATATCATGTACCTTTGATAATATTTTGAAGTCAGTAGAAGTAACCCCTAAGGACGACCAACCTCCATTAACGACCATTTTACTGTGGAACACAGAGTGGTCGCTCTAAAGAGGTTTAAATGTATTTTTTTTAATACTTTTCACACATCATGTAGGACCTAATTATAAAAAGACATGAAAAAATATTTCTTAACCTTTGAATCAATCAAAAGCATTTTAGTCATCAAAGAAAGAACCGAATAGATACTATCAATATCTGGATGATCTCTCCACCAAACACAGACTGAATTCCAATTATTTAAGAATGCATCAATGACTTGCTTTCCATGTCTAAAATATTAAACAAATTTAATTGAAAACAATTGCAATTGAAAATTAAAAATTCACAGTACATTTACCTGAAAATTAAAAATGTTACATTTTATTTTGGGGAATATATTGAACAAAACATTTGCATGAGTTTTCTTATTTGCAACATGCTTGCAGTCTTAAACTTTAAATGTGGGGTATCTAATTAAGACGTACTTCTCAGCTTCTTCTTAAGCCCTACAATTTCCACCAGCTTGACTTATCAAACTACTCATCATTCATTGACTTAACAATATATGTCCATTAATAATATATTCATTAACAATATATCATTCATTAATAATTTATGCTCTTCAGTTATCACCGTTTTTATTTTGTAGTAAGCATTTTCTAAAACTAATAAATTATCTAAACCTTCTTAGCATAAATCTGTATTAACTATAAAACTTTGAACATAAATGACTTGAAGTAATATTTAAGTATATACTCAACAATTTAAATACAGAATTACATAAAAACAAACATATATTCAAAAATCATAACACCTAATAATAATAATTGATATAACTTATGATATATTGGGCGAGACATAAAAGTTTCCATCGTGGTATGTGTGCCCATCCAAAATTAACAATCTTATAAAATAACTTTCATTATAATTTTTTTAAATTTTTGTAGATTCTCAAAAGAGAAAAACTTCATCTTAAGCACTTTATTTTACAATATATTTTGTGCAAACATATTAGTATCAAAAGGATATATGCTGAGTAATTTTTAGAAAATATGCATATGCATGTTTTAGCTGGAAAAAAAAAACATTGATTAAAGGTGATGCTATATTATTAACAGATTTGTCATTTTGAGCTAAAAACATTTTGAAATACATCCCTGTACTTTAAGTACACGAGTAAAAGTTTTTGAGCAAGATTATTTATAGTCAAATATAAAAAATTATCTAAATATGATCAATGTTTAAGGTTTTATAAAGTTCTTCAAAAATAAGGACTATAAATGTAGTATGTGTGGCAATTCAAAATTAACAGTTTTATAAAATTTCCTTCATTATAATTTCTTAATTCTTGTGAATTCTCAAAAGAGAAAACTTTGTTTTAAACAATTAAGGTAAAAAATAATTAAAATTGAAATTCTTACTTTTTTCTTAAAATCTTAGAGCAGGCTACACAATCAATAAACTTCAACAGGATTGAAATTTCATTAAATGATTGATGGTTCAAATTACTTGCAATGGTTTTCACAAAATTCTCTGCAGATTTGGCAGCAAACAAAGAAATGCTATTGGTAAATAAGTTGAAAACAAGTAAGCCCTTGGTAACAACTAATTTAGAATGTTCTTCTTTAGTTGTCTCCAGCAGTGCTTTAGCAAGGTTTTGCACCTGAAAAATAGTTTTGATATTTATTTAAGAATTGAAATTTGAAAACTAAAAATACAATAAAATAACTAATAAACAAAAAAGATATTTATGATTTAGGCACAAATATATTAAAATAAAACACTAAGCAAAACTTCTTGCAAATTTCAAGAAGCTTAAATTTTCCAAGTATTTTCATGTCTGGATTCAATAAATGAAACTAATAATTAACAGTTTTTAAGAAACATTAACGCTCAGCTAGAGTTATTTATTGAAGAAAATAATAAACTAAACTTAACAGCTCAAAATTTTTACGTAATTTTAAAGTTCATTAATAGAAAACAAGTCTGTTATAATTATAATTCCAGAAAAAAGAAACTGTACCCAATAAAGAAAAGAGAATGAATTAAAATCTTAAAGGAAACCTAAAAGATTTATTTTGTTATTTTCAGATGTGATATTCTTATTTTTAATACTGCAAAATTACTTCTTTTATAGTTTTGTAACAGTTCAGTAATTCTGAAGGTATTACACAGAATATCAGAAAGCTCATTACAATTAAGCTAACATAGGGAAATAAAAATGGAAGAATTAAATGTGCAAATATTAAAATAAAATTAATGTTTGCAAAAATATATCATTCAGTAAATAACACACAAGCGCATGAAAGAAACAGAAATATCTAGTCCTTAAAATATTTTTATAAAATTATTCCCACAAGAAACGAATTTTAATTTACTTTATTTTAAATGTCGAGGGGAGAATGAATAAAGAATATTTTTTAAATAGTTGAGTTAATATTTTAAAGAAAATTAAGTTTTTCTTTCATACAAAAATATAAATCAGTTTTGTTTTTAGAGTCAAAGTTATTCTATAAGTTTAATTGCTGTACAAGTTTAATTAAAAGATGCTGGCGTCATAAAAAATGCCATGAGGCTATTCGAAAGTTAATCACATTAAAATTTTCTTTGTGTTACATATCTTCTTCACTCTCTTAGCCATTCATTTACGAAACTTTTTTCTCATAATTCATTTTTGATTAAAAAAAGATGATTTGTACCTTTCTTATTAAAACTGCATAAATTGTGTGTACAGGTAGATTTTTAACCATTAAATCACAAAGAAAATATTTCCTGAGATTTCAANTGTTCTTCTTTAGTTGTCTCCAGCAGTGCTTTAGCAAGGTTTTGCACCTGAAAAATAGTTTTGATATTTATTTAAGAATTGAAATTTGAAAACTAAAAATATAATAAAATAACTAATAAACAAAAAAGATATTTATGATTTAGGCACAAATATATTAAAATAAAACACTAAGCAAAACTTCTTGCAAATTTCAAGAAGCTTAAATTTTCCAAGTATTTTCATGTCTGGATTCAATAAATGAAACTAATAATTAACAGTTTTTAAGAAACATTAACGCTCAGCTAGAGTTATTTATTGAAGAAAATAATAAACTAAACTTAACAGCTCAAAATTTTTACGTAATTTTAAAGTTCATTAATAGAAAACAAGTCTGTTATAATTATAATTCCAGAAAAAAGAAACTGTACCCAATAAAGAAAAGAGAATGAATTAAAATCTTAAAGGAAACCTAAAAGATTTATTTTGTTATTTTCAGATGTGATATTCCTATTTTTAACACTGTAAAATTACTTCTTTTATAGTTTTGTATAGATTCAGTAATTCTGAAGGTATTACACAGAATATCAGGAAGCTCATTACAATTAAACTAACATAGGGAAATAAAAATGGGAGAATTTAATGACACAGGACATACAGGAAAACTGAAAAGATTGAAAAACAGCTTAAATTAAATAATTCTTTCAGTCAAAAATATAAGCTACTTTTATTGTTTTCAATATGGAATAAAACTTTGAATATTATGCAAAGCATCAATATAAATAACTATAACCACAGCCATTTTAACACCGTGCAAATATTAAAATAAAATTAATGTTTGCGAAAATATATCATTCAGTAAATAACACACAAGAGCATGAAAGAAACAGAAATATATAGTCCCTAAAATATTTTTATACAATTTTATTCCCACAAGAAATGAATTTTAATTTATTTTATTTTAAATGTAGAGGGAAGAACGAATAAAGAAGAATATTTTTTAAATAGTTGAGTTAATATTTTAAAGAAAATTAAGTTGTTCTTTCATACAAAAATATAAATCAGTTTTGTTTTTAGAGTCAAAGTTATTGTATAAGTTTAATTGCTATATAAATTTAATTAAAAGATGCTGGCATCATTAAAAATGTCATGAGGCTGTTTGAAAGTTAATCACATTAAAATTTTCTTTGTGTTACATATCTTCTTCACTCTCTTAGTCATTCATTTACGAAACTTTTTTCTCGTAATTCATTTATTTTTAATTTTGGAAGACAATCTGATTTTTGATCAAAAAAAGATGGCTTGTACCTTTCTTATTAAAACTGCATAAACTGTGTGTATAGGTTGATTTTTAACCATTAAATCCCAAAGAAAATATTTCCTGAGATTTCAAAATCAATAAAAAAAAAGGAACAAAGTTATGTGAAATTAATATAAGATTAGAAACTATTTCATTAAAAAATACTCACAAAAATAAATTTTTCCTTTATCAAAATACGTTTTATTTTAATATAATTTACACCAAATTCAGTTGCATTGCCCTTGTTTAATTTGTTTTAAAAAAAATTAAAATACACTTCTTTAAATGCTTTACTAATAGCACTTAACTAATCCCTTTTGACTAAATATATATGACTTTGTGTGTAATATTGAACAACTTAATTACAAGTATAAAAAAAACACTAAATAAAAAAATTTTGAAAAAATATATTTTTTTAAGTATTTGCTTAAAAACTATGGTTATTGAAATGGTTATTTTAAAAAAAATATCTTAGTGTAAACAAATTTACTAAAAACGTTAATGAGGAAATTATATTACCTGTAAATCCATTTTATATGCCACTTTTAAAATTTTCTCAGCTAAATTCAAACTTGCAGGATTCAATGCTATATTTTTATTGATTGAAATACAGCAAATACTGGAATCAGTCCATATTGAATCTAACAAATTATTCAAACTTTTGTCAGGGTTATTAAAAAGGTCATTAGCATGAAATCCATTTTTCAACAGTAAATCATAACCATTTAGGAGTTCTGTCATTTGCAAGGAGTTGCACCTTGGATCCGATAATTTTAAAGGCAACAGTTTTTCTAAGTTGCACCCATTTTTAGATTTCAAATATTCCAAACAAAAGGCATGGAACTCTGACTTTTTGGAAAGTTTTGAAACCACAATTGATACCTGAAAGAGTTATGAATAATTTCAAATAACGAGAGCAAATTTAATTAGTTAAATATAAAATATTTTAAAACTATTATATAATGTAAAGGAAATGTTGCAAAATACAATTTCATAATGTAAAATGTATATTTAACTCTTTATAGAGCCATTTTTCTAGTAATATTATGTAAAAAAATTATTTTTATAATTTGATTCATAAAAAGAAATTCATTTAGCTTATTATCAAAAACTATTTTTGATAATTGACTAAGGTTGGATTTAAAATATTTTTCCTATGATAAGAAATTGGCCATAAACATGAATTTGTGTGATTATAAATAACTAAACTTATAAATTCTGAACTATAACTTCAAATAAACTTGATGAGAAATGATTAAATAAACAATCTCATAAGGCAGAAGAAATATCTTCCCAATGTTTACTACTCTTCTTAACCCAAACGCTGAACTTAACTGTTACCCACATTTAAGTTTTTTCTAATGCTCACCCTGATATGGACTTTTATCCTTCAGGTAGCAGATCAGCAGATTTGTTGACCACTCTCTCAGAACTTGTGGTCACCTTCCTGACCACCATACACCCAATCAGCACCCACAAATAAATAAACAAAGCCCTTTTTTGTATTTTTTTTTCTTTTCTTATAATTGCTTTCCATAGACATTTAATAGTAATGAAGCTGGTGGAAAGTATACTTCCTATGGCCTCATAAAGGGTTAAACAGCAACTAAAAAAAACATTTTATTAAAAAAAAAAGGAAGAAAAGGAAAAAGCAATGAATTATCTTGCATCTTAACTGGTTTTAAGCCAGGTGCTTTTGTTAAATTTACAAAAGAAACAATTCAAAATGAATAAATATGACAACCAAAGCTGACGTCTTCAGTGGGTACCAGCTCCAGAAGCCATAAAAGCAAAACCTTTTCTAACGAGAGAGCACGACAAATGTCTAAATTGCTCTCTCTACTCTCTGAACCCTAAAGTTTTTGCCAAAGTCCATAAAGAAATACAATACAAAATATAAAATACATAAAGCAAATACAGAAGTATAAAATCATGTCAAATACATAAGAATAATATGCACAAAAGCTTACTTGAAATATAAATCCAATAACCAAATTACACTACTGACTGCCAGACAACTAAATTGAAATTTGGTTATTGGATTTATGTTTCAAGTAAGCTTTCATGCATATTATTCTTATGTCTTGTCTTGATTTTATACTTCATGCATATTGTCTTGATTTTATACTTCTGTATTTACTTTATGTATTTTATATTTTGTATTGTATTTCTTCCTGGACTTTGGCAAAGTCTTTGGGGTACAGAGAGAGCAATTTAGACATATGTCGTGCTCTCGATAGAAAAGATTTTGCTTTTATGGTTTCCGGAACTTGTACCCCCTGAAGACGTCAGCTTTGGTTGTCATATTTATTCATTTTTCATTGTTTCTTTTGCTTCAATTCCTTCTGAATTTTCAGCTGCTTAGCGCGTTTTTCCATTGGAAGTATTGTTTTTAATTGCTTTTAATTATTTTGAATTATTTTCTTAATTTGTTTAATTTACTGAGATTAATGGATTGATTTGGTAAGGAAAAAAAACTGAAGTGATTTTTGCACATAAAAAAATTTAAGTATCTGATAACTATAAAAGAAATATATACCAACACTTACTTCCATTGGTAATTTAGTAGCGATTTCAGGATCCGTCATTTCAAATCCTAAAGAAGTTGGATTGACAACTAACAGCAAAATTAACTCCCATAAGTTTGAATTCCACAAAACTTTGAGAAACTTATCATGGAACCACTTTGCATCAGTAGCAAACACCGATGTGATGAAATTTAAAAGACGAATTAAAACAGTACATTTCAATCTAAAACAAATAAATTAATAAAATATAGTTTCCAAAAAGAAGCAGATTTATAATTATGAAACACAGATAAATAAAAAGAGGTTCTTAAACATATTATGCCAGGAAAAAGCTAAAAATATCTGTAAACATAAAAAAAATCTTTATTGGTGAGATAATTTTAAATTACAGACATTGCAAGTTTTCCAAATTTAAAGATAATAACTGAAAATATAAGAAATGATAAACATTAAGAGTTTGATGCATATTTTAATGGAAAAGACTGAACCCTCATAAAACTGAAGAATTCACATCTTTAGAATTTATCCTGAACTTCACACTTTCAGAGCTTTAGGTGGCCTGATGCAAGTCATGTGCAAAAAATAATAATGCAAAACTAATGTTGAAATTATTTTCATTAAAATGTTGTTTATAAGTTGCAAAAACACAATAGTTTTGAATTGTGTAACAAAACAGTTATAAATAATTGTTTGATTAAAAAACATACAGAAATTTTAAAATTTGTGCTATTCTTTAAGATTTTACTTCATGCAACAAAAGATACTTTGAAAAACAACTTTCAGTATTAATTGTATAAAATCGACTAATACTAATATTTTGTAAGAATTCAATAACTTAATTTTTAGTTATCATTAACAGTTATATTTGAATTATAATATGTGAAAAGACAAATTAATGAACAAATACAAAGGAGAAAAAAGAAAATGCAAGGCTTTTGTTATTTAAATACATATTACCGATTATATTTTAGAGTCTCCCCAGGTATAAAAACATCACTTTCCTCAATATAATGCTTGCTTATCAAAGCTGTAAGTGGTTCTTTTACTATATTTTCAAGGAAATGTTCAATAGCATTGAACACTTTTATGCACGATATCAATGACGCATTCTTCTCTTCTAAAAAATAAATAGTAATATAAAAATTCCACAAGAATTTCGGTTGAAGATATACGAAAAGTTTTGAATTTAACATTTATAGATGTTCTATTTTACCTGGAAGTTTTAAAAACATGAAGCCTTTACTTTTTGCAGCATTTGAGAAAAACACGAAATATCATATTGTCTCGTTAGTGGCAGAAAGCTGAGATTAGCCACAGGATTTTACAAGCATGCAACTAATTAAAAATGTGGTGTCTTTTGCGGCATGCATGTTTTGCAGTATATGTTGTAATAATTTTAAAAATAGGGTATTCAGCATTGACCACTCTCAAAGTCTTTTCAGGTTAATATATACTTTTGAAATCCTAGTCAAAAATGAAGGGAAAATGTTATACCTATTGGAGATCGCAAATATGCTATCAAAATCTAACGTATGATAGAGGAAGGCAAGTGTGCTGATTACTCATTGTAACTTGGTAGTATTTCTAATAACTGTAGATCAATTCATCTCTGTTTCTTCTTGCTGTCAAACAAGGCATGATGTTTTGTACATCCGCTTCTCACAAGAAGTGATTTGTCAGGTTTTGTTAGTGACAACATATATTTTGTTACTTTTATAACAATATATAAATATTGAAGTAAGGCTCTTCAACTTTTCAACATAATACTTTTTAACATACTTTTCAACAGACTTTTTCAACATAAACTAAAAATAATAATTAGAAAAAATTATATGGTTAAAAGGTGCTAAAAAAAGAAAAGTAAACAATAATTAATTAATTATAAAAGGTAGAAACGTTACAACAACATACAAGGTTCACAAACCTGAATTGATTCTAAAAGAAGGAAACACTTAAATGGAGAGATGAAAATAAAAATATAATTTCATCGACATCTAAAAAAAAATTATTGATCTCTGTTGTTTTTCATGCCAAAAAAAAGTTGTGTTAGATGAAACTTTTACACAAACTAGCCCAAAGGTGAAATGTTTGGGTCAGTTAAGGTAATTTGCTGAAGTAATAAATCTATTGAGAATTAAATTAAGAAGAAAAAAGAACTCACCACAAAGCATATTTTGTAGCATCAGCTGCTTCGAAAAAGCCCACTGATAGCATTCCATGGAAGTTTGGAGAGCTTCAAGCCATCTTGATAAAGATTTGTATGAAACTTGGTTTTTTAAAGCACTTTGTAAACTATCTTGCAGAATAGCTTCAAACCTACAAAGTTACAGTTAGTAATGTAAATAAAATAAATATTAGTTTCAATTTTTATGCATAGTTTCTTTTTTAAAATTCTTAAAGACTTTCTGTAGCTAAATAATTAATAGCTGGCATTAATGTCTTATTCCTTAACAGCAAGATTAAAAGTTTTGATTCACCCCTGTTTATTCACTATGAATTGAAATTACTGATTTGATATTTGTATAATTAGAAAACATATATTAAAAGTTTGACAGTATTTTTAAAAATACTAGCAGCCCTATTCAAAAAATATTTTAAAGAGTAATTTCCCTCCTCTATTTATTATTGAAAAGTAATTACTGCCATTAGTAAATTACAGCTATTTTACTACACAGAATATATTATAACTAATATATAATTCGTACAGTAGAATTCCTTGCTTCCCCTAAGCACATCGTTGATTGTCTGGAATTTTCCTTGGAGGACATTTTCTTGAGACCGATTTTGGTGTGTGACTTGGCCAGAGCGTTTAAACTCATGGATTTGATATGGAGGAAGCTATATTGTGAAGGATTAGAAACAACAACACTAGAAGTTTGGCTAAAATAAATAACCAAATAACCTTATTCTTCATTATTTTAAGCTGTTTTCAATATTTATGGTTTACTCAGAAAAAAGTTTTTAAAATATACAAAGTTTATTTTGACGATTTAACAGCTTGTCTGAAATTCATGACAAATGACTTCATTAGTGACATGAAAAAGGTGTCCTTCACAAAATTGAAAAGATTCCCCAATAGCTTCAAAGTTCATTTTTTTAAGATTTTACACCACGTTGAGTCACAAAATCGCTTTCAAAAGTAGTTGCGTTAGAGAAATAGGTAGGTAATAATTTCCTCAATTCATAATACATGAAAGAAGTCATTGTCACTCTGTCTACATGAATAGACTGATTTTCTAAGGGATTATCTTATTTCTACTGCAAGAGAAAAAAGTAAACTTTTTAACAAAAATTTTATGACAAGTATTTTTACTTGTGGTAAAATTTTTGTGGAGTAAAATTGAGAATATATTAAATATTATTTCAATTAGAAAATACAGATAGAGAATATAAAAAATATTGTTTCAAAGGGATCAATAATCATAAACAATAACAGTTAATTTCAAACAAAGGTCATACATACACATCCTCAATAATGTTCTTTCCACAATTTTCGTATGTAATTATAAATGAGGAAAGGTTTTGAGAACCTAGAAATAAAAGAAGGTAATAATATACAAACATTATATACAGGTAAAAAAAAGTTTTAATTTAATAAGCAACACTATAAATTATAAATAAAATTGATATTTAGATAAATGCACCAAAATTTTTTTAAAATTAGATTTCATAATAAAATGAAAAAATAAGTCTAATGATTGAAATATAAAATTTGAAATTTAAAAAGTATGTTAAAATATAATTTTATTTCACTTTAACTATAAAAAATGGCTTTATAATAATGAAAGGATTTATAAGTTATATTTAAATAAATAATAAATCTTTCTTAATTAAATTTTATTTTTAAAAAAAATGAAAAATTAAATACCAATTTGTTTGGCAATAGTAATATAAATTTGAATGAAAACAAAATTTAAATTAAAAAGAAGAAATATATTTCAAATAATGGCTTCATAATAATGAAAGGTAAATTATAGCTGGTAAAAGGTAAATGAGCAATAGTAATGAAAGAGTTTGTTTAATGATGTCTAAATGATATAAATAGATTTAAAACTTAAAAATTCTTCACTTAAAACTTTTTAAGCAGAACCTTTATAGGAACATTTTTTTTTAGTAATGTTATGTAAAAATAGTTTGGCGATTGAGATTTAGTTATAAAAGAAAATATTTAGCTTATTACCAAAGATTAATTTGATTTTTAAGATCATTTCTTATTTACAAAGTGAGTAATATTTTAAAAATTTTCCTAGCTGTAAAGAATTGGCATTGAACTTGAACTTTTGTGTTTATAAATAACTGCATTTATAAATTCTGTGTTTATAAATAGAAATAAACTTGATGAGAAATGTTCAAATGAACAAATGCATATCACACAAGAGAATATAGCTTCTCAGTGTTGCCCTCTCCTTATCTCAACATGCTAACCTTTACTGTTCCCATATTTTATGCAAACAAAACCCTTCATATGCAATTTTTCCCCCCGTATTTTCTGAAGTTATCAGCAGACTTACGAACAAATTATAGAAAGAAAAATAGACACATCAGCAATTAAAAATTAATTAATTTGGTAGCAAATGTAATTATCACAGTTTTATGAACGGTTAGGAAAACAAAAAATAATTTTATTAGAAAACCAAAATTTGAAAAAAAAAATTTTAATGGTCTACCATAAAATTTACTAAACCTTTCGAAAAATTTAAAAATGCTTAAACCATGAGCATCATTTTTAACTTGAGAAATTTTCAAACAAGTGTAACTTAGTTAGAATGTGAATAGAATTTTATTTTCAATCATTTAACTATCAAAAAATGGATTTATTCATTCAAAAGCAAATCTTTTAAATTATGAGATCAATTTAGAAAATAAAAATTTGTTTATTGATGAATGCCAAGAAAGATTTTGCTTTCATAAAGAAAAAAAAACTTTTAAATTAAAAATTACTGCATTTAGATGAAAGCCACTCCAAAACATTAATTTGATTACAATCACATCCATCCATTTATCACTGATGACATTGTATCGAAGTTGGAATCAAATCACATATTAAAATGCTACAGACAAACTAAAACTTCTAAGACAAACTGTTCTGTTCCTTGACTGAATATAGTTGTAATTGGTTTAACGTTTAGAAAATCAATTTAGAATTGTTTAAAAATTTCTTTTTTTAAACTCCTTATAATTAAATTAGTAAAAATAAAGTAAATCTATGAGAATGATTCACATGAAGCACTTAGGAATCATATACCAGCTTTAATTTCATTAATCAAGTTTAATTCTATTAATCTAAAAATAAGAATTAAAATATTGACAAAAATTATGAAACAAAAGATATCAAAACATTTCACAATTATTGTAAAAAGTATTAACATTAATGCTAAATTTTAAAAATAATAATAAAAAAATAAAGAATTTTTTTCTGAAAAATATAGTAAAACAACTTTTAAACACTACTAGGAGGCTCCGCCCCCTGCTCACTAANTGAGGCTTCTTTTTGGCGCCGTGTAAGAGAAATATATATATAGATGACTGCTGTGTCACCCATATTTCAGTGACAGCAAAGTTTCTGATCGGACCATTTTCTAATTATCTTTTCGAAATTTCCCTGATTCAGGGTACATTTTTTAAGTAATACTCTTCCTTACGCGGCAAAGATTCAAACAAATAGTGTAAAGGGGCGAGATGAGAAACAAATGCGAAGCAACGGGCACAAATAAACAGACATGATATCATGGAGACAAACAGAGCAAAACATTATTCTTGTGACCACCAGAGACTCTCATTACTAAAATATCAGTGGAAGTTATAAATTATAAAAGATATAAGTTATAAAAGAAATATCAGTAAAATATCAGTGAAAGTTACGCTTTGTACAGCAGTACTCATGGCATGGAAGAGATTTCACTGTAAACGTGTGCCGCAGTCAACGTGCCAAAATACGTTTAAAAAATTCTAACAACAAACTGTGTATCAACATTTCTAATGTATTTCTAAACCTTCAAAATGAACCAGAAACATTACTTAGAAAAACTGAAATCAGTAAACAATTAAAATAACGATGATAAACATTATTTTCTTGACAAGAAGTTAAAAATCACAAAAAAACGAGAATTCACAAAGAATGAAAAAAAATCAGAACAAACATCAGACAATGCAAAATTAATATGAAACCTACTGATTTGTATTAATTTAAAGTGCATCTGTAAAAAGCTATTTATAATAATAAGAAGTGAATATGTAGGGTATGTGAGTAAGTTTTGCCTTGTAAAATGTTGAGTTTCAAATTAAACTAGCAGCCCCCTCCCCCCACAGATTTTCTGTTAGGGATTACGAGCAAAATCTGAGAAAAAAGGCACAACTTCAGTAAACTATTAAGACTGTTGTACTTAAAATTTGCTAGAATGATTTGCTCAGAATTTCTATTAATTGTACCTGTAACATATATTGACCCTGAGAAATGTTATTTTAGTGCTAAAAGGCAGCGGTGTACAAACATGAAACTCAGGTGGGAACATTTCTGAAATTTTTCCTATTTTAATGACTTTTAACAATATGTGGATAATATTTGGAACAAATCATTCAAATCTTATGGTTTTAATTAATATTACTATATAATTTTTTTTTGCGATAAATATGTTTTAATTCTTTAACCTCCTTTTATGGTTTTGATCACCAAAAAGTTCTTTGTTCTACATTAAAATTTTAAAAGTTGTTCAAAGTTTTTGAGAAAATAGCGACAAGCAAAAATTTTAGTCTGACAAGAACTTTTTAGAACTGATATTTCATGCCTTGCATTATACATTGAAGAAAATGAAGAATTACACTATACACTATAAGAAGTCAAAAGAAATACACTATAACTAAAATTGTATGGAGTTAATTTTATAATTTACAGGGAAAAAACAACAACCTGGACTAAAAGGAGCAAACTTAATAACCAAATCCATACATTTATGGCGACATTCAGTTTGTACACAGCCACACTGTTTCAACAGCCACAGCACAATACACTGTAAAGTTGCCTCTTCCAGGCACCTACATAAGCAACATAAAATATTATTCTGAAGTTTAAAAAACAAAACAAATACTTATTGTAAACAAATGTTTCAAAAATTAGAGAGAATAAATTTTTAAAAATAAAATAAGACAAAAATTATAAACCTGTAATGAATATAGAAAAAAAACTCCAAAAAAAATTTATTTACTTTATTAGGGCAATCTTGTATTTAAAAATTACATCGTAATCTGTTTGCATACCATTAATTAAGAGAGCTTTTATCTATGGAAAAATTATTCTTTCAAATTTACTTATTTGTGAAAAGGTCAGAGGGTTAAGAAAATAACAAAAAAACAGAAAATTTTCAAAATAAAAATATATGTAAATTAATCTTACTCAGGTTTTTTCCTTGACTTTTCAGATTTAATAAAAAGAGAATGTTTTACCACAATAATTTTCTCTAAATGATTTAAAGCATTTACACATTGTTCTTGAGTTCCTAAAAATAGAATAAAATAATAATAAATATTTAAAATGTTTTTAATTTTCAAAGAATCATATAAATGGAAACTATAACACAAATCTATTTATCTCCATTATGTTGGTGAAAATCAAGACAATATAATTTGTTGAAGACATGGAACTAAAGAAATTTATTAGTATTTTACAAAGCATTTCATCATCTTCAAGGAATTTCCATGGGGAGATGTAATTATTATTGAAACCAGATATTTGTACAAATAGATAGAACAGAGAAAATATGTAATTTTTTTCTTTACCCACAAAAATACGACTAATACTCACTTTTAGTCTTTTATTTTCACCATCAAAATAATTTTTATCAGTTTATAAACAATGTCTTTATGCTAGAAAAATGGTAATAATTTAAATGCCTAACATTGTTTAATTGTAAAACACATGTCAGCATACAATTAACAGGTTATAAATATACATTACAAACAATCCAAGAAATATTCTATTTTCCTTAAAAATAAACTATTCCATCGTATATTTACGTAAGCATTTTCACCACTCCTTTGTTCATAACTAGGTTGCAGAATTTTATTCAATGTACAACATAGCAATTTCTGGCTGCCACATATGATTTAAATAATTGTTTTAGAAAGGTAGCTTCAAAATATGTTTCTTTCTTTTAGAACATACTTTGACTAAAAAATATTTCTCACATTAATTAAAGAAGTCTAGGAATACTTTAAAATTAAATATTTAGTAAAATAATTACTTAAAGAACTGCTATCAGTGTGTGCAATAGCTAAACTGTCCACAAAAAGAACCAACAGTTGAAGTGTGTACTTTCGCACAAGAAAGTCTTCATTTCTAAAAAAAAAAACAGAGCAATATTTAAAAACTAGTAAGGTAATCTAAATTTGTATAAAAAATATATTTAGCAAATGAGAATTCAGTATGTGGTTACCAAGAAAAAGCATTGTTTTGTAAAACAAATATTTATTATAAACTACTTTCCTTTAAATTATGTATTGTCTCAGTTCAACAGGACAATCAGTTTTCAGAAAAAAACTATGAAATCAAGTTTAAAAACAATTCTTAAATTACACTTAATTTAAAAAAGTTTTACTAACATTCTGTTGTTAAAATACATACCAAAATACATTGAAAAATGTTCAAAAAACAATTAAAATGCTGAATTTCTTGCATCCTGAAAACGTCTTGGTTAACATTTTGAAATGATTTAACACATATGGAAAAGAGTAACACAGATATTTACCTCTTTTGTATTTATTTTTATTTTTACCGACTTTCTTTGAAAGATCAAGTGACAAGTTTGACAGTGTCACTTTAAGGCCTAATGGTTTTTTATTTTTAACGTTTTGCAGCACACATGCATATTTGATCTTTTTCAAATTTCAAAATTTTGTAAGCTATAACTTTATTCAGCCACTGTACACTATCAATTTTTTTCTCTTTAATACGTCATATTCAAAAAATGATAGAAGAACTTTTGAATGAAGAACTTACTTTGTAAAATTCCAGGGCAGAACAACAATTAATATATTTTTCATGTTATTCAAATGTAGCATTATTTATTTAAACTAGTGGGCTGCGCCCCCTGCTCGCTAAGGCTCACCAACCCCCAAAAATTGCTATGCAATCTTATATGGTTTGCTTCGCAAACCAAGTGTGGTATTGCTTTTATGATGTTTTGTTACTTTTATATATATGTGGTATTGCTTTAATGATGTTCTGTTACTTTTGTCTTTGCTGCACTGCTCTGCACTGCTATAATTACTTTAAAGTTTTAGTTTCTCTTTGATAAGTTTTCACCTGCCCTTTTCTGCCCTTAAATAATTCAGCCAAAAATTAAACCATGGTCCTTATAGGGTGTCAAAGAAATGTTCCCCTGTCCTTTTTAAATTAACTTTAGTAGCTAACCCATTAAAAACTACTACATCTCATGTCAATCGTATAATAAAAATTCCAGAGCGAGAAATATTTCCATCATCTTCCATATTTGAGGAAGAAAATTCTGTAATTAGTGATGATAACCTTAAAGGGTGTGAGTTTAGACACTCTGATGAGGATAAAAAATTATATCCTGCCTTAATGAAGCCCATTAATGAGAAAGAATTACTAAGTTTTGGTTATTTTGTATCACAACCCTGTAGGGCTCAATTAAATCGTGATGTGCAAACAGATGTTCAAAGTGAAGAAAGTAATTCTTCATATGATTTCTTTCGTGATACATCTATTTCACCCGTTTCATTTTTAAATGATTCTTTATCAGAATCTGATTCGTCAGATGTGGTAGAACCGAGATATAATCTCAGACCTAGAGATCCTCAGGGATTTGTAAAAAAATTTAAAAAAAAGGGTGTAACTACATTGTAATAATGTGTATTTAATGTGCTATTTTATACTATGTTTCTGTCATTGTATATATATATATATATATATTATAATTCTTTGTGTTGTGTATGTGTAAAGTGCTTATCACGATAATCAAGAAAGCCTCGTGACTAAAACTCTTCATGTTACTGAACTAAAAGCAATTTAATGTGAACTTTAAGGACGATGAAGTGGAACTCTTTCAGAATTAGTCTGGTTAGGAGTCTGAGTGGATCAGTCCTTGGAGGTGACTGCTGAGTTGCTGCCTGTGAGTGGATCTGTCTCAAAGTGAAAGTGTTTGCTGAATCCTCGCCAGAAAATCGTGCCGGCCCCTCTAACTTCTGAGCTCTTCAATGGCATGTGAAAGATAGGCACTCCTGAGGCATCATAAGGCCACAAGTATCTCTTGATTGTTTCGCTTTTCATTGGTAAATGCTCAGCTGAGTGGTAGCCATTGTCTTAAAAAAAAAATATTTCATGATACCTATATGTATCATTGATCCCTTCTGCAACCTCATCCATAAAACACAACACCTTCATGTTAATTTACTGAATTGAACATTCCTAACAGATACACTGCTCATCCTGATCACTCAGTTCTCCCACCTCACTTCTCTTCAACATCAGACTCAATAAAAAAATTTAATTTATTAAATTTTTCCCCCAGGGGGAAAGATATATGTGGTATTGCTTTTATGATGTTTTGTTACTTTTATATATATGTGGTATTGCTTTAATGATGTTTTGTTACTTTTGTCTTTGCTGCACTGCTCTGCAACATCATAAAAGCAATACCACACAAGCTAGCTTCGCTCGCTACTAACTTAGGTACATTGCAAATGCACAAAATTCTAAGAATTCAAAACAATCATTGAAATCCATTTAAAACTTTCTTTTTTTAAAAAATTACATTTTTTTAGTAAATACTAAGTCATTAAAATAAATTTGAATTCAAATAAATGACATATAATTCGTTAAACCTATTANCGCAAACCAAGCCAGCTTCGCTCGCTACTAACTTAGGTACATTGCAAATGCACAAATTTCTAAGAATTCAAAACAATCATTGAAATCCATTTGAAACTTTTTTTTTAAAAAAAATGACATTTTTTTAGTAAATGCTAAGTCATTAAAATAAATTTGAATTCAAATAAATGACATATAATTTGTTAAACCTATTAGAAATGTGCTATAGTATAATTCATGATATAAATCAAAAATAGTCAAATAAATTTGTAATATATAAATTCGTGAAAAAAAGCGCTTTCGACAAAATACTAAAATAGAGATCTATCGACGAAGACTACGCACTTCTACCTAGCTTAATAGTATGAGATTGCCGCAGCTGATGCTCTCTGGTTATTTCAGTTTCCGATTTTAAAAGCGCTATATGTTGAGTGTATATGCTTCGGTGATGGGAATGTAAGACTTTCAAAAATGAAACAATATGGCAAAGAAACATCCTCTTTAATATTGAAAGATAACAAACCATCTACGAAACTTCACAAACTCCAATTAACAAGTTATTCTTTAAAAACATTAAAAGTTGTTATTAAAAGAACAATTAAAAACTTAAACTTCTGATTGTAAATATCGCATACTGCAGGTGGGCGTCACCGGGAAGAATTGAGATATCGGGGCGAAGTCTCGGACACTGCACAATAACCTCTCTCGAAGGCAAACTGTCATCTGCTTAAATACTGGACTTCAGCCTTTTCACTCCCTGCCTTGGCCGCCGGTTGATGCTCCTCCGCCGGTATTCCTCCGCGCAGGAACTATTTTGGTTCGTCCTCCTACCTTCGATCTTCGTTCCAATCCTCGATCCTTCTACCTCAGTTTTTCATGCAATCTGAGCTGACGCAACCAACAGCCTCTACATTGAGCCACCTCAGCTAGATTTGGCATGTGACTTTTTAGCAGCAATCATTGGTTGATTCGCAGTGTAAGAGAAATAGTAACGTAAACAAAACAAAGCAAGCGTTGCCACCGGCGGAAAAGAAATACAGCCAAAATTTGGGAGCCACGTAAGAGGATTATATATATTAGATAGGAAATTAAAAAGGAATTCATAAAATAAATTCAACTTAGTTAACTAGTGTAATTATTGACTTATAAAATAAAAATATGGAAGTCAGTATTGCATGCATAAATCATAAGGACATTTTTGAAATACAGAATTCGAAAAACTATAATTGCTAAGTGCCCAGAAACAAAAATCCTAATATCACACATATGACATAAACTTATACTATTCAAATAATTAATATACACTATTAATAAAGGTCAATGACCCTTAAAAAATTCAAATTTTTGATGATATAACTACAAAATAACATAAGACAGATACTTTTTTAACCTTTATCTTTGCCAGACAATGAAATCAAAAGTTAATAAAATTAAATACTGTATCTGTTACAGGTGAGAATATTTTTTTTACTGAAAAAATTTACAGTTTTAAAAACCATTAAAAATAAAATAGTTAAAGATAAACATATAAGTTTTTGTAAAGGTTGGCACTAATATAAGAACATTTTCTAAAATTAAAGAACTTTTTTTAAAAAAAATATATCAACAGTTTTTTATAACAGTACAAATTACAAGCTTACCTGAAGACATTGTACAAGCTATTAAATGTTAAGGCAGCACCCAGTCTTTTAAATGAATTAGGATGAAGCGAAAAACTATGTAGCTTGCTTAAAAGCCTTTCAACTGGCTTGGACTCAGCCTAAAATAAATAAAGACATTAGGAATTGAAATAAAGTAACTTTTGTTTCTAAAGGTAAGGAAGCATAATTTTAAATCTTCATAATTTTAGATCTACATTTTAAAAATTACTTTTGAAATTTTTTAAATCTACATCGTAGAAATTGCTTTTAAAATTTAAAAAGGTAATACTTTTTTAAAAAATAGCCAGGCTTTCGTGGAAAACACAGATTTGAATATCTTATAAATAAATAATCGGATAAATATTTCTTTTATAAATAGTTTACAAAATAATAATGACAATAAATAACTTGTTATTAAGAAAGACAACTTACAGAAGATTGTTTTATAGACCAGAGAAAATATTCCTTCAAGCAAATAGCGCTAAAGTCACGCAATGCAGCACTTTTCGGATTTGTTACTCCATCCTAAAAAAGAAATTTATAATTGGATTTATGCAGCCTTATAAAAATATCCGCACAATTATTTTTAATAATAAATTCGAACTGCTATTAAAAATCCACACATGCTATAAAAAAATTTTATACTATACAGAAAAAGAAGAAGAAAAATCTCTAAAAAAAAAAAAGTCAATGTTTGTCAAAAGTCAACCCTTTTCTGAAATAGCCAATACAAAAAGTTCAATTTTTTTTTATTCTTAGCAACTGAACTGTAGACTGAACATTCTAAAACAATTGGGAAGGGAGTTAATGATAGCAAAATGTATAGAGAAAGGACAAAAATAATTACTTTATACTGAGTAAAACTAGGACTAAAAAATTTGTAAGTAAAGTAGTTTTGTAAAGACAGTCACATACTAATTGAGTCTGAATTGGATCAGTCAATTCAATATGTAGTATATTATGCAAAATCCTTCAATTTCAAAACTAAATTTTACACTAAATATACATATATACTGAATATATATGCACAATACAAATAAAGAATCATAAGGCAACAAGATTGAAAATTAAAGAGAAAAAAAGTAAAACATATACAATTTCTAGTCAAAACGGTGCCAAGCTGTTAACGTTATAACTAAAAGAATATTTTAAGAAGATATCAGGCAAATCATATTGAGATTGTAACATAAAAACTCGACCAATTCCACAGACCAAACCAAAGTAACTTAACATTGTAACAAAAAAATAACTAACAGTGAAAAGTCTGGTGTTTCTAGCAAGTACAGTGATTGCTGGACAGTGTGCTAATAATTTTTAATTTTAACTAAAATCTTTTTAAAATTTGCTGAAATTCAGCAAACCTTTTTCAGTTCAACTCTAATTCTTTTGAGAAAAAAAAATCAAAAATTAAGTATACATATAAACAAATTTTTGAAAAAAAAATTTTTTTTTTTTAAAATTAGTTAAAAACTTTTAATATAAAATCATACTTACCCATAAACTAAGTAATATTACTGATGATTCAGGTGTACTAGAAACTTTCTTACAAGTAAACCAATGAATCATTTGTAATACAAGTGGACTAAAGAGTTGTTTAGTAACCTAAATAAAAGTATAGTAAACATTAATAGAAAGAAAGAATAATTGCATTCAGTATTGAAAACTAAAATATGTGAAATATGATTGCAGAATATAAAAACCTCTACTATTTTTGCCCATTTAATAATTGCACAAAGCTATTAAAATAATTAATTTCAAAAGGTCCATCACTGTCAACAAGTTTCGTAAGTGTTTTACACATAGATCTAAATTATCTGACACTATTTTTTATACAATAAATTAATGAATTTTCCATGCTTTCACAGTCTTTTCATCATAGAAAAAAAAATGGGTGAGAATTTCTCACCCTTTCTCAAAAACAGGGTAAGATTTCTAAAAACTAAAAAAACACAAAAACTCTTGGAAAAAAAAATCATTTCTTTAATTATAATACATTTTTAAAGTCTTCCATTTTTTAAAGCATTGAATATTTTTGGTGCATCATCATAGAAGATTTTGCCTTTACAAGGTATTTGTCCACCTTACATTAGTGCATAAAAAAATTTGAACGTCTTACGTGAAGAAATCTTACCTATGGTAAACACGTGGTTGCAGAGAAAAGTGTAATGAAAGGGGTTCTGTGGTTGTGTTCTGTTGTTCAAAAAGGTTCTGAACAATACTGGTAAATAGGGAAGCTAGATAACGGGGCAGATGTTAAAAATAATAAAAGATCCAGGAAGAAAAGGGAAACGGATTTTATTCTAAATGGCGTTATTCCAAGCTTTTTCCAAAATGCGAGAAATTAGGAAATTTTGAAATTGATTTATAGAACGCGCGAATTTCTCGTGGTAATCATTTTTTAATGGGAGAAAAGAAAAAATATGCGAGATTCTCGCGCTGTAGTGAAAACACCGCTTTCATAATCTTTCCTAACTATTACTTCTTTAAGACACAAAGATAAAAAATACAAAAATAAAAAATAAACGAAAGATAACAAAATTTTATTTATTGAAACTTATAATTGTTAATATTATTTCAAAATTATTTACTTTTTTAAAGCAAGCTCAACAACTTTTAGGTAAAACTTAAGTACCATTCAAATAGCTCAAAGCCTATATAAAAAATAGATTTTAATATCAAAATATTATGTTACACTTGGTAGTTTTTTTGTTGTTGTTGTTAGCATTGGAATAGACACCAAGTCATAATCTTCATTTCTTAAATCAAGGATGGGGTAAAACTATACGCATTAACAATATAATACTAAAACTACTCCTAACTATTTTCAAGCATACAACATCTTAAAGTAACATATGAACTAAGATCAGTTTAAAATGCTTTCATTTGCTAAAGATGCCTAAATTTGTGGATAGAATTTCATAGCTAAAACCATTAAAATTTACATTTCATCAAATTCTACATTAAAATGTACATTTAATAAGTTTTATAACAATAAGTAAAAATACATTGAATGCATATATTATAACATATATGCATTGTACAGATATACATATGTATATATAACATATATACATAAATATAACACACATATATAACACATATTTTAACATATAGCATATATATGCATTGAATGCATATATGAAACTAAAAAAAACTTTAGCTCATTAACTCTCTGCACACTGTTAGATATATTCAAATTTAAGCTAGCTACTTTCTTATTTTTGCAAGGCGACAGCTTTTCCTTAGTTTTACTTCATGCAAAAGTAGTTCTAAGCAATGATAAATTCATAAATTCAAACAAGATCCTTAAAGTTTAGTAAGTTAAAAAGAAAAATATAACAGTTAGTATTTTACATGAATACTATATAGTTATCAAAAACAAATACTAATATTATACAACTAACTTGTTCAACATCACAAGACAGCTCCAATAAACCAGGAAATAATTTTTCATACAATGCTTCCATTGAATACTAAAAAAAAATAATGAAATAAAAATTAAGGAAAATAAATTAGAAAAACTGTCTAATTAAAAAAACTACTTATAGCATTTAAATGAGGATGCTTATTAAAAGATTTTTTTTTAATATCTCACTTTTTCTTGGAGATTATCAGGTAACATGCTACCCTGACCAATCATAAATAGAACTAAAGAATGCAGAGCTTCACAAGCAGCAACCTTTACTTGTCTCACACTTGATTTTGTAGCAATTTCTAATATACGTGGAAGAAACTCATCTAAAAAGAATTAAAAAAAAGAATTATAATAATATTAATTTTAAAAAAAATACTAATTATCTCCTTAACAAATAAAATATTGAAGCAAAATTGATATGCAATAAGAGATGAGAATTTATAAATAATGATAGAAAGGGCTCATTTAATAATTTGATTAAGGAATGATAGTGTAATATAAGTTTTTTTAATTTTTTTTATTTCCAATGGAAAATTTATTGAACAGTAGTTACAGCACAATAAGAAAAGTGAAATGCAATAAAATATGGTAAACATAATGCAGTAACCCGAGTCCATTAATTCAAAAGATCTTTAATAATTTTATACCTTGATAGATCAATTGTACTTTAGTAGATAGAGTTTATTATATGAGAAATCACCATGCAATAAATCATGGGTCAAAAACAATAAAGGGCTTTGAATTAGAACATTAATTTTACCTTTATTTTTCAAAAATTTGTCCTCTTATTTTTACACGAAAATAAAACATTCTAACTTGCCTAAAAACTATGATTACAAGCTAAGCATAAAAATAATAATTTATAAAAATGCACAATAAATAGATGAAACATCTTTAATCTAAAAAGTGTAAATCTTAACTAAATTTGTAAAAAAAGCAACTAGTTAGGTACTAGTTCATTACCGAAATAGACATTAGGTTTCATGTCAACAAATGGAACAGAATATTTCAAATGATTTTTGCATAAAGGATCCCATGCAATGGCAACTTCATCAACTTTTTGGTGAGACTGTTCCAAAAGGGCAACATTGTTTTCCCCCAGTTGTCCTAAATACTTCAAGATCTGTAGCTGAATACGTCCTAATGCAGGATCTTCCAAGGACTAAAAGGATAGGGAAAACAATAAGCATAAAGGAAATGTCTCATAATATAAAAGTTACATCAATATATTGAAAATATGTGCCAGCAACAATATCAGATAAAACTGCGTAAAAGGAAAAAAAATATTTAAAAAATTTTTTTTAATTATTTCCATACAGGTTAACTCTTTCACAATCGTTACAACCCTGAATTATTAAAGCCTAAAAAACTAATAAGAGAAAAATAACAGTGTTTCATGTAATAAACATTTGAAATATTACAATAAGAAAATGAAGAACTATATGCAGTTTATAATTTTTAATTAAATTTATTTTGCATAAATATAAAAATATTTTTATGAGGTTTTATTTATGAGGACACAAGAATAAGCCAATCAAATAAGCAGTTATAGAAAATTTAAATAAAATGGGAGCAATACAGTAGACTCTCAATGAACAGGGATCGGATTATCCAGATTGAGGATTGTATGGAACGAAAAAAATAAAAGGAAATAAAATAATAAAAATGCAAATTGCAGCCATTAAAATGAGCAGGAAAATCACATTACTCTCAACCCTTCCTTTCTTATGTATTGGACTCACCCAGCCGACCTTCAGTATTGCCAATTGGTTTTGCACTAGATATAAAATCCTGGTAGGACAAGGTGAGATATGATTCATCCATCATCACAGTACCAGTGTTGTTCAGACTGAAATTTTTCTATGTGCTTTACATTCTGTTTACAGTTTTAAAATGCGGAAATGCTAAAGAGTCCTTCTTAGTATAAATCAAAAGCAGGAAATAATTAAAAATAGACAAAAAATTAAAACATTAACGTGTGAATGATTAATGTGTGAAATATGAACATTAATCTGTGAAATATGAACATTAATGTGCGAAAACTAAAACATTAACGTGTGAAATGGGTAGTCAAACTGTGAGATATTATAAAAAATTTAATGCATTTTTTATCATTTTTTCAACAAAATTGGAATAAATTGGATTATTTGTGATATTTATTTATCTGAGACAAAGCATTTGTAGATTGTTTAATGGAGATTCTACTTTAAAATATATGTACCAAATCAACATTTGTTAATGAACAAATATAAAAATTATGTAATAATTTTTAAGCATGATAATTAAAGCTATACAATCATTTTGGTAAATGTTTTGAACATTATCAAATCATTAATAACTAAATTTTTTAATAATGCATCTGTAATACTAAATTCTGTAATATTGGCAAAGAATAGTCATGATTTTATAGACGTGCAATACATGAGTATGAAGTTCATAAATTTGCAATTAATTAAAATAATCTTAATTTCAAAACAAAATACATTGATCAATACAATATTTAAAGATACTCACATTATCAGATGATGTATTTTTATTTGATCGTTTCATACTTTTCACAGACATTTTGTAGGCTTTTTTAGTAGGTCGTTTCTCATTGCTTAAGACACTTCCAGCTACACAAAAAAGTATTAGATATTTTTGCACATCTGATGAAACATTTAGAAATAACAGAGAAAAAAAATAATACTTCAGCTCTAAAGCAGGATATAAAATATAAATGTAACTCTACAAATCAAGAATTGCAGTACAGTTATCAATGTAAGATAATGATGAATTGATAAAATAGTCTTTTATTTCTATTTTACTTTTTTTCCTGTTTCCTGGTCTATTTTTCAAAATTTATTTAAATTAAGGATTTTTCATGTTAATTAAAAAATGTAGTGCGGCAAAGTTCTTATATGATATTATACACAATATCTCACATTTAAACTGAACACAACATTCCACCTACACTCTTTTTTAAACTAATGTCTGAGAAACAACAAAATGAAAAGCATGCATCTTGAAAACAACAAAATTTATCACTTGATATTACAAAAATACCGATCATAGTATAAAAAAAATTAAAATATTGAGAAAAAAAGCTTGTATCAAGACTTATAAATTTAAATTTTAGCAAAGTAAATTATTAATTTCATTGGAAATAAAAATGCACATTCATATTACCTTCTGCAGCAGTGACCAGCAAATATGAATTGAGTAATGGTAAAAGTCTTGGAAAGTAAGGCTTCAAAATATTTAATTCTAAATTTGTTGACCATTTTTCCAAGGCATTAACAGCTTTTTCAGCCAGAGGTAAATAGCTGAGTCCCAATTTTAAAGCACTCTAAACAAAGGAATATTAAAATTGTAATAAATTGCTTGTGATATCATTTTAACAAACTTGTAAATTGGGGATCGCACTCTAGAATAATAAGAAACAACACATAACAGCACTTAAACTATTTTATCATAAATGATACAATATCTTTTGGATATAGCAACTAAAACAGTTAATTTATTTAACTGAGGGTAAAAAAAAATTCTATTCTCAAATAGGATTTGAAGTGTTTCAAAGCCTCTCTACAAAGTTCTATTTATTTATTTAATTCTAGCAAACGAAAGGTAAATTGACTATTTTGTTTAATGTCTGTTTTTCTAAGTAGAAAGTAAAATGTCACTTAATTTTAGTAATAGTTTTGTTTTCCTTTTTTATCTTTTCTATTCAGTAAATGTTTTCAGTATGATAAGCTTTTTTAACTTTAGTTGTGGCAAAGAAAAGAAGTTATAAAATGATCAAATTTACTTTTTTGATGCTACAAATCAAATAAGGTAATATTCTTCAGAAATCTTTTGAATTAAATTTTAGAATAACATTAACTATTTCAATAAATTAACTTGCAGAATACAATAACACAGGAACAGAAAGCAATTATACTATATCACATTAGTGATATTATGTACTCAAGATAATGAAATAAAATATTTACATAGTTTAAGTTTAGAACAAAGGACAAATAATTACTAAGATACTGCGTGCTTTTGGATACTGTTCTAACTTGAAATTTCTTAACTCTTCAAAATCTCAAATTAAAGGAAATTAAGCAACTTTGGTAGTATTTGAGTAAGTAAAAATGTGGAATGAATAGTTCTGTAACTAGGCATAATGTGCAACAAAAATATCAAGCAAAAAATGATTTAATAAAGAATCATATTCATTGTTATTAGTTTTACCTCAAGAGCTGGAATTAAAGAGTGGATTTCTTTTGCGACTATTTCCATGGGGAGAACCAGCATAACTTGAAGACAAGAAGCCAATAAGTCATCTCTAAATTGTGTATGCTGCACTGCAATTTCCTTCACAAATTTAGAAAATAATGTGTAACTTTGAGGGACTAAATTTCCAGGGTCATTTGAAAATTCCTGAGACATTTCTTCAGTATTTGAAGACAGAGTCTAAAATAAAAGAGAAAAAAGTTAAAAATTAAATTTACAGCACTCAAAATAAAAATAAGCATCTTACTAACTTTATGAACTAACTTACATAACTTATGGGCTAATGACTAGTCACAATGTACTAAATTAAAAATCTTTTTACATGTGATTTGGATTTTCACCTTTAAAATAGGCAGAATTGCAGCAATCCAGAAAGCATTATCTTAATAGTCTAGGAAGAAGAGCAGTTGTAATTTTGGACTTCCGTTTCTTTTTTCTTTTTCTTTTTTCTAAACATTTTTACATATTTTGCTACATCTCAACTATTAAATAAAATCTAAACATTTTTAAACACAAGTGTAAAATTCGTAAATCCAAAGAAAATCATATGCAAAATATAATTTTTATAAATTTTTGTTATTTCATTAACATTCAAACCGTTATAACCATTTTGAATCATAATATATGAAAAAATTTCCTTTATTTTTAATTTTTCTTTTTTGGGATTGATTTTGTAACAAAAGATATCATTTACACAAATTGATTAGCGTATTAAATATCAATATCAGAAACCATTAAAATTACATCAAAATTATGCAATATTCAATGAAGTTTTTTTAAAGGGTTTATCTATACATACATATATTGTGCACTGTTCACATCTAGCATAAATATAACATTGAAATTTCAACTGCAGGTAAAGAAAACTTTCATTGGCATAAAAACAACCATAATTTACTTTTTGAATTAATAATAAAAAATAAAAGCATTTTCTTCAGATAGATATTCATTTTAGGTGTTAAAAAATTATAACATATGCACACTTGTTGTATCCTCTTAAAAAATAATATTATGGACAGTGTATAACTTTGTTGTAAACCAAAAAAATCTGCAACAATTTGTTAGAATTTATAGGTGTGCAGTTGATATTCTTTTTCAAATTTTTTATCTGAAATATAAGATTATCATTATTATAAATTATTTATAAAAAAAATTGTTACATTGCTTATTATGAGTTTTTAATGAAAATAGTACTACACATAATGAGAGACTTTTCTGAACATTTCCTTTTATAGAAATTGAATTGTGTCAGAGTTTATCTGAACTAAACTAGCAAAAACTATTTTCTTAAAATTTGTTTATTTAAGAGTAAACGTTTACTAAATGCTGTTTTACTTGACAATTTTAAAAGAAAAGCCTTTCAGGGGCATTACTAGCAAAGAGAATTTATTTTTATAAAAAAAATTTCAATAGTAGATGGAATTTTTATATAAACTTCAACGTTTTGTACTGAACTGATATTTTGAATGATACATTTCACAAAGAATACATTTGTTAGCTATCATGAAAATTTCTTATCAGGCTATATAATCTAAGGATATATAATTAATATTTAAAACTGCTTAATTAAATATTTATTACCTTGAAATATCCAATTTTTGAACAAATCGACAAATTCATGGAAATAAGTTTATAAAATCCACTATGAAAAGGATACCTGCAAATAAAGCTATTATATAGAAAATTTTCAATTTATTCATGAAAATAATTAAATTCAGAACTGCACAATAATAAAATAATAAAAATTACTTTTAAAAAATTAATAATAAAATTATAAAAATCCAATTTATTATTATTGAGTTTTCTTTTAAAAAAACTGGAAAAAAACACACACACCAAACAAAAACAACACATATATTTCTTACATCCATATATAATATTACATACATATGAATCAGAAACAGAAAGAGGAATAAAGTTTGCTAGGATACAACAAGATTGCAGAGCCTATATTTAATTAAAGAAAGTAAACCTACTATAAGAAATAAATTTGTGAATTAAATCAGTAAAACAGCTATATAATATTACATACATATGAATCAGAAACAGAAATAGGAATAAAGTTTGCTAGGATGCAACAAGATTGCAGAGCCTATATTTAATTAAAGAAAGCAAACCTACTATAAGAAATAAATTTGTGAATTAAATCAGCAAAACAGCCATATAATATTACATACATATGAATCAGAAACAGAAATAGGAATAAAGTTTGTTAGGATTCAACAAGATTGCAGAGCCTATATTTAATTAAGGAAAGCGAACCTACTATAAGAAATAAATTTGTGAATTAAATCAGTAAAACAGCAAATGAAATGAGTTAATGTGTACAAATAAGAAATAAATTGTGAATAACATGTAACCTGATGAATAATAAACAAAAGAAAATTACTAGTACTCCAAAATTTAAACAAAGTAGAAAAATCAAAAACAGTGTACCATATTTATGCATTGCAAACAATTATTTTCAAATAACTTATTCAAGATGTAAGAAACTTAAAAATAATTAAATGTTACAAAATAATGAACAAATTAACTTCAAAAATAAGATCCATGATTGGCCATTTTTTAGGAATTACATTTGAAACAAATTAACTTTCTGCAGCAACCTGTAATATTATGAGCATTAATTCACTAAAAATTATCGCAATTTTTTCAATAGATAAGTATAGTTAAAGTCTGTTATAACAATAATTCACAACGGCAAATGGATTTCTTGCCATTGTAAGTTTGTTGCTATAAGCAAATACACACATTTAATATTAAAATATTGATATAAAAAGACTAAAAGATGAAACAAATGTAGATAGAAAAGAAAACATATCAATAACTTTTCCTTCCATTTCAAAAAAACTATTTTGATTTAAAATACATAACTAAAGTAGACTGCTTCTGTGGATAGATTATAAACTGGACTGAGACCTTTTGCAAGATACAAGAACATTTTTTTAAATAAAGTGCAATGCTATTTTTTATCATCGAATATGGATTTAGATAGTAAATTGCGAAGAATTGAAATAGGGAAGCATGGTATATATGTCGTTGACAAAAATCAATTGTTTATAAGTGTGTGGCATGATTCTTAAAAATAGCAGAAGTACTGTACTTTTATAAGTAGGGAAATAACTTCACAAGTGGTCGCTCATACATATTCACTTTATAAACATAAAGGATTAATATTGTTAAAAGGAAATATGGTGAAATGATGGTGTTTTTCACTTTCCTTCATCAATACTACATGTAAACTAAAATGGCTTCCATTTTGTCATTTGTGCTCACTTTAAGAGCATAAAAATATAAAGAAAAATTTAGATTTCTTCCCTAAAGAAAATTTGTTGTAGTAGTAGGAGGCTTTTGTAATTCATAATTCTTCACAAAAGGAATTGTCTGTATTTTTAATATTAGAATTTTAACATAATTGCAGGCTTTTTATAAAATGCCGTACTCCTAACATCAAGCTTTTATTACATTATGTTTAGACTACATGAAGGTATTCATTAATGACAAAGTTCTTTTTAAGAATATATCAATAGCTTACTTTACAGCATAAAAGATCATTTCTTTCCCAAAGACAAATACCCATTTAGAGAACAATTCAGTGCAACTATGACTCAATAGGTCCCTAAAATCAGAGTTCATAGTTATAAATAAGTAAAACATTAAATATTAAAAAAAAGTCATTTTTATTAACTGTAACAACAATTACCTTAAAAAGTCAACAAGATTTATAAAAATGTAATAATCTATCATATTATTAGGTTGAACACCATGAAGTGGATCACAAGATATTTCAGACTCATTATCATCTTCTTTTCCATAAAACTGCAAAAGTAAAAATAAATAAATATAAAATAAATCAATTAAAATGTATCCTAAGTTCAATCAACTTTTAATTATATTGACATGTAATAATAAATAATAAGGTATGTCTACATAGTAATGGGTTTTAAAAACATTTTAGAAATCAAGTGAAGAAGTTATATCTCATGTCTCACACAATTAAGCATATAAATGGCTTTTACAATGAAATGCACTAAAAACACATAGGGTAGTAAGTAGTAACAATTAAGCATCAAGTGTTCAAAAAATTATCACTACAAAATTTTTAAAACAAACTTAAAACACCTTGGAAACTATAAATTTCAAATGAATATACACTTTGGAACATCTAAAAAGTTTCTGAAATCTAAGACAAATTAGGTAAACCAACAAAGAATTTATGTTCTGGGTACCAAATTAGTTCTATAATGCAAAGAAATTTCTGCTTAACACAATTAGTTCTAGTGATAAGAATAACTTCTCAGATGAACAGATTTTAACAGATTTTGTGATTTGTAAAACACATAATTATAGCTCATGATTTAAGTTATGAAATTAAACACAGTACATAACTTTTTTTAAATTTATTTATTTTACTATTTTATTAACAGGTATTAGCCCTTGGCTGCCAAAATATAGAGATAACACTTTGAAAAATATAGCCACAGTATTCTAGGAGAGAAAAAAAACTTGGGGCACATAATAATTTCATTTTTCAGAAAATTTGTCTTATCCTTAGAACAAATTGCCTAGAATAAAACTTTCTTACATGCAACATAAAATTTATTCCCTGCCAAACCCTAAAAATAAAATAAAAGTTTAAAAACCCAAAACATGAAATAAAACAATGTATTCATAATTTTAAAACATTAAAAAAAATATTTAATAATCACATTTTCCATTATTGTTATTTCTTATCTCTGTAACAGTTATTGTTTAAGTCAGAATTTAAGCCATTGTAGTATATCAGGAATTGCATCTGGTACATTATGGGCTGTTGCAGAAGACTTAAGTAAACTACATTGGAAAAAAAAACTTCAAACTTCAAATTTGAATTGATCCAAAACATTCACGTCTTATCAATGTTTTTCTTAACATGTGCATAAACGAAAATCTCTTGACATTTTACAGTAAAAAGAAATGCACATCTTATAGTAAGATTTATCTTAGAATACATTAAAATTTAAAAGTTAGTAAACAATTTAAATCTCTAAATTTGAAACAAAAAAATACATTATTTAGAGTTTCCACGATTGAAAATATGAATAACAATTAAGAACTCAAGACATTGACTATTTTCTGAATACTAAGGAAACAATTAATTTTAACAAAATGTAAGAAGGATAAATTTCCATTACCTCAGGCTGTTGAAGTGATAAATCCAATTTATTTAAAAGATTTAGGCTGGACCTGATTATTTCATCATAAATGCATTCCATTAGGTACTGCCTTCTTTCTAAAGGTATGTTTAAAGAGTTTAGCTCCTAAAAAATAAAAAGAAATTAAAATGTTTTAATGAAAACCATATAATTCAACTTATATGATTATTATCTAAACTATATCTCAATTTTATTACTTTCATTTAAAAAAAAAAATAAGATAGTGATCACCAAATTCTGCCAAGTCTAAAAACAAGTTAATAAATAAATAAGAAACTATAAAATTGCATTTCATGATATATATTTTATATTAACACTGTTTTGGGTATAGAAACATTTATAAAACTTTAAAACTTATCAAAATAATCCTAAATGTTTCTCCTTAAATTAATGTTAATTACTAATGCTTATTCTTTTAATAATATTTTTAATCCTACATGCTCAGTTATATAAAAATATGCAGTAGTTTTAATGGATTCATTTAAATAGAAACATAAAAAAATTGAAAGTAGTAGAAATTTGGTTATTTAAAAAATAGAGTCAAAGCATTTTCATTTAAACTAGATCCCATAGAATTTTATAAATAACAAAAAAAGCATTCTTTAATCCTTTGATTAAATTAAGGAAGATTTCAATTTCTATGATATACAGAGACATGCTTTCATTCACTTCAAAATGGGGGAAATGAAAAATTTATGCGGCTTACTAAAACATATGTTAGAGAAGAAACACCATGGTAAATTCTTATTAAGAGTTTAATTTAAAGTAATAAAGAAACATAAAATACATAATATATGATGAAACAGAGTTAAAAAGTTGCTTTATTCAAACAAATTCAATTATTTTAATTTTATTTCGAATCAAAATATGCAGATGATGATTGTTCGTAAACAAGCTCAAGAGTTTAATATACACAGTAGAAAAACTATATGAACTAAAATAGAGAAATATGAAGCAAGCAACAGCGAACAAATTCTGAAATCCAAGATTTCTCTAAATCTTTCTCTTATTAAAATTCAATTTATAAACGGCTTTTGTTCAAAGAAAGATCGAAATTTGAACTGTTATTAAAAATTGTAACTAAAAAAAAAGTAGATCAGGTACAAGTAAAAAAGAATATAGAGGTCGACAAAGAATATAGAGATGAAAAGAAATAAAGCACAAGAGAATCAATTTTTTCTCCATATTTATATGAAAATCTAATAGTATGGTACTTCCAAGAAATTAAACACAGATTTGGAAGATGAATTGTTGTTGTCCATGTATTTCCATGTTGTCCATGCATGAACATTTGTCAATGATATGCAATTATTATGACACTTGTATTACAGTTACAGTTAGAACTTTGAACATCTGCTTTAAAACTTTTTTCAAAGAAAAATTTCTAAATTTGTCTTTGTGGATTAAATTATAAATATTTGTAACCTGTCCCACATCTTTCAGCCTTTGGCTAAAGGAAAATTTAGGACTTGAATTCTTTTATAACATTTGCTATCATGTTCCTGATCTACAAGTTAGTCTTTAAAAAACAGCTCAGAATAACCCTACGTATTGTGACAATGATAAATAAAAATAACTTAAATTACTTTGAAACGGACAACATTTAGCATGTCTCTCCATAAAGTCAGGTAATCTTTATAGGTTATAATTTTAGATGCAGAAATGAAATTGTCATTCTTTTGATTATCTTCTTTTCCAGTAGTGCTGTCTTTCATAGCCTCTGCCTCAACAACAACAGGGTGTGAACATGTTTTTACAATACCTTGATACACTAAAATAAAAAGTAATGATTTTAGAGTTAGTTAATATATATGATAAAACTATGACAAACTTCAAATTTCTTTCTTTCTTTTTCACAAATCAAAATAGTGAAAGACTTGAAGCCATAGACTGAATTTGTCATAAATTGCTTTAATTTTTATTTTAGTTTAAAAAAAATATTTAATAATATAAAAAAGATGGAAAATCAACCTTTTTATACATCAAGCTATGGAATTGAAAAAAGTAAACCAAACATAAATCATTCCAGTTTATGATACTATAGCTGTAGATTAAACACATCTAAAATAACATATTTTACTTTGATTATATTGCCATTGTTGTCATAAGATTTCAGTTTTAAAAAATTTTATTTTTTAATTTTCAAATCATTTTAAAATAAAACTAATTAAATACACTTATCCTTTTACTTAGTATCATATTCAAAAGTTTCATAAGAATATTAATTGTTTAAAATAATATGGTAAATGGGAGAAAAAAAACACAGAATGAAAAACAAGACTTTTAACTTAAGAACATTTCTTTCAGAAAGAGATTGAGTATCCCATAGTAAAATCCGGATACAAAATCCGGCTATTTACATATAAGGCTACAGAAATTTTACACCAGAACTGTTTAACTCCATACATTAGAATCTTACCTATCTGTGATAAAAATCCTATGAACATATCTCGTTTAGGCAAAACAGCTAGAAACATTCTAATAATAGCTTTAGATACAATAAAGTTATATGCAGTAGGAACTTTTGGAAACTTATCAATTTGAAATACAACTAACTTTTCCAGTGAAATCAGGATATTATCTGTCATCTGAAAAAAAAAACACATTTTAAATTGGCAGAAAATGCCTAGAATAATTTATAATTTTACTTCGTATTAGGTGTAAACAAATGATAGAGATCTGATTTATTTTAATGATAATTACCTTTTGAAATAATAATTATCATTTTTAATTTATATTGTAGTTATAATATATAGTATGGTATTAATTTAAAGTGAAGAATACTCACACATTCTGTAACAGACACAATGGAAGATAATGCTTCAATATAGTAATTCAGACCTACTATTTTATCATCAATATCTTTCCCACCACTAAAAATAAACCAAAATAAATTATTATACTATAGTTTAGGAAGTTACTCATACATAAAAATGTATGATAGTAATTAGTAATAAATTAAAATGTTTCATCTTCACAGGGATATGTTAAAGAAATTTGAAAATTTGAATTAACACACATCATATCTGTCCACATGATGAAAATTTGTCAATTCACAGTCAATCACTAGTAGAAAAATAGAGAAAATTTATCACTTATTAACTGAAATAAGAAATGATCTTAACATGTGGGCATTGGAAAATGAGGGTGCAATTAATGCTGGATTTAACTGTATAAAGCTGTATTTTTTCCTTACAAGTTTGACAGAAATTTCTGTAGCTACTAAACTAACTGTTAAATAAGTTAACAGCATTCTAGTCAAACAAGAGCAGTTTTCTTCTATGGCCTACTATAAATTTGGGCTGTACTTTTCCGCTCATTTTGCTTTATTTCGAAAATCATATGCAGTTCATACCGTGATAAATTATACATAAACTTTTAAAGCTAATCCAAACCCCTAAAAATGTATTTTAGTAATCAGTTAAGGAAAGTAAAATAAAATTGGTGTTAAAAGTGCATTTTATTAAAATAAACTTTAAAAGTGTCAGATAAAGTATTTATTTCACCTAAAAAATTCATGTTCACTTTTTTGGATAACATTCTGCAACATTTTCTTCACTTGAACCTCACTCAGACATAATTTGCAAGGCTAAAACAGAAATAAATGACAATGCTTAAAAAACACACAAAAAAAGTAGCAGCTTCACAATATTAACAGTAAAAAATAATGAAATGGCGTTATAAACTTATCATGATGCAAAATAAAAATAAAATAAAGATTCTAGTTATTAAAAATAAAGCAGATAAAGAGAGTACCTGAATGAATCAAATACCTGATACTTACAATATTACAGCATATTTACGGGAATAAATAAAATCCCTTTCCAAAAGAACATTTAAGGTAATATCTATTTTTTATAAATCCATGAAAACTAAAACATAATAGTGCTCATACAAGTTTTATTACATTGTGGTTCATGCTAAGTCAGTTACTAGCTGCCAAACCGACAAAAGAAATATCAACTTCTTCCTTATAAAATAATGTGAAGGAATAAGCCAGTAAGAATCAAAATTCACTTACACCAGCAAAGAGACCATATCCCATCACAGCTATCTGCAACTCCTTAGAAGTAGTACTCTTGTCCAGAAAAATATCCCGAAAGCAATTCATAAAATACTGTAATTATATAATATATTTGTAATTTAAAATATATTTTTGAATTCCTCCATTTAAATAAATGATCGCTAAAATAATAATAATAACCTTGAAGATATTAGAGCAAACGTCCTTTCTTTCATCATATTGAGACATCATCATTTCAGATGTCTAAAAAAGAATCAACTATATTACAAAGTACTTCAAAAAATAAAATAATAATACAAATGAACTGAAGTGAAAGAAAACATCACATGCAGTCATACGTCAATTTCACCCTAAGTTTCAGAAATTCTTTTAATATATTGATACCTTTGTTTTGAATTATTTTTTTCAGTTCTTACCTTGACAACTCAAAACTTCTCTACAATTCTGTATCATTCAGTTGCCCTAAATCCTGAAATTTTTTCTACATGTTGAAGGAAAAATTAGCTTTTCATATTTCCTAATTGCTGAAATATAAGCGAAAACCTTGCTTTGAAGAACTTTCTTCCGCTCTTCTCATGCTAACTTGAATTTTTTTCCCGGATCCTTGTTTACAATNTTTATTACATTGTGGTTCATGCTAAGTCAGTTACTAGCTGCCAAACCGACAAAAGAAATATCAACTTCTTCCTTATAAAATAATGTGAAGGAATAAGCCAGTAAGAATCAAAATTCACTTACACCAGCAAAGAGACCATATCCCATCACAGCTATCTGCAACTCCTTAGAAGTAGTACTCTTGTCCAGAAAAATATCCCGAAAGCAATTCATAAAATACTGTAATTATATAATATATTTACAATTTAAAATATATATTTATAATTTAAAATATATTTTAATTCCTTCAGTTAAATAAATGATCGTTAAAATAATAATAACCTTGAAGATATTAGCACAAACGTCCTTTCTTTCATCATATTGGGACATCATCATTTCAGATATCTAAAAAAGAATAAACTATATTATAAAGTACTTCAAAAAATAAAAATACAAATAAACTGAAGTAAAAGAATATATATCACATGCAGCCAAACGTCAATTTCACCCTGAGTTTCAGAAATTCTATTAATATATTAATACCTTTGTTTTTAAATTTTTTTTTCAGTTCTTACCTTGACAACTCAAAACTTCTCTACACTTCTGTATCATCATTTAGTTGCCCTGAATCCAGAAATTTTTTCTACATGTTGAAGGAAAAATTAGCTTTTTATATTTCCTAATTGCTGAAATATGAGATAAAACCTTGCTTTGAAGAATTTTCTTCTGCTCTTCTCATATTAACTTGAATTTTTCTCCCGCATCCTTGCTTACAATTTGTTTCTGTATCATCATTCCAGAATTTTTTTATATTGGTCACAGTTGAAGATTGTCTTCTCATAATACAGAAATAAGTTATTTTATTATTTTTCACAAATTATACAAAGGAATAGTCAAAGGCAAAGAAAAAATTGTTGAGAAGCAAATTGAAATGCATAAAAAAAAAACAGAATACAAATTCTAGGCAACCATTTCAAGTGATCTTATACAGCCAACACTCTTTGATACGATTTTCTATTACAATGATCTCTCCATTATAATGATACATAAAGTACCATTTTTTATTCCATAGACACGTTGTTATACTCCACACAGTTCAGGCATGTCTCCACACAAATCAAAACAAAATACCTCCATTGACAATGAGAAATATCGACTGAAGGAAGGAAATAAGTTCAAGCCATTATTTTCTTGCCATGTTACCATTTAAATCTGAAACATCACAAATTCCCTTCGAATGAAGGAAGATTCGGCCTACTGATCTGTCATAGACTTTTATACTAAGTAGTCAAGGGTAGTGATTTTTTTAATATGAGTAATGTGTACAGTATTTTTTATGAATTATGATGATTTATTAATCTCACATTATAAAGTAAACTTTTATTTTGACAAAGAGATCATCACTCTGAGTATTGACTGAATTATTAATTAAGGTCAAATTTAAGAACTAATTATTAAGGTATAAATTATTTTAACACAATGAATTGATTAATACATTGATTTTAACATACCCAAACTCAGCAAATACACTCAGCTTGCAATGCCAATGATCTTGTGGTTAATAAACATTATTAAACATCAGAAAATGTTATAAATATAACAGCATCAAAAAAATTTAAAAGTTTTTATATAATATATAACACCTTTATATATTATTTTTATATAATTTATATATACATAATATGATAACTCACAACTTTCAGTACAGCTACAACAGCTTCTTTTCCCAGTTTTTGCATCTCTCTGTTATGATGTTTCACCCATTGTAATAAAACTTCATATAAATCAATGCAATCTTCAAAAATAAAATCATTAAATTGAATAGCATGAGCTGCTAACAACTGAAGACCAGCTAAAAGAAAAACCACACATTAATGAAGTAAAAAAAAAGAAAGCTTAAGTGAAGCTATTTCATATATTAGATATTGGTAAAAAATAAAAAAGAAATTTTACTTTTTTGTTTAGGACAAATTATTTTCTATGGTTGCTCTTTCTTAAAAATTTATAGAAAATGAAGTGTTAGATAAATCACTATAATATTATATGTAATAAAGCTTTATCACATTTAATTCCAGAAATCTCTAACATTTAAGCCAACAGGGTATAAAATTCTGTAATAAAAAATATTCTTTTGCCTGACAACAAAATTGCCTCAAATTTGAAATCCACCCTATCATAAACATTTTAAAGATAAGCAGTAATTTTTACAAATTTTAAAATATTAATATAGTCAAATTTCAAAATATATAGAATAGCATTGTAACCCTTATAGCAATACCAACATTGCAACCACTATGCACATGGTAAGAAATTTTTGAAAAACTCCCAAAATACTGGATAATTTTCATAAATACCCACCCTTAACTTTTATCATCATAAGATAAAAATAAAATAAAGCATGCAAGTAAAACCTAATTCGGCACTGCTCAGCTGCAAAGAAGTTACTTTCATTTAAGATTCTTTAAAAAATACAATACACGTCCAAAATATTATTATTGGAAAATAAATTAATCATATGAAATTTCTAACATTACTTGCTTTATAAGTTATAATCTCAAAACCATTAGAAATATTCATGCTATGAATAATAAAAAATAAATAGTTTTATAGAAACTTTTTCAACAAGAAGTTATTATAACTTTTAAGCTTTCTAGAAAATATTCCTATTGCAACAAAATTTTATACTTGTATTTTGAAAATTGAGGAAATTAAAACATTGATGTATCCAAGAGATTTCGCTGAGAGAAATTTCCAAAGTTGAAAATCCAGTTTTCTTTTCACATTAGTTCCTCAGTTTTAAAGCATTATTAATTAAATGTATTTATATTTATGAAAATTATCATTAAGTTGTATAAAAGAAACTGGAAACTAGTAAATTACAATTAACTAGTTTCCAGTTTTTTTATACAACTTAAAACCTTAACTTGTTAATCAATGTAACTCTTTCCTGAATAGGACCTTAATCCAAATTTTCAAACAATTGGCAACGTCACAGTGAGAGAAAAATGCATGCGTAAATTCTTGTAATATTTGTAGATATGAATATAAATGCATGAGACGGTTTTTTTTCACTTGTCTTTGATGTGTGTGATTTAAATTTTGTAGAACATTTATTTAACAGAATTAAAAAATTTCTTTGAATTGTTGATACTCAAAGTTGAGATAAATTGAAAAAAAATTATGCAATTTGCATAATTTATTAGAAATAGCTCTCTCTCTCCATCTCCTTATAAAATTATTAACTTTTAAAAAAATGCCATACAAAGCAATTAATCTACATATAACAGAAGCAAATGGGGAAAAAATGAACTCTGAGAATATACACAGTGAACTCTGAGACTATACAAGAATATACACGTTCTGCATTTTTGCTTCAACACGGGTGCTGCCAAAATTAAAGTAATGTTAATTATTTTAAATATTTCTTTTTTGTTGTTGTTGTTAATTTATGTCACACTAGAGCTGCACAATAGACTATTGGCGACGGTCTGGGAAACATCCCGGAGGATGATCCGAAGACATGCCATCACAATTTTGATCCTCTGCGGAGGGGATGGCACCCCCGCTTCGGTAGCCCGACGACCTGCGCGCGAAGTCGAGCACTTTACGGTAGCACAGTTTAACGAGGACCAATACCGCACACCCTCGGTCCCTACGCAGACTGATCCAAGTGGTCACCCACCCGCACACTGACCATAGCCAGTGATGCTTGACTTCGGTGATCTGCTGGGAGCCGTGTCTCAACGATCAATCCACTGCAGGACTTTTAATATTTTGAGTATCGTTGATTTAAAAGTAGTATCACTGCCATGTACAAAATATTAAAAATGAGTATAACTTTAATTAAATACCTCTTGTTATAGCTGATGACTTTGAAGAAAATTTCTCAGTGTTTGAAATAAGCTTTCGTGCGGTGTCAAAAATAAAATAAGAGTTTTCAGTGTCTGAAAGAAAAAAAAATTCATTTAAATACATTTTTAAAGCAATGAATTCATAGATTTTAAAAAAGTTAATCCAGAATATTAATTTTTAAAAAAGGTTAGAACAAAATATGGATAAATAAATACATTAAATCTCATAAAAATGAGGCAATATTTTTCTCCGGCCAAAAAAAGAATATTTTTCAAAGTGATGTTGCAATACCTAGTTTCGTATAATCAGGCTTCATAAATGTCATAGTATTCTCTATACAAATAAAAACAAAATATTTCATTCAAACTACATTTTTTAAAAACTCTATTCAAATTACATTTTCTAAAAGTAGACAGACTAAAAATTAATAAAGCTTTAATGCCTAAAGACATGCAATTAAGAAAATGTTTAAATTACATAATCTCTTATACAAGTTTTACAATTTACAAGAAAATATTAATATCTTATACTAAAAATTTTATTATTATTAATACATTTTTACTGACTAGCTTTCGTATTTATAATAATGAAACCTTGCAATCAAAATTTTGAAAACTTCCAACTAGCTATCAATCTTTACATGAGCTCTGTGCTTAATTACAATATATAAGTTTCAATAGTTTCAAGCCCGATAAAAACGGTATTTATTGTGATATTATCATCAAAGGGAACTGACAATCAAAATTTTGATTGCTTCATGAAAATACATGTTTCAATTATTTTCTTACAGTGACAATTTTTTCCTGTTTTCTACTGCTTTACACGCAAAATTAATCATAATATTATCCCCAAAAGGAATTTGGCATCACATAAAATTCCAACGAATTTACAACTAGCTAGAATACTAAAATTTTAACTAAAGGTTTGTGCTGAATGAGATAGTAAACTTTTTCTCCTCCTGGCGACTAAAAACAGAATCATCATATCTCCAAACAGAAATTATTTTCAACATAAATTTAAACTAAAAGTATCAGTTTTTTAATGTAGTTTTAACTCTGATGACATTACAAGTTTTAAGGGTTTTTTGATCACTACAAACAGAAATTATCACCTTTTTATGGCTAAATGAAACTTAACTCAGACCAACTAAGAGTTTCATAGTACAACACACACGCATGCTTTACTACAATGCAAGTTAAAATCCTTTACTTACCACTACCAGCAGTATTTATTATTTTCAGCCTTTATAGGTGTTCTATGTGTAAACCTTTGGTCACACAGCTCAGCACTCATCAAACATTAGTTAAATTCCTGCCAGACTCCATTCAACCCAGTACTACAGTATTGACTACATATGGGACTTTTTATTGTAAAGGCTATGAGAAAGACATTGTTTCTTTACTCCTTTTGCTGGATTAAACAAAACTGCATATAAGGGTCACCGATCTGTCAATACCATTGATAATTACTTGTTAAATAAGAGCCTGGCAAAAACTGAACTACTTCATTAATGTGATCAAGAGCTCAAACATAGAACACCTGTAAGAGTTGTATACAAAACTTGATTTGTTAATACAAGGTTTGTTTTTGTAGCATTCATTTTTTGCTTATTTATTTAACTGTAGTAGGGAATTAAGAATAATCCTGCACAAATGGCAGTTTGCTTGTCTCTATAAATCATACCTTAATAATTCAGATGGCAAGGTCTGACATTAAATTTTATAAGTAAATATGTCGAACAATAAAAACATGAATATATTATGAAAAAGAGTGTATTCTAAAATTTAAAAATCTGTAGAATAAAAAAACTTTACTGACAGTTGGTATTTAACCCCAAAGTTTATTTTCATACAAAATAACTTTGAGAATTAAAATATGCAAAGCTTGAAACATACCTTCAGAACACATAACAGAAAAATTATAAAGATACTCCTTCAATCCCAACAGACAACCAGCAACTGTGCTAACATTAAAAGCTTTTACTTTTGCACTCATCTAAAATAAATCGAAATATTAGCGATAAATTTTTAATAAGACAAAGCAAGAGTTTTTAAATAGATTCATTAAATAATTATACACTAACTTGAGATTTAAGCTCTTGTAAAAACATAGACAAAACTCTTTCTTGATAAGGAATAAAATCTTCAGGATAATAGTGAGCAATGATTCCTATGAGGCATAAAACTTCTTCCTTAGCTAGAGAGGGAAAAAATTAATTAATGAGGTTCAAAAGCATTACATTGCAAACATATAAATTTTAACTTGTTCTACATCAAACTTTTTTATATGTTATACTACAACTCAAATTTAAAAAAAAAAAATAATATACAATTTTTAAATTCTTACACTAATAAAAAATAAAGTTCTGTCAATACAAAGAAAAATATATTATAAGTTTGAACTTTTTAGTATGTTACTGATATTTTTACTGTGTTGTTAATTTGTTCGAATATACCTCAAATCTTAAACAAATTTGTTTTATTTTACTGCTCCTAAAATAATACACAAGTAAAAAATAAAGTTCAGCAGTAAAAATGGAAAATGTATCATAAGCTTGGGCTTATTTATATGTTACTAATTTTGCTACTTTTTTTAATGTCATAATACAACTAAAAAACTTACACAAATTTGTTTTATAACACAGTTTAACTATAATTAACGCATGAACAATAAAGTTCTATCAGTAGATATAGAAATGGTAACATAATTTAGAACTTTTTAATCAAAATATTTATGTTCCAAATCGAATTTAACAGTCAAAACTGTCTAAGAGGAAAAAAATTGAACAATATTCGGAAAAATTTTAGATTAAATTTCATTGTTTCTTTTGTTTTTAACCTCTAATAAAGCATAAAAGTTGCTGGTAATTGCAAGAGTCTTTTTCCAAATTTCAGATAGATCATAAAATGACCATAGATCAAACTAAAGAAACTTTACAAAATAGAAACAATAATTAATATAATTAGTTGATATATAAAATAAACCATTTTACAAAATACAAACACCACATATGTGTATTCATTTTTTAATGATTTTTGGGTGACTTTGGAATTTCATGTCAAAACGTGGAGCAATGCAGCAGCATGAAATGATGCTACATGTATAATTTTTACTTTTAACTAACTTTAAAAAGAATAGAAAAAATTACAGAACACAAAATATAACAAAATAAAAAATTTTAGAATTAAATAAAAAATTTTACAATTAATAAAAAATATATATATATTAAATTATTAGATCTTTTATAGGTAGGAATCAGGATACTTTTTTCTGTTCTTCCAGTATATCCTTGTTTACAACCATCACAAAATATTACATATTTTTACATTTAACAGTAATTTACATGTTGATTTAACAATAATTTAACCCCAGATTATACCTGCAGTGCACTTGTCCTAGATTTGCTCAAACAGCTTTGTCAAGACTTACGACCGGCAAAATAAAGTGTTTGACCTTCAGAGTGAAAGAAAAGACTTATGCCTATTGTCATTGCTCGGCCCATCACTTCTCCATCTCATCTTTTGGATTGCATTGGTGCCTCTGTGAAGCAACTGATGAGTGATGGAGAGACTGTCTATGACTTGCTGATGCGACATGATCTTCTGAACTTGGTCTAGGGCTCTAGACCAAGGGGATAAGCAACAACAACAACAATAATTTAAGCAAAGTCTCAAGTTTTCATGGTCACCAAGTATTACATTATTTAAACACAATTTTTATATTTCTTCTTCTTGAGCACTGTGTCAAGGCTTGACCAAGGCTGTCTCTCCACCAGACAATATTAGGCCATATTATACCATATATGTATTATGCCCATATATGTTAAGCACATGTTTTCCACATAGGAGTAATATTTTATTTCATATTACTCCTATCTGCTTTAATGCTTTTTCAACATCCTCCAGCCCCCAAAAGAGTGTACATTCTTAATAAGGTTTTTATCTTTACTGAATATACATCATCATATCTATTTAAGTGATCTAACTATCTAATGTGAGATAATTATACTATTTTGACATTGTTAGGTATACTTTATTATGTAAGACATTTTACATATTTTATTGGATCAAATATTTTAATATTTTTCCCTTACTCATTAACAGGTTCTCTTCAACTTTATGAAGCATCCAGTATTTATTTCGTAAAGTTCGGCAGATCAAGCAAAATTCTTTTGTTTTCTTAAATTCTGATATAAGTTAGTTTCTAAAGCCATTATAGAAACATTTATTGGACGGAGATAATTTATTTATTCTTATTTCAATTCTTATGTCATTACTCTTTAATATCATTGTGCACACATATTTAAAGTGAATAACAGTTTTAAAAGTATAGTTATTAATTTTCAAAGGATTTATAATAGCAGTTTAGTATTATAATAGTTTTATTTGATTAAATCATAAATTTAGTTTCACTTCTATTATTGGTTAAATCTATCATCTTAGCTGCTTTCTAAAGCAACAAAAACATTAAAAAAACAAAGACATTAGCAACAGCTTGTTTAGTTTGCCCAATGATATCAATACTATCCTCAAAATAAAGAAGTAGGATTTTTTCACCTGAATAATTGAGCTTATGCATAATTAAGGTTCTCATAATTTTTATACTATTGTTATTTGAAGTAATAAGGGAATAAAAAAAATTACAATACATATTAAAAGTATTTAAAAGAAAAAAGGAGGATACCTTTAGGAGACAATTTTGCCCCCGTAGTGAGTTGAAAAAACAAATCTTCAATAAGAGACTTTACATCAATTCTCTTTTCTCCATTATAACCATGACAAGTTTCTAAAATCTACAAAATTTTCAAAAATTAAAAAGCTTAAAAAGTGATTAAAAAAAACATATATGATACAAAATTAAATTAATTATTTTTCTTTTTTAGTATTTGATGAAAAAGAGGGTATAAAGTTTTATGAGTTTTCTATCTTAAATACATAAACATAAAATAAAATTGTTACTTAAAAGCATATTAACCATCCAACAGACCAGTGAAAAGAGTTGCACTTAGATATTCTAAAAATTTAATACTTGCAGTAAAAATTTTTAACATTAGATTAATCTATTTACTGAGTTCAATTTTAAAAATATTTTTTTTTAAATGCAAAAGATAATATACAAAATCTGTAAGTTTATTCTAATATAAATATGATTTCCAGCCACACAAAATTAAAACCAATTATAGATAAAACATAGTAAACTCTTCACTATCGGAGGAATCAAATGTTCAGACAATACAGTTGGATAATTTTGCGGTTAATCCACAAAATGCCCATGTATATGTTTTACAGTTTTTGGAACAACTCTTCACTGATTATAATTCGTGTTTTTAACTACAATACTAATAAAAAAAATAAGCAAACTCATTTCATCCAATTTAAATCTTTACCTCAAATACAATTTCACATCAAAAAATTTTTGTATGACAGAATCATGGAGATAATATATATTGATACAGAATAGATTATGAGCAAATAAACAGTACAGTTTAATAAGAATTTATTATAGCATTTGACATCACAATCTTTCAAAACAATCAGAACTTGAATAAACCCAAAAGCGGAAAATCTACCGTGGATAAACTCAGAATGAATAATTAGGAGTTTACTATCCGTGAAATATAATAGTTTTCTTGGATCTACAATCATGTAACTTTACATAAAAGATACAAATTACCCATTTTGTTAAGAAATTAATCTTGGGTAATTTCTTTAAAGAAACGTATTCTGTTTCTTTTGCTGAGCACACACAACATGAGCCATATAAATGATGTATTTTTCATTAACAAAATAGCAGGTTATCAATAATTTTCATATCCAGTTACGATATTTCAATTCTTTATTCTTTAAAAGAAATTGGCGTACAAAATTCAAATAGTTGTCTGGGTGATTTAGATCCCAATAATAAAATGGTTATTTATGTATATTATACACATTTTGCAAGCTGTTCTCTGGATCTCACCCTGAAATTTAATTATTATCCATCAGCCTATGTGGAAATATTTTATAAAGCATACTGCCAAGGAAAATCAAGATCATTACCAATAATTTAAAAAGGAAAAATTAATTTCAAAACTAAGAAAGCAGACCTTCTATAATTATCAAGTATTTTTATTAATGTTAATTAAAAAGCAAAAAAAGAAGAAGAAAATACATACAAACATAAAAAATGAAAGATTAATTTTTAACAAACTGTTTTCAAACTATAAATACATAATGTAACGAAACTAATTTTACCTTTGATATTGTTATCATGCTAGCCTTTTTCACTTCTGCTGTAGCATCACGTTGTTTCATATACTTTTTGCAGACTTCCTACCATTTAAAAAAAATAATAATAATGTTATAATTCTAAATCTATCAAATAATATACTTTCACAAAGATTTACTTTTTGGTAAGTAAAATACTAATAAAAAGCATAAATTAATAAATGATGCACGAGTTTAAAACTAAGCAAATAAAAGTCAATAAATAAATTTATCGAAACACATTTTTTTCATAAGTTATGTGTAACCTGAATGAATTAATTTAAATATATTTGTAAGTTAAATAAGAAATTTCAGTTTTATTTCAATTACAGCAATACTTTGATTAAACTACGCATTGGCACAAAACCTTATATGGATTACATAGCTAACATCATTTCTTAATCTTCTTTCATCAACAAACTCATTATTTAAATTCTTTTCTTTTCAACAGTGTAATATATTTAAATTTAATACCAAAAACTAACATCATTTTTAATAGTATAAGAGAAATATAAACTTAATTCTTCTCTCATACAATTTCCCTAGATAACAGAACTCTTTCATTATGTCTTTAAATAACTCATTTGCATAGATCGGCATCTAATTATGAATCGTAAGCTTATCTCATTGATTTTTGAAATTAATTTCATTCAATTAATCAGGAAAAAGCCTTATGGAGGTTGATAAACCTCCATAAGGCTTTTTCCTGATTCCACATGCACTGCAATATTTTACAAAACTATCACACATAACATAAAACATTTACTTTTAGCTAAATTACACTAGTAAGAATGAAAGGACGGATTAGAACAACAGAAATTACAATAGTATCTTAATTATTGTAATTTCTTTTACAGAACCAAAGCAACTGAATAGCAAAACATTTATTTGATATTTACATAAAATGATCTGTCTCATGTATAGTCATGGAGTACAAAAAGTGTATTTTATTTTGAAAACTTGGTGTATTATCATAGCATACTATTGAAATTTAAAAGAAAATAACTATATGAGCACCTGAAAAACACTTTGGAATCAACTTTGGTTAACAAAAGGATTAGAATGAAGGAGGTTACGGTTCTACAGTAATTTGTAAAACCTTAATTGACATGAATCATAGAAATAGATGCAAGAATTAATGACCAATTTTTACTAAGGTCCCTAATTAAGAATGTATAATGTTGCTTTTATGGGACATTCTGCTACTTTTTTGCAAACAATGTAAAATTCTAATGTTAATACCTTTTCAAAGCTCAACTTTTTTTTACATAAAAATCAAGTTAGTGCACAGTTTGATCATATTGTATACAGATTTAACATATATTTATATTTTAAACTGCAGTTCATCAGACATGTGTCGTAAAAGTTATTCAACACTTAGAATAACAATTTTTATTCTTCCTTCAACATGAAATTAATTTTTTTCAGAATTATTCACACATCAGGCTTTTCTTGGTAATCAAGAAAGTTCAATAGATCACTTAAAATTTACTATGTGTTCGAAGACTTCTTTAGAAACATACTTACTTACTCTGTGTAAGGCAAATAGAGTGTCGCCACATAGACAGTTTTGCTTTTAAATTATAGTTTCAATCAAGACAAATAATTATATAATAAAATTTTTAAAAAAAAATTTAAATATTAAAAATTTTATTCTTTAATTTTTAAAAAATTTTTTTAAAAAAATAGCTTTAAAATTTTTTTTAGTTATTAAAACAAAATTTAGATATTTTTTCCTCATTAAATTATTGAAATCTTACATAAATTAGAATAGTTTCCTTTAATTTGGGTAAAAGTTCAAAAAAGTCTCTGCTCTTAAAACGGTTAATAACATGAACATTTTATTCAAATCAACATTTTATTATATTTTAAACTGCAGTTCATCAGACATGTGACGTAAAAGTTATTCAACACTTAGAATAACAATTTTTATTCTTTCTTCAACATGAAATTAATTTTTTTCAGAATTATTCACACATCAGGCTTTTCTAGGTAATCAAGAAAGTTCAGTAGATTACTTAAAATTTACTATGTGTTCGAAGACTTCTTTAGAAACATACTTACTTACTCTGTGTAAGGCAAATAGAGTGTCGCCACATAGACAGTTTTGCTTTTAAATTATAGTTTCAATCAAGACAAATAATTATATAATAAAATTTTTAAAAAAAAATTTAAATATTAAAAATTTTATTCTTTAATTTTTAAAAAATTTTTTTAAAAAAATAGCTTTAAAATTTTTTTTAGTTATTAAAACAAAATTTAGATATTTTTTCCCCATTAAATTATTGAAATCTTACATAAATTAGAATAGTTTCCTTTAATGTGGGTAAAAGTTCAAAAAAGTTTCTGCTCTTAAAACGGTTAATAACATGAACATTTTATTCAAATCAAATACATTTTCAAAATAATTTACTTTGGTGAACACATTTTACAAATAAATAAGTAATAATAAGCTTTTATCAATCCTTTATCATAATGAGAACTCACCAAAATATCAAATCCATATTCTCCTATCATGGAACCACTGCTTTCAATGATATCATTCAGCAACTTAAAACAATTCAATTTGACATTTCTCAGCTATTAAAAAAAAAAAAAAAAACATAGATTTTTAATATAGTAGCATTAAAATTAAAAATAGAATTATTAAGTACTAATATTTAAGAAATTATTGTTATTTTTTATTAAAAATAATAATTATCTTTATTTAAAAATTCACTTACTTTATAGTCATTATTTAAATCATTAAAAACAGAAGAAATGTTTTATAGAAACATATCTTTCAAATTAAAATGAAAAAATGAGCTAAAACAATCTAAATACCTGGGAAAAGTTGAAAAATAAAACATTTCCAATTAATTATAAAATATAAAATAGAGTAATATCTAAAAAAAAGTTTTCCTGTTTACTTTTATAATTTATCTGTTTGTTATAATACAACCTGCGTTAGAAAATGATAGTAATTTACAACTGCAATCTGTTTTGAAATTCACTCATCAGCTTTAAATTTCCCTTCTCAATAAATAATAACAAAGATGAAAAAAATTATCTAAAAAAAACAACTTTTTTGAATAGCCACTGGTACTAGTTCTGAGTACTTAGACTGATTTTTTAACATGTTATATTCAAACACTACTTTAACTGCAAACTAATTACAATTGCAAGATTTTTCTTTCTAATGCATTGCTCACACAGCAGGACTACCCAAGCTTTTTAACCAAAGCAATGAAACATTATTAAATACAGATCCCTGCAACTTTTAATTATTTCTCAAGTTTAATAACATTAATCAGCCTATTACATACTAATTAGGCTGATGGAGTAAAATATCAGTATGAAAATAAGCATGTAAGGTAGGTAGTTGAAATACTCAATTGTATCCACAAAACTATAATACCTTTAAATAATAAAATTTTACCTCTTTCACTATCAATAGGTTTCTTAAAAGACTAAGAATTCCATCATTGCAGAAAATTCGTGCATTACCAATTTCTAAAATAGCAAAACATGCATACATTAATACACATAACTTTTAAAAAAAACTATTATAGCTACACATTAAAATTATTTTCAAGATTGTGATGAATTAAAAAATTTATTGTTTATCAGCTGTATCTCATAACACTTCACTTTGTAATATTTGAAAATTTAGCAAAACACATGGATAAAAACTCATCATTATTAATTAGAAAGGTTAAATGCATAGCACAATGATCACAATATCAAAATAAAAATTATCATTTAAGATCATATTACATTAGTTTCTAAACAAATAACGAAAATCATTATCTAAGGAATAGAAAAACAGACATATCAAATTGATAAAACTTTTAAAGGTAACTTAATTTTTTAAAAAAAAGGAATAATTTGAAATAATAAATAGTGTCTTTGCTTCTCTTATGACTTAAAAATTTATTGTATACACTTGTCCTATAAGCTTGCACAACACTTGTTAAAAATATTTTTTTTTCATAACGATAACATTGTGTATTATTAAAAATTGAGCTACATGATTTTTTCCTTCAATTACATGAAAGCTAACAGGGAAATTTCCGTATCATGACCTATGTCAGAATAATCACCAAGTCTTGGCAACTTCCGGGCAGAGGTTCACGCAACACTAAAAAAAACACCACAAAAAGGGATGAACTTGAAGGGTAGGTAAAACTCGTGGGGAGATTTCAGTATCGTGTTCTGTGGCAGAATAATCGCCAAGTCTTGGCAACTTGCGGGCAGTGGCCCCAGAGAAACTAAAAAAAAACATCACAGAAAGGGACCGACCCAACTCAAAGGGTATAATTCATAGCTATCCCCAAGCAAACAAATACATATTTCTTAAAAAAAAAAATTGGAAGTTTAAAATCTATTTGGTATCTTGTTGACAGTAATAAGGGCGACAGATCACAATATGAAAATATCTTCTAACTCGTAGTCACCCGAGGCAAATCTCACAAATTTTTGTTCCCTTTAAAAAATAATTTCTGGTTTAATATCAATCTGGCACCTTGGCGATTGTAGTTGGTGAGGCAGATCTCGATACGGAAATGCCTCCTAGCAGTGATATAGAAATGAATGAAGTAGAGACTGAATGCAGCAGTCTCTAAAAGTAATATACATAACCATATTCGTATCTAGACAAAGCACAACACATATTTTTCTAATTAGTTGTAAATACAAGTTCTTTAGTGCAGATGGCACTATCACTGGGGAGACTTCCGTATTGTGAGTGGTGGCAGAATAATCGTCAAGTCATGGTAACTTCCGGGTAGCAACACGTGAGAAACTAAAAAAAAAACATCATAGAAAGGGAGTAACTCGAAAGGTATAATTCATAGTCCTTTCTTAGCAAATATTTACATTTTTTATTGTAAAAAAATTTGTATGTTTAAAATCTATTTAGCACCTTGGAGATCAGTTTGCGGGACTGATTATGATACTAAAATATCTCCCTATCACTTTCAGATGCAGAAATGTCCTCCCGTCAAAACTGTAATTATGTATCAAATCTTTGATAGTTATTAAGTCTACATTTACCTTTTGTTAGATAAAATTTAAATCTTTAATAATATAACCCTTATTAGAAAGTCACAAGAATGTAAAATTCTTTTATTTTGAGGCAGAGATTCTAAATAATTTTCTCCTTTATCTTCAATTACAATAGAAAAAATCACAGGACTCCAAGTACATATAAGTAGCATATTACGTCTTAGACAAATAATCTACCTGTTAAAATGCATTATTAGAATTTAAATCAAAAAATAGAGAATATCTGACAAATAAACTACAGAAAGAAATATTAGTGGTATATGTGGAGCAAATTAGTTTTCATTTTTGAAAAAGTATTTTACCCCTTTCCTGTTCTTTTAAATCAAAGTTTAAATAATCATCATGAAGTTTCTGTATTGTCTCTAAGATAGAAACTTCTTTTTCAGAGATCGAATCAGAGTCTTGAGCAAATTTCAGAGCGTCCAAATGACTCTGAATTAAATCTAAGAAATCCCCCATATTTGCAAAATATAATATAATTCTTATACATTAACTTTCTCCTTAATAAAAGCATTAAAATCTTCTGACAACATAGCAGACGGCCTACAACTGTTTTCAAATTTTGCGTGATTTATCTTGAATGATGTACTATGGTTACAGTTACGGTTAGATTATAGTTTGATAAGTTAATACTATTATTCATTAAATTTTAAAAAAGTTTCGAAAGCGAAAATTTATAAAAAGATTGAGGAAAAATAATTAAATCTAGTGAAATTAACTAATTATATTAATTTGAATTATATATAAAACATCTCAACTCAAGCAGTTATATGATTCACGAGTTTCATAGATATAAGGAACCCATAAGAAGAAGTGAAGGTCCCATCTTTCCGGTGGCAACGAAAAATGGGTTACCTTTTTCAATCATCGTGGCGACTTTTTCTATCTGTTAAATCACCAGTGATCATGCTCATATTTGTGATGGCCGATGGCTTGTTAATTTCACGTACTGAAATTTTGCAGCATGGAATAGATATCTAATCTGTTGTGGTAAGTAAAAATTATTAATATGTTAATTTTACATATTCATCTTATTTGTTTTTAACTAATTAAATTTGAAAACATAGTATAAATGTTAATATATTACGTTCTATAAAACGTAAACATCAATAGTCTTTTTTTATTTCGGAAATATTTGCTCATCTGAATATATGAACAATTGTTTTCTAACTTTTTAACAATGTCAGTAAATTCTTGTTTTAAATTCTAAAAAATTCTCAAATGACTTCATTTATCAAGGACACAAAAATTCATCCCTTCCAAAATTAAATTTTCTTTTTTTACTCCCTTCTATTTTCATTTCAAATATGCTTGATTTACTTATTCCATCACTAGATGGCAGCTCTGCATTATGAAAACCTGAAAAATCATTAATACGAAATTTTAAAACAATGAAACCTGTTAGATTGCTAAAGAAAACCTGGAGTATGTGAAGGGCAAATGTTTGGAACATATCAGGTTTAAATTTAATCCTGCTTTCCTCAATGATGATTCATCAGGTTCCGAAAAGCTTATTTTCTTCTTTGTTTGAAAATTAATCTGCGACCGCAAATGTAGATACTGCTTTTACTTTATTTTTGAAAACAATTCTAAAATTATAAATTAAAAACAAGATTTAAAGAACCCCTTTTACACTCAAATGGGTATAAGGATCAGCTGTATACATACAGATGGTCTGAAATTGTAAATGTTTTCTAAATTTATTTAAGAACATCATAATTAATTGCTTTTAATAAATTAAAGAAAAATGCATACAATAAAATACTTCAAATATTTCATTTATTTCTAAGTTACTTTAAAAATTTCCACATCCATTATTTTACAAGAGAAAAAATAATTTGATTGAAATGTACCATAAAAAAAAAAGTAAAACCTTTATTTTCTGAGTATGTTATGCCTTTTTTTTATAAGTATATTGTGTTCTTCTGAAAAGTGTTCTAGATGTTAATTGCTCAAGGTCTGGTTCCTTAGGACAAGCGCCTTATCTGAGCGTCAGCGGGACGTCAACGGCCCGCTGACGCCAACAAAATATTGATTTGTTAGCTCAAGGCCTGGTTTCTTAGAACTAGCGCCTTATCTGGACGTCAGCAGAAAGTTGACGTAGAGCTGACGCCAAAAAAATACTTTNCCTCTTGAACCAGTGGAAGTGCTTGTGGTTGCCTCATCGCCACAAAATGTATTTGTATTAATAATGTATGTGAATGCGTCATAATGTAATTTCAGGAGAGAAAACCTAACAATCAATTGATGTTCACAAGAGACGTACCTTGACATAACCTTAAATCTGTCGCATTGTCCGTGGGATTGTTTTCACTCATTTTTTACAATTGTTATCCACTAAATTTGAAAATAAAAAATACTACCCTATTAAATTATGTGTGTATCAAAACGAACTAAAAAAATATTCATAGAAAAACAGTACTTTTATTATTTTTATGCTAGGGAGAACCAAAACAATATGGAAATGAATGAGCGAAAACTGGATCCTATCACGTGATTTCCCGGCCAATAAAAATGTATCTTTAAACGTTTAACATAACCTTGTTGGAAGTCGCATAGGAAGTATAACTTCAATTAATAAAATTTAAATGTGTTGAATTTTAAGTTGGTAGATATCGCAGATTGATATTTACACACTGTTTTCATATTTCTAAAGTGATAACTCAAACATATCTCAAGCAGATTTTTTTAATGAAATATTTTAAGCATTATTTAGAAAAAACTGCAAATATCTTTACTAATTTTATTTATTTATTGTACAAATATACTGTAATCAACTTCTTGTAGTTGCATTTGGTATGAATTTTTACTTCAATAAAAGTTTTTTAAGTACGAAGCTATAATAAATGAAAGAAGTCAAAATTACTGTTGGTTATATGATAATTTAAAACTTTATTTAATAAAATAGTTGTCACAGTTTTCCATTTTTCTGAAATTTCAGCAGACAGACATCACATTTTTGATAAGACTTCAACTTAAATACACTTCACCTAAATTAATAATCTCAAATAAATGTATTAATAAGCATACAAACAATAGTTTTAGATACAAATATAAATAAGAATTTTGCACAAAAGGATTCTTTCCTTCATAGAACGGTTTTAAAAATTATTAATTAGTGGTAGCTTCTTCAAACATGGGAATTATATTCAAATACATACCAGGAATGGTAAACTCTTGTCAGGCTAGAAAAAACTGATTATGTAAATCTACCCAATGCAAGAAACTGTCATTTACAAGAAACATCTAATTTAAAAATGGAAGTTTAATATAATTCACTCAATAATTTTATATGAAAATCTATTTTATTAACTTTTAATGTTATATTTTACATGCTTAAAGAAACTAGTTCAGAAGAAAAGAAAAAAATATTAAATTTCGTTTGGGTTTTCAAAAGAAAAAAAAATTAAATCAGTAAAAAAAAAAAACATTCACAAATGAAGTGCCATTGAAAATAAAACAAAAATTCAGAATAATATTTGCCATTCATTTAAAGCCTACTCATAATTTTAATTAGGTATTCACAACTCTAAAATATTACTTATAGG